GAGATAGCCGAGAGAGGCCGAGAGGTAGTTTTTCTAACGAAGCACTCCGCCTTCTCGATATAACATTCGAGCCACACAACGACGCTCCGTGGTCGATGGAACTGTATCGCGAGTGATATCGACGACGAGAGTCGTCGCGGGACGCGAGAGTGTCCCTACTGACTGTATGCGAATAAAGATCCGACGCCGCCGACGGAACGGCGTCGTATCTCGTATTCGAGAAAACCTAGAACAACCACGCGGTTTCTCCGCGGTATATCAAGACGCCGATCTCTCTCTCTCTCTCTCTCTCTCTCTCTCCCCCCTCTCTCTCTCTCTCTGTGTCTCTGTCTGTCTGTCTCTCTCTAGCGGCGGGGGCGGCGGCGGCGGCGGCAGCGCTACAATTGCGTCAGAATCGTACGCCGATTGCTTATCGGTTGTTCGCTCCATTACCCGTATCGGATGGAAATTAACAATCGCCACACGGACGGGCCGACCGGCGCGGCGCGCATGGCGTGTGTTTTCGAAGCGCGCCGCGCCGTCAGGCCTCGGTCGAATTTCGCGCAAGCCCTCGCGTGTCGAACTGACGCACACAGGCACAGCTCGGGCCAATCAAGCATCGCCGATCAACGAGACGATCGACAGATTAATCAAGTGGGGCGCGCGCGCGCGCGCGACATGAAATTTGCCCAATCTAGGAAGACAAATTTATCTGGATTTGATACATTTCGAGACGCGCGCGGTGTGTTTCGCAGGCATTCACCGCGTGTCGTTCCGCCGCGCGCGCGCATCGCCGCTTTTTAAGGCCGGACGATCGATGCGACGATCAGCTCGATCTCGAAACGAAACCAACGTAATCAAACGAAGAAGCTTCATCATCGATTACGAACGGGACGGGAATGGTTGTTGAGCGTCACCGAAGGAAAGGAAAGTGCAATTTGCGCGGCGCTTGCACGTGGTGCGTCCGCCGTCGGCGTTCATCCCGTTACCAGCTCTAGTAATACGCTCTAAACCTGTCTGCTTCGTTATGTCACGCATTGCATCGCGTGCGTGCGCTTGTCGTTTACGACTCTGCCGATCGTTATCTCCGATATTCCCGCCCGGCGATAACTTTCGATGATCGTCATCGGGCACGTCCGTGTCCACGCGCGTCCGAGCGTGGCGGAGGAACTTGAGAATTCAGCGATCTCGCGAGACGCGCAGTTGCGCGAACACGTTTAAATGAGTAATGTCATCGGAGGAATGCAAGGTTTAGGGAGGTCGTGCCGCGCGCAAACGCTGTCACATGCAAATTTCTGTTATCGCGCTGCGAAAACACGCGAAGAGACGCTCGGAGGCCGAGCGAGCATTAGAGGCGGAGAGACAGAGAGAGGATTTTACGGTTCGGTGATGCCTTTGACAACGAACGCGATAGTTACGGCGAGATCAGCCGAAACGTTGGAAAGGCATTGCGACGCGACGAGCGAGAGAATGCTATTGGATTACTATTCGCGGAACGCGCTCGCGCGAATATCAATGACGTGTGTGTGTGTGTGTGTGTGTGTCCTTATCGGCCGGCCGTGATAAGCGTGTAAAGTAGTGATAAGCATAAAAATGCAAGAGCAGCGAATCCGCGCTAATTAACGCGTTGGAATCCCGGGAAGTCGCCGGTAACCGCTGATATATCAACGCGTAGCGCAAAATGTAACCGCAAAACGGACTTGGCAGGTTTAGGCGAGCCCCGACAGTGGACGATTCCGATCGAAAACGAGTTATTTCGCAAGACAGTTTCGTTTCCCCCTTTCTTCCTTCCTTCCTTCCTTCCTTCCTCTCTTTCCCTGTCGAAACGAGGAATGCACGTTTCGCAACAGTGTTGTGCAAAAATTGCGCACCATTCGACACGACTAATCGCGCTCGAGTATTTACGTACTCGTCACCCAATGTCTCATCTTTCGCGTTCGCTCGAGCTGAATCTTCCCTAATCTGACGATTTTACAATGAATGTGTAATTGTTATACCAGAGGAGAGAAGGGCCACACAGAGAGAACCAGAAAGAGGCCACAGAGAGCCGCGGTACTATCGAAAGCTTGTAATCGTCGGAGTTGCGTACAAATGCAACGCCACGAAAACAGAAACTATCGTATCAACCAAGTGCATCAAGTGGTGGTACTCTACATTATGCGCGAGAGAAGGAGAGAGGGGGGGAGAGAAAAAGAGAGCGAGAGAGAGAGAGAGAGAAATAAGAAGAGAGAAAGAGAGAAAGGGAGAAATAGAGAGAGAGAGAGAGAGAGAGAGAGAGAGAGAGAGAGAGAGAGAGAGAGAGAGAGAGAGAGAGAGAGAGAGAGAGAGAGAGAGAGAGAGAGAGAGAGAGCGCCCCGATAAAACAAAAGCGATAAACTGCATTTCGCGGGACGTCGATGACAGTGGCGGTACTGCTGGTTGAAAGACGGGAGGTAATGAATTTAGCCGATTGACCCCAGCGGTTTCCTCTCGCCGAGAACTCGCGCGGAAAACTCGATCGCGATTACGTAACTCTCGTCACCCGCAAACACGGCGCGGAGCAGCGTGGGAGAGGAGAGAAAGAAAGAGAGAGAGAGAGAGAGAGAGAGAGAGAGAGAGAGAGAGAGAGAGAGAGAGAGAGAGAAAGAGGGAGGGGGAGGAAGGGAAGGGGGCGATCGCTGATCGTTGCACTTGGATGCAGCTGCGACCGCAGCCGTGCCCTCGCGACCGACCGCTGCTGCACTTTGCCGTGTATCTCCCATAAATCACCCGACTGCAGACTGTATCGACCCTGACGATGCAGATTGCATTCCGATACAACACGAGTCGCGAAGCCACCAACGACGACGCGTCGCTCGACGGGGCAAGAAAAAAAGAGAAAACGGGACAGCGGGGGACGCGTGTTTATCATTGTTGCCCGAGATGACCGATCTCCGCGGGTCTCGATGTTACGTATTCGTCTCCGGCTCGTCGATAAACGAGAAATTGAAGTCCGCGATGAGGCACGACAGGCGAGCCGATCGGGCGAATGCTGAGAATGACAGGCGTGTACACACACACACACACACACACACACACGCGCGCGCACATGCGACGTAGTTAATGCGCCCCGCGGCGGATCTTCGCGACATTCGTTTTTACGAGCGCTGATCCCCTCGCTCGTAACATTCGTCTCTCCTCTCCCCCCCTCTCACTCTCTCTCTCTCTCTCTCTCTCTCTCTCTCTCTCTCTCTCTCAGGTGAACTAAAAGCACCTTGGAATTTTTTGAATAAATAAATGACAAGTTAATATTCGACTCTGCGACGTGACGGAGATGGGCGTGTCCCAATAAATATTTATAGATGTGATTAATTTTTCCACGACACCGGCTCGTTACAGAGACGACCGCAAACACGGCCGTAAATGGCGTGTAATTTGTCTGGCGCGAGAACACGCGGAGAAAACACGGTGATATATTATCATCACCGTGGAGTAATTCAATTAGCAGTGGAGTTCTTTTCACAAGCTCGGTCCCGCCATTACGGAAGAAGGTGTCCGAGAGGAGAAAGAAATCTTTATTCTTCGTTTCAATAAGCGATATATTATGCAACTCACGGATAGAAAACGGAAACGCGTTTGACGTAACGAGTACCTTGACACACTTGGGGAAACGAGACGATATTAAGTAACGTCTAATGACACCAAAATTATAGAGAGGCTGAACCTCGAAATTCCGCAGGATTCTACGGTGTGTTCACGGTTTCGACCGGGAAGGGAAGTCAGAACCGCGGATCGGCGACGATAACGTCGACGAAACGCGACGAGAGAGTATACACATATATATATATATACATATATGTGTATATATATATATATATGCTCTGCAGCGCAAAGTGTACATAACGAACTGTGCGAAACGAGTCCTCTGCGCTCCCTCCGCGGAGCGGAGGGGAGCGAGCGCAAGGGACGAGGGGAGTCAAATGACAAAGTTGTCGGAATGGAGATGGTGCGACGCGACGCGAGCTAGGTCGTATATATCTAAGATAAATTCGTCATTATCAAACACGACCGCGTCGCGCTATCACAACAAACAACCGACAATGCGTGCGCGCTCACGGCTCGTTCTTCGGCATCGCGTCGGGCTCGCGATTTTTGTCTAACCGAGAAGCCGGCAAAGTGACGAGTGGATATGGATATTTCCTCGCGCTTATCTGCATAGTTTCCAGATTACTTTGCCCGCTTATCTTAAATCAATTTGCCCGCTCAATAATCCTATTAAGAGACGAGGCACGACAGGCAGGATTTCCTCCCGAGCAGTTAGGATCGCATTATTGTTTGCAGATTACCATAATAAGCAAGCAGTAATCTGGATAATGGTACACAGTACAGCAGATGAAGAGACTCGCTCGCTACTACCAGTCGCCTATGCGCGGTAACGTAACGCGAGAGACAGAGAGAGAGAGAGAGAGAGAGAGAGAGCGACTTAAGCCGAGAATAGAGATCCTGAGAGCACAGAGTTACAGGATTCCCTTTGGCGCTAATCGCGAGGTAAGACTATTAACCGTTACGCGCAGGGCCACCGTTCCGCCGCAAATAGATCGGAAATATTCGCCCGATCGCGACGCTCGCCCTTTTCGTTCCAACTTTAATCGCGACATAAATAACATCTATTTATACGGCTCGTCTCTGTCTCTCTCCCACGACCGTTATATTTTAACGAAACTTTTTTTTAGACTCGATATCTCCCCTCCGCCCGCGCCGTGACGACGACGGCTTCGCGTGTCCCCGGCGAGAAATTTAAACGCGTGCAGGCGTGCGTATTTTTCTAAATACGCGCGCGCGCAGCGTCATACCCGACGTAAGTGAGCAGCTTGAAAACTGGTCGAGGCACACCAAGAAGAAGAAGCGGAAGAAGAAGAAGAAGAAGAAGAAGAAGGAAAAGAAGCGCGTGAGAGATCCCAACTTACTTACAACCGGAGCGCACAAAGAGCCGCGCGCAAAGCGCAAAGCGCAAAGCGCAAAGCGCAAAGCGCGAGATTTGCGATCAGTCTTGCGGCACTCACCGTCTTGGAGGACAGGCAGGCGTCGTTGAGGTAAAGGTGATGGGTCTCCCAGCGGCGGAGGAATTTGCTCGACAGGATCTTCTTCACGAGGGTCCTGGTGTGGTTGAGGTAGCACACTTGTATGTCGCCCTCCTCGAGCGGCTTGAATCTGGGCCCGGCCGGGCCGGGACTCGGGCTCGGGCTGGACGAGCCGCTGGCCGACGAGCATCCGGCGGCGCTCTGCCTCTCCAGGTTCGGGCAGGAGCGTGCCACCGGCAGACAGCCGGACGCGTCCAGGCCCTCAGGCTTCAGCGAGACGATCCCCCCCGGGCTGCTGTCCTCGCCGTAGGAGCTGCAGGTGTCGGCGGGCGGCGACTCCACGCTGGAGTCGCGCATACTCGCACCCGACGACAACTGCGGCGAGCTGGTACTGGTGGTCTCCTGGCGCATCGCGCCGCCGCTCACCGACAGAAAGTCGTAGTAGGGTACGGCGGAGGAGGCTAGACCGACGGTGGAAGCCGCGGCTGGGCTGGACGGCAAGGAGGAGCCCTCCTCCGTCTCCGTCTCCGTCTCCGTCTCCGGATTGCAAGCGTCCTCCTCCTCCTCCTCCTCCTCCTCCTCCTCCTCTTCGTCCTCCTCTTCGTTGTCCTCCTCGGGCTCGCTGAAGCCGTTCTCCAAGGACGGTGTGTCGCCGACGGAGGCAGCAGCAGCAGCCGTGTCGTTCCGCAGACTCTCGATCTGCACCGACGGCGACGAGAGCGTCGTCGCTGTCGCTGTCGCGGTCGCGGCGGTGCCCCGCCGCCTCCTGGCGGGTGCGTCGTCGGTGCGCGGGTTCCTCGACGAGCCTGACGAGCCTGACTCCGCCGTGGACTCGCTCGCGGGCGAAGGCGACGTCGAAGAGGAGCACGCCTCGCCGTTGTTCGAGTTGTTGGACGAGTCGTTGGAGCGAAGACGCAGCAGGAGCTTCCGTCGCCACCTGGAGGAGCAGTTGCCATTGCCGTGGGACTTCTTCGTCGGTGATAACAGCGACGGCTTGCAAACGGCTTGCTGGGACTTGTCCCGCGCTGGTGGAATCTCTCGCTCGTTGTTCCCGTTCAAGACTACCGTGATGCCGCTCGGTGAGGTGAGAGCGTCCGTTACCGTTCCGGGTGACAAGGGCTCGGGGTCCAGGTAATCGGCACGAATGCCTGGCAGAGTGTCGGTGCTGCTACCCCCGGACATCGAGGCTTCCTGGTCGATGTACCTGATGGAGGAGGAGTTGGAGCCTTCGCTCAGAGCCTCAGAGCCTCGTCTGTTGCACTCGGCCGAGCTGGACGTCTTGCCGGTCGTCGGTGACAGGATCGCGTTCACCAGCGACGACTTGGCCTTGCTCGTCGACAACGACGCGGTCGAACACGCCGCGCCGCGCGACTGTCGGGTGAACGGGCTCTGGAAGCAGAACATTGTTTCGCCGTTCTTCTTCTTCTTCTTCTTCTTCTTCTTCTTCTTCTTCTTCTTCTTCCTCTTCTTCTTCTTCTTTTACCTCTCGTCTCAATATTTCATCAGTGCAATATCAGCTTCACACAGACAATTCGTTATCTTGTGTCGCGCGTGTCTGCTTTGTCGAGATGCGATTAAAAGACACGCTCTCTCTCTCTCTCGGCCCAACGAGTCAGTATGATGAGAAAAGGGTGCGTGTTGTGTTACACCCCCTCGTGTATAACCCAATCGACATTGGAGACGACGCGCACGGACAATATCGCCGACGCCGAGCAAACAGAGGGATTTGCGCTCTACCTGTTTTTCCCCAGCGAACTTTCTCGCTCGCCTGACGCTCCTGTAAGCCGAGATAATCCCTCTCGCATCAGCGACGGCACAATTCTTCGTTCTTCGGCGTCGCGACGCCGAGCGCCGAGCGCCGAGCGCGATAACTATCACGCGGGCGGACTAATCCGCCGTATCCGGACTCTGAAACTCCGTCTGAAATCTCCCCCTCGCGTGTTTTTCACACCCCTGCCCCCGTGCGGGTGGTGCGTATCGTCGATACTCGCTGGAGCGGTCGGAGCCTCTCGCAGCAAGAATCGTCAGCAAGACGGTCACAGCGTGATCCACGCACGTAGCAGCACTCGGCGGCAACGATATCTCGCGAGAGACGACGCGCGCTCAGTCACTCATTTTTTGCGCGCACGTTGGAACACGCCGCGACACATCTTCGGGGGCGGCTGCTGCTCGTCGCGATAGACGCCGCCGCGAGAGACGCGTGGCTGTTGGCACCGTCACGGCTACGGCATCGACATTTCGCGCTGACGTCGGCTGACGACGGATGTGGACGGACTAGACGACGATGACGACAACGAGGGCCAGATCGACGCAGCCGGCACGATGCGGGAAAAGCGTCCTCCTCCCGCCTGAACCGTTTCACCGCAGGACTACCCGCGAACTATCACGGCGCGCGGGCGCGACTCGCGCACGCCGAAGGAATAGGATCCGATCCGCGAAGGAGGCTCCGGTGGATGATCTAGGGAGAGAGAGAGAGAGAGAGAGAGAGAGAACGAGAGAAAGAGAGAGAGAACGAGAAAGAGAGAGAGAGAGAGAGAGAGAGAGAAAGAGCGAGCGAGCGCGAGAAAGAGAGATGGGAACAGGGATGGAGAGAGGGGGGATGAGCGAGTAAGAAAGGGACAAGAGGAGAGAGCGCCGACGTGATGTGTTTCCGACGTGATACGTAAATGTCTGACACGACCGGGGGAACAGACAGGTGGGGACGAGACCAGCAGCAGGCAGCAAGGCAAGAAGAGGGCGTCGCGGCGCACGGCGTCTGGCGGTCGATCGATGACTAGTCGCGAGTTCGCGCGGAATTATCGCACGACCGTTCGCGAACGTTCGTGCTCGTTTGCTCGTGCTTTCGTATCACGGGGGTGTATCTTGTACCGGCGGACTCTTCACCTTCATCTGAACTGGTCGGAACACAATCTTTGGTCGAGCTCGAGAGAAGGTCGTTGTTTGGCCCTTCTCTCTCTCCCCTCCCTCTCTCTCTCTCTCTCTCTCTCTCGCTCTCTCTCGTCGATCGAGTCACCGTGCAGTTGATTAACCGAAACTCGCCACAACTCGACTCGGTGAACTCTTCTCTTTCACTCCGTTCGTTTCACCCTTCCGTCGCGCGAGGAGACGAACGTGTCACGTCACGTGAGCATCTTCTTAGACCTGACTTATCACCGTAAGGTCGTGAGGTCTTTGATTGACCACTGCCACTTTGATTATCGTTTCAACACAATCAGCGGTCTGTTTCCGCTCGACCGAGGAACCGATCGCGGACGATTCAACAACGCGAAGACTGCGAGATACGACACACAAGTGCGCATGGCGCATCGATCATCGGTGCATCATCGGCGTCCGGCGATCCGCCTGGACCGACCACGGAGACGATCGGTGAGAAACGGCCAGGAAGTTTGCCGGTTGGAGGTGGTCCCGCTAACTGGATAATCCAGCGGATTCCTGTACATTCGCGGCGCGGCACCGCGCGCACCGAACTCGAGTTAAACTCGTGACGTTACATCCGCCATGCCGATTAAAACGGATCGCGTTGTGTACACGGCACGAACGATTCCGCGATTAGATAATACCGACGCGCTTATCGCCGCCAATTTTTTCACCTTTACAGCCGCGCGTGGATTATTCCACTGTTTGCGTAGTGGCGTAAATTCAAGAAAGAAATCGCTGTCTGTGAAATCTCTCTCTGTCTCTCTCTCTGTCTCTCTCTCTCTCTCTCTCTTCCTCGACGACAAACTCCTCTCAAAGAAAGTAACCACCGCGTTCGACCGGAAGTCTTTTTCGTCAATCCAAGGATAAAGGCACACGCTTTCGCGCTCATCCAGTGCCTCGTTATCCCGTCTACCGCATCATCCTGCTGCTTCGTGCGTCATAGCGCAACTTTCAAATTCTCTGTAGACGTACATCCTTACTTGACACTTCAGCACCACTTTCAGCGGACGCGTGTAGCATCAGCGTTTCCCCCCGATCCAAACAGCTCCTGCTCTCGCCCAGGTGCTCACAAGTGCGGAACTCTTTTGCTTTCAAAGCCGTCAAAGCGCACTGCTATCGCACGCGTCCGCTCGCAATTTCCGCGTTTGATCTTCCCTCCCTTGCAATGTCTCGGTCGACTTTTGCGGTCGCTGCTCGAAAGAGGAAGGGAGAGAGAGAGAGAGAGGGAGAGAGAGAGAGAGAGAGAGAGAGAGAGAAAGAGAGGAGGAGGAGGAGGGTAAGAGAGAGAGAGAGAGAGAGAGAGAGAGAGAGAGAGAGAGAGAGAGAGAGAGTGAGAGAGAGAGAGAGTGAGAGAGAGACTCGGCAACTGAAAACGCGACCGTTTTCTCGAGGCGTGCTCCACTGACGCAAGCGGCGGGCTCGCTCACGCTCTATCTATCTCGCGACCTCTCTTTTTCTCGCCACGCGCGAGAGCTGCGCGCGCTCGAGTCCGTTTCTCCGCCTCTCGCTTCCTCAGCCGCTCTCTCCTTCAGCCACCGCGAAGGTGCCGCCGCGTACCGAAATCAATCAGCAGCGTCTGTCTTCCGCGACGGATGCGTGCACTCTTTTCCTGCCTGTGTCGCGTTATCACGTGAGGATGACGGAAAACAACGGTACCGCGGCCGACGGAACAACGTCCTCCTCCCGCGGCGGCGGGACCGCACGCGCCGCGCGCACTTGCCGCGACCCCCGGACGAGCGACGTCGCGTCGTTTCCTCCTCGTCCAAGAGGAACTCCCCACCCACCCGCGTCCGTCCACTCCTCTCCTTTATCAACAGGCGCGCACTCAGGTCAGGTCGCCGGTCGGTCGGTCCTGCGGCTGCACCTGCGGTGGTCTCGAGGCGAGGCGATCCGCTGCGCTCCGCTCCCAAATACGACCGCGTTTTCGTCGCGACGCAGCCCGCAGTAGTCGCGAATGACGTCTTCCTCTTGGCGAGAACAGCCGCCACCGCCGTCGCCGCCGCTGCGGCCTCTCCTCCTCCCGCTTCCGGCGCTTTAATTATCCCCCGACCCCGTCGGCGCGACGCTGGCCGACGCTAACCGAGCACCGCGTCGCGCAGGTGGTCGCGGACGTACGGGCGCGTCGCCAAGCGCGACGACAGCGACGGCGTCACGGAGACACGTGGTGTTGTCGCGACTCGGTCCGCACGCACAGACCAGCTCGTTCGTTCTCGGCGACACTGACGAGCCGACGTGTCTCGACCGAGCCGCTCCTCCAGTTCTCACCGTCGTCGTCGCTGTTGCTGCTTCTCTTCTTCTTTGTCCTCCCGCGCTCCTCCCCTGCGCATCCTCGTCGACGGCACACGCGGAGAGACTCCTCTCGGACGACTGAAGCGCGAACGGCTCGCGCGCGCGACTCGTCGATACGAAGACGCGACACCGACGACAGCGTCGACGACGACGACGACGACGGTCGCGACCGCGACGGCGTCAGCGGGCTTCAGGCATGCGTGCTGGACGAGCCATCGCGCTTTCACACCTGTCCACCTGCCGCGCTCCTCTTCTTATCTCAGCGACCTTTTCTCTCCCCCCCCCCCTCTCTCTCTCTTTCTCTGACTGTCCTTCCGCCGGATCAGTACACGAAGAGCAGAAGGTGGAAGGCCATGAGTTGATTCCCGCAAGGGGTAACAGACTCGATGTCGATGGTTCCGTCAGCACTGCGCGAATTCCAGCTGATCAAAGTCGCCGTGAGGAAACGATCCAGCAGAGTCAGAAACATCTACGGAACGTCTTTTCAGGGTCCTCCTGCAGGATTTCTTCACGTTTCAAGAGGACTCTTCTTTTTTTATTTCGCGCAGACCATTGCAGGTCACTCGGTGACCTTTGGAATTTTCCCACGTACAAAAGTTCTCGTCGATAAGTGTCGTGTAGAATGCCGACTTTCCTCGCAATTTCTTCGAGAGATCTTTAAGATTGCACGAACTCGTGCGAGAGACGTCGCGTGTCGTCGCCGTCTCACGAACGCCGTCACCTCGGCGAGTAAAGTCAATCGAAGCGGAAAAATACTTCGATTGAATTCAACATTCGCGCACCGACGAGCGCGTCTGCGCGCTTCCGCTTGGATCGCGCCGCGACTCGCGCTGTTGACACTGCGACTTCTTGATGGCAATAACGACCTTATGTGCACAGTCTCCTTTTTTCTGCCTCCGGCGGGTGCGCAGCTGCCTGCGGCGTGTCATTGTTGCATCAAACGCAGCTCCCGCGTTCTATATTCCGCGACACGTGTGTATTTATAAACCCAGCGAGAGAAAGAACCCGACGGCCAGCAGCTCGATCTCGACGTCGCCGGCGACAATTTCTGCGCGAGAAAGGTGACCTCGTGCGAGTCGGCGACTCGTACGAAGCGCTCCCAAGATCAAGAGCGGATCATCGATCCGTTCTGCATTCTCCACGGAGCCTCATGACTCCGCATGACACTTGGCGCGTGCTCGCGGTAAGTCGAGGAAATCTAACTTTCTTGCGCGTCGAGAAGCAAGCAAGCAAGCAAGCAAGCAAGCAAGCAAGCAAGCCAGCCAGCCGATGGATACACTTTCGGTTCTATGAGAACGCGCGGGCACGGCGTCCACCTCTCGGCAATCTCTTATTTTTACACTCGCAGCCGCGAAAACAGCACGTCGCGAGCTCTTCTTCCTCTTGCGAGCGGAATCCCGCTTTCTCTCTTCTGCTTTCTATCTCAGCTTTTTTCATCGAGTATCCCTCGCCATTACGTCCCTCGGTAACACGCTCTTCGTGCGAACGCGAGCTTCCTTTACGATTCGAGTAGTAGATTTGTTTTCGCCTCGCGGCAAATCGTATACAGTTCGCGCACGCGAGACTTCATTTCAAGACTGTGCAGTAATCTTGGCGCGCCAATGTCCAATCGCTGACGTCAATCCCTCGACGTTATACAATTCCTGCGGAATTCAAGAGACGCATACCCTAACGCCATCGCGGTATGCACCACCGCGCGCGCACACGTCGGTCACGCAACTGTAAAGCGCCGGCAAGCTCACGCACGATAATAGCCGCGCTCGCTTAAAAGTTCGTTTAGGTTTCGTCCGAGTGGATGCGCGATATCGCACGCGAGCCTATAGTCGACGCGCGTTAACTTCGTCACCCGGCCGACGAAAGCACGGTCCGGTACGAAGCACGAAGGCCTCTCGGCTTCTCGCGATAACAGTACCCATTCGTTCCTGATCCGTTTGATCCTGACGTTGACGTGCCTGAACTTCAAATTGCTCTCAATCCCGAGGCTCGCACTGACGGAGCCAGCGAGACTGCTTCGTCGCGATGGGCGTCATTGAGGAGCGTGCAACTTTCGCCGGCGACCTTATTAAATCTAACGCGGCCCCGCTGAACGATCAGCATGGGGAACTTTTACAGTTGAGTTTACACAAAATGTTACTGGACAAACACAATGTCGATCCAACGTATCGCAACGCCGCAACGGTGGTGATGCGACGTGCCATCACAGACGCGCCGTCTCAGCCTTTGTTTTATTATGTACAATTAAAATTATGTACAATAATGGTAGTCAACGGTAGAAAAATATATGTCGTCACATGCGAGAAATTGTACAAATATATATATATATATCTTTCTTTTCTTTTCTAATATCACAATCGAGTTGTGTAAATATTCGATACATATCAGGCATAGGCGGTAACTTTCTCTCTTTCTCTCTCACTGTCCCATGAAGCATATTGGATCCCATGAAGACTATGGATTGGAATTGAGATTGGATTGAAATTTGCCATCAATTGGAAGAAAGAAAATAATCCCAAATATAGTAAACTTAGCGCTGATTGGTTAAATTTCAATCCAATACTCAATCTCAATCTCCGTAGTCTGGATACGGGCTTTACGCGAATATCCGCCAATTATTAACGCCGCATCTCCTTCTCTATCTCTTCGACCCTGAAACACACATGAACGCACGAATGAAAGTCACTCGACTTGATCAATATTTTGTGCGGTAATCGCGGCAAATAACACGTGCAAGAAACAACGCTGCTTACGTGCGCGGCACGAATGTCAGGTTTTCCACTCCCGTCTCCGTTATGAGAACGTCATCCTCGATTCTGACGCCGCCAAAACCGCGGAATCTTTTCAGCTGCTCCGCCACGAGGAACTTGGCCTGATCGGGATTGGCCAGAGCCGCATCGAGTAACTGCAATGCGAATGCAACTTCGCGTGTTGTTACAAGCTCGTCGCATCCAAAATTACCTCGTTAATTATCCCTGCACTTACGCAGTCGACGAAATAACAGCCCGGCTCTACCGTGAGAACCATCCCAGCGAGCAAAGTGCGGGCGGTCCTCAGCTTCCTCAGTCCCGGTTCCTTCGAGCGTTCAGGATGACACGACAGATAACCACCGACGTCGTGGACATCCAATCCCAACAGATGGCCCAGCCCGTGCGGCTGGAAGATCTCATTCAGGCCCGCTTTTATCATGTCCTCGACGTCGCCCACCAGCAAACCGCCCGCCTTCAGCGACGTCAACATAACTCGATTCGCCAGCAGATGCATGTCCGTCCAGGCGACTCCCGGCTTCGCGGCCGCGATCACAGCGTCGCGCGCCTTCAGCACCGCGTTATAGATCAGTTTCTGGTCCTCGGTGAACTTGCCGTTGATTGGAAAACTGCACGTGATATCAGCTGCGTATCCGCAGTAGTTGCCGCCTAGGTCGAACAAGCTATACGTACAACAACAACAAAATTATGCGACAATTGTGCGACACGCGCGTGCTGCTCCTCAATTGTGAAAGAGCAAGACACGTCTGTCCCGCGGAGACAGACTTACAACTTGTTGAATAAAAAATGATTTCTTACGCGGGGGGGAGGGGGGAGGGGGGAGGAGGGACCTTACCACATATCTCCATCTTGCATAACTTTGCTGTTTGGAGCGCCGGCGTGACCGTAATGCAATATGGACGAATTGTGCCCGGATCCGCAGATGCATGTGTAAGACACGTGTCTGCATCCTCCCGTGGAGTATACATGGTGGCAGAACGCTGCTTCCGCTTGGTATTCCACCATTCCAGGACGCACGGTGCGCATTACAACTTTGTGCGCATCCGAGCTGATCTTGCACACGTACCGCAGTACCTCGATCTCTCCGGGCGACTTTATCACTCGACTGTAAACCAAGCCAAAAGGAAATACTCATGAAAAAAAAAAAAAAAAAAAAAAAAACGACGAACATCATACTATTGTACAAAAACAGACTCGTTCGTATCAAAAGATGATTTATTTGCTTCTCGCTCGATATGTTACATCTCGCTATTTTCGTACTTTCATCGTTCGTAATGATCTTGGAGGGCTTGGGGAAGGGATTACACCTTGTTTAATCACGTTTCATCTCTCTCTCTCTCTCTCTCTCTCTCTCTCTCTCTCTCTCTCTCTCTCTCTCTCGTAAATTTCTGAATGTTCTTAACAGCTTATAGGGCGTCCTCGACGGAGTCCAGGCTTTGCGACAAGTAAGACATCAATTTATCGTCTTGATTCGCGAGTTGTGTCAGTCTCGTATAATCTAAACAGGCGACTCGAAAACCCAGTTTCCTCATCTGCCTCTTCCTCATCACCTGCGGCCCTATCAGGTGTCGCTGACTGTTCCAGCAGTAATACTCGGGCAAATGTATCAGAATCGCGGTATTGATGTTTCTCTCTTTGTGCAGGTTCAGATTGAAAACCGGCGTCGATTCGACCAGCGGATGGATCAAGAGGTCCGAAACGTAGAAATTTATGAGGGGCAATTTGCTCAGAACGACCGCCCTGCTCAACTTGCGCTCTCCGCCTACTAAGCGCCCCAACGGCTTGTATATTTGATTAACGATGCCTCTGATTCTCATGTCCACGCTCAACAACTTTGTGCTTCTGTCGATGTTAATCGGACTGCCCTGGTAATCTTTACATTCCAACGACATGGTTGTATCGAACAATATCAATTTCATCTTCAGGCGGTTAACGACGAGCGCGTCTCTGTGGGTCTGTAGTCTATCCAGGAGATACGAGCCGAAAACCTTATCTAAGAAATTAATGGGATATCTTTCGAGGTACGTGCAAGAGAGAAGAATATCCAACGTGTCGCTCAGCTTCAAGTCTGCGAATCTCACGGACAACACTTTGTCGAACGTCTTCCAGAATACCGTCGAGTCCGGTGGCTCAATGTTCAACGAACCAAACGGCGTGAGTATAGAGGATAATAAAGATGGCGAAATGTTCATCCCGTTTCTCACAAAGTATCTGCCGCATTCGGCGAGAATACGTGGATTTCTGACCTTTAAACCTTTGCAGTAGTCCATGATGGAAGCCACCAAGTTGGCATCCCTCGTCTCACTGCCTCGAACCGTTACGTATCTCTCCAGTGCCTGCTCCACGTTCTCGTCGATGTAGTTCTTCGTGTGTAAACTACGAATGAAATCGCCGAGATTCCTCTCCGTCGAACTGGTCATGCTCACGCTCGCCCACTTACTGGCGCTCGATAGACACCTCGGCGGCTCCTTGCCGTAAAAGCAATTCAATATATCAGCCATCTGGGAGCCGTTCAGCCTCAACCACTGCTCCGAAAGTTTCCTCTCCAGAATCATTTCTACCATATCCTTGCTCTGCCGGAAGTGCTTGAGCGACTTGAATAACGGTACCAACAGATCCGGCTTGATATCCCGCTGCCGACACGCCAAACCCATCCACAGCACGTCGATGTAGTTTCTGCACTTGGGGTCCTTCTTGTAAGAAGCCAGGATTCTCACTAGCCTGATGAGTTGCGACACCGTGAGATTCCCATCCGTAGCTCTGATCGCAGCCTCGTCGCATATCCAGTCCTTGTAAACGTTCCTCGTAGGGCTAAATCGATCTCTCCTCAGCGCCTTGAGACACTGCAATATCACCTCGTTGTCTTTACTCTTGACGATCAGACTCACGAGTTGCCGCATTATGTTGTCTCTGTTGACGGCTTCCGCGAACGATCGCTCGCTCGACAAAATTTTCCGATACGCGTGCCAACCGCTTTCCAACGCTATGATCTTTTTTAAACCTTCCAACGCTATGCGACAATTGATCTCGTCAGTTATTTTCGGCTTTGACAAATAGTAAGCTTCTTTATTCGCACGTAGAAGCCGCCATTCCGCGTCTGTATTTTCCAGAGGTCCCACGTCGGAGTAGAAGAGTATCGCCGTGCCCTCGTCGGTCTCTATGCTGATGCTTTGCCTCGACGGATCATTCCTCGCTATCGACGCGTCGTGGACAGAAGGGACATTTTTCTTACGAGTTCCTGCCTGACTCCTGTCCCTTTGAAATGCATGGAAATCTTTATTAGCACTCGGCACTGACGAATCGACGGGTTTCTTGCTTGTATGGCCAAAGAGAGCTGCGACGTCGGTGACCCTTCTGACTATCGCGGGAACTTCTCGTATGTGTGTGCCCTCTTGCACAAAAATTGTCGTCTGGAGCAACTGTGCTCCTGCGTTTGGATCGTGCGTGCCCGACTCGAAGCGTCTCTTTTGAAATTTTGATGCCAGACTACTACGTAGTTGCATAAATGTTCCCGTGAGAAACTTTCCCCGGTATGCACGACTCGAGATTATCATCTACAATAACAGTCGGGAGAATACACGAGATGGAACACGATGATAGCAGCGGGGATCTCTTTCCTTTTACCTTTCCGCATGGTATTACACGTTGCAGACGACATTCAGTGATTTCCTTGAGAAAGAAATGTCAAAGACAATAGTCACGCGCTCACGTATCACGAGAGTATTACGAAACGTTAATCGAAAGTCAGTCGTAATCGCGACGCGCCGGACGCGAGAGACGAAATCTCTACTGTTATTAATCCCGAAGCCGAGACAAATGTAAATGTAAAAGGCACGGGTAAATGTAATGACACGGACGTGTAATTGGTATTTAAAGCCGCTAGAAAGTTGTCAGAAGTATACCGATGCGGTGACGTGTGCCGCTTGCATGAGCCGACCAGCCGATGGCGACACTGATTCCTCCGGGCAATTGACACGCGATGAATAACAAAAACTGAGCGTAGCGAACTCGAACTGGAATACAGCGTGACGCATTTCGCATTCCACGCGTGTTACATTAATGAGATTAATCAATTACGGAAATTACATTGCGTCATATTAATAATTATAATTTGATACGTTCATTGTACGTTATGTTTAATTAATCGAGCGTGCACGCTCGCCCCGCGTGTACGGTATTTTAATTGAATATTATGCGCGATACTCACACCCGTAATCGCAACGAGCTTTATTATCATTCTTCTCTCTCTCTCTTCAGAGGCGAAACTTTCTGGACTACCTTGTAATCTTATTTTACGTAGCTACAAACAATTGAAAAAGAAAAAAATAATAATATCCGTTATATATTATACTCACCATTCGCATATTTCCGGATACAAGATGCTATTGTTCACCTTGAATCTACGATAAAAAGTTGGAAATTAGCTCTCTGCCAGTCACGCTGTATTCTCTTATTGATATGATTCACTTCGTCATACTTACTCGGCGATGCCGTCGAAAACCGCTTCGCGCGCCAACAGTCCGCTGTCGCTGTTTCTGCCGCTCTGCAAAGAGAAATGGTAAAACACAAATTGGTCGTCAGAAATCGGCGTCGTTGTTGCGTTGAGCGCGCAATAAAGCGTACGTATACACGTGATATCGCGGGTCAAAGTAAAAGTGACCTTACGTAATACTACCGATCTCCGAGCCGGAATAGAGAAAGCACTCTGCATCCGGCAACGGAAACGGAACGAACGTTTCTGTGCCATCGATTTCTACCGTCTCGCTCGTGGAATACACGCTCAATGACGTTATGTTTTGGCCGATGAATAATAATGTATAAATAAAATCGGTTGGCACTTGTAACAACGTTATCGGTATGAGTCGATCGTGAGTAATGTTTGCGTTCCCGAGTATGTGTATACTTTAGATACCTGAAAGTCAGCGCGGCAACACTCGGGATATCTAGCCGGTACACGCAAATGTATATTTCAGGAAAATGATATTTCAGGAAAAGATAAACGTGAGAATGTGACGTTTATCTTACGATTGTCCGTTGCTCAAAAAAAAGAAAAGAAAAAAGCATACCGGTAAAAGTCGATCGCCCGTCGAGAGAGAGAGAGAGAGAGAGAGAGAGAGAGAGAGAGAGAGAGAGAGAGAGATGGCTGCTGATTAAACAGCAAAGTTGATTTCCATACGATACCTGCACCATGGAAAAAAAAAAAAAGAAAGAAAAACATGGGCGTCATAGTGACACCGGTTAGAGCGGCGCTGTTGCACGTCTGTGACATTAGAGAAAACATTAATCATTTTTCGCTGACTAACGGATAAAAATATTCGATCGGCTCGAAGCAAGTGACAAGCAAGCAGCAGCACGGCCGTGAAGGAGCCAACGTCGGCATTTGTTGCATCGGATATTGCAAAAGGTCGCGCGCAACACGCACACGTGTCGATAAAAATACGCGGCAGCAAAAATATGTGTATACAGTGTGATCGTAATTAGAGTCGGCGGACGGCGTTATTACGTTAGCTGTTCTAAGAGAGACAAGTACTTGTCACTGCACTGTGACAGCGTTGGAGCCGGTATAATGCTGATATTACCGGCGGAACCGTTTTTTACCCAAGTGGACAGGCCAAACACGTCATTAGCAAGAAACAGGCGCGATTGCAAATCTCGATATCGCGACGATTCGCAATCGTATGATAAACAAGAGGAAAAGGGGAATAAAGGAAGAAAGGAGAAAAACACGTGGACGTGCATTTATAACTTCCTTTAAAAACTAGCTTAATTATGCTACTTCTCGAGAGAAAAAAAAAAAAAAAAAACAGCGGATAAACAGGCGACATTAATATTAATACGTTCCTATTTCGTTATTACATAAGTTATTTTATAAAGGTCACATCCGAGCGTATCTGTCAATATTATGTAAACATAACTCGTACATATCTCTCTCTCTCTCTCTCTCTCTCTCTCTCTCTCTCTCTCTCTCTCTCTCTCTCTCTCTCTCTCTCTCTCATCTTGCGACACGTGTAACCGTATCTTCGTGCAAAACACTCTGAAGTTGCGCGTGCGTGCGTGCGTGCGTGCGTAAGTCTGCCAGGCGATACAGCGTGCTAAGCATGAAAGGCTGCATTGTGACTCGTCGTCGATTACACCCGTGCCTATTTCTGCCAAGCTTGAACCCCGGCATTAATCTTGCGCCTGGCCGGGATCATGACGTAACACGACGTCGCGCGAGTGACCACCCTATAGTTCCCAAACTTGTTTCATTTGCCATGCAGATACGCGACGTCGACCCATCGTCATCAGTATATAACCACTGATATCGACCGTACGACGACTATCGCTACGCTCGCGCGCGCTGCTACGGCAGCAGTGTGCCGTGTAGTTGCGAGACGCGAAATTCGCGAACACACACATCCACGCACACACACAGCCGCGCCATCCACTCGTCGTATACGCGCATTGCGTATGAAAAGTGCCGACGCTTGCTTTCTCTAACGCGACGACTTCCTCCAACGTAATAATACACTGTGTGTAGTCGGCTTTTCGTATCAGGGAATTATCGATTATTCTATCGATATCGTCCGATATCGTCCGCGCTTCCGCCTTCGAAATCCGTCTTCACATTTACGGTTCAGCGGTTCAGCGGCTGAACAACGGGAATTTCGTTCCTTTGCTTTTGTCAACTTCGTCGTTGCAATGCGTCGGGGGGGGATTTCTGGTTTATCTCTCCGCACGACAATGTGTACACGCGTCGTGCAATACCCAGCGTGGGTTTAGTAATGTTTTCCCAGCGACATGAATCATTGCATGTTTCCACTGCTGTTTATCGGCCATTAAGTCGTCTTTGTTGCACATGAATATTGCATTATCGAGCGCTTTCGAGAGCATTGTTTGCGAACAATATTCCGCGGCGCATAATTATTTCACCGAAGTAATTTCGTATAGACGGTAATGGATATTTAATATCGTCGAGATTAAATAAGAGTAATTGGTTCTCCTCTGTCGTTTTGATCCCGCGAATAAAATCAGAGACGCGCGAATGTCATGTAAACATTTTAAATTGCCATTAGAGTCGCGCGCTCTCGATCTTTTACAGATCTTGCACTACACCATCATATAATCGTTCTCTACTGTGTAATCTTTAGAAAAAAAAAAAAAAAAAAAAAAATAAGTAAACCGGATCAAAGGTTAAGTGTCGTGCTCGGGAAACGGGAAAAAGATCTCGATTACGTGGAATCTCGGTTGCGTAAAGTTTACACTTGACCAAGTTGATCAACACGCCTCTTCTCTTCTCGTGCCCCTCTCGAGCACGATTAATTTCGTGACTTTGCCATCCATGCTCGGGCAAAGTTCACGTTGGGAAAATCAGTTTGACAAGTTTCTACACGATAAAACGCCTTCATGCGGCGAAAATAAAGCACGAGATGGAAAAAAATATACACAGAATCCCACGAGCCGCCATAACTATTTTTATACGGTCATAAACTTAAACGACGCGATGACGCGAACGGTCGTAAGAAAAAATAACACGAAGTCTTAAAATCGCCGTCCGTGCGCTCGCGTGACGGTGAAACTCGCGTGAAGAAGCAAAACGACCCTGCAACGTCGATCCCGTCATCTTTTGCGCGCTGAGCGCTTGATCGTTGCGCATTTCAAAGCAGGACAAGATATAGCAACGCGGACGCGACTGCAACGAAGCCGCCGGGCATCGATCTATGTCTTATTCATGTCAGTCGCCTCCACCACACACGCACAGTTCTGGCAAGATAACACTTTCCGCGAAGCTATTAAATATTGATTTTCCCGGCCGATTCGATTCATCGAACGACACTGAAAATACGGAGAGATGATTCAAGGCCGGAGTCTACCGCGCGGCGTCTTTGTGTGCTACCATACGAACCGGCCCCGCAGCGGCTCTCGAAACGGGTCTCGAGCCACTAGCGAACTAGTAGAAATACCGATACTCGCCCTCGCTCGACTTCGTCTTTTCGCTTGATCTCGAGGCGAATGCATTTGTGCATTCGCGAGACCAAGTACCTCGCGATCTTCAATATCTCCTTCTCATCGCGCGAAGCCGGACGAGTCCGCGCAACGTGACGCGAATGTTGATCGCGCGCGATGTCTCTTAGTCGTTTTCTTTCCTCGTTTTCTACAAATTATTATCTCAGGGCGAAATTCGCGATCTAGGAACATCGGCTTGGACCGCATTACCGCGTCGCGTAGAGTTACGAGATGGTTTCGTCTCGTGTATACTTCGCAACGTATAGAACGCACGTAAGATCGGCAAATCGCTTCTCGAGGAGCGACTCGAGGAGCGACTCGAGGCGATTTCTCATAACATCGCCAGCGCATCGGTAACACATTCACAAGCTCGCGTTTTCCATCGATTCGATTTTGCTGGACTCGAGCATCGAGCATCGAGAGAGGGAGAGGCAGAGGGAGAGGGAGAGAGAGAGAGAGAGTTCGTCTGTCGATTACCTGCCTGCGATCGAACGAGAAATACGGTAACGTACGCGACACGCGACACGCTGACATGCAGCACGACGAGCTACAAGCTGATGAATAATCGACTTCCAGAAAAAACATCTCCGTTGCTGACGCTTCGCCGAGTTTCCTGGTTTTCACGTGAGCCACGCGAACGTCAGAATGTAGCCTGGTTTGCAGGGACTGCGGGAGAATCGAAACGCTTTCAATTGTTCTAAATTGCACTCCAAATTGTTCTAAATTGCGTGTTCCCGCCGCGCGAGACCGCGCTGCATTAGCAAAATTAGTTCCGCGAATTCGCCGAATATCTTTACGACACACAAAGATCGCGCGCGAGCGCAAACGTCGTAAAAAATGGATATGTGTGTCAGCTGTAAAACTGTACACGACAACGGCCGGCCCCTTGAAAATCTGCTTCTTCCGAGTCAACCGAAAAATATGTAAAAGAATTCGAATGAATATTTTATGAGTCGCTTCCGCATCATTGCTGCGGAGATTTCCGCGCGCGCGGACGCGCGTGCAATCCGAGAAAATGTCAATACGCCGCAAAAAAAAGCTCCGAACTCTCTCTCTCTCTCTCTCTCTCTCTCTCTCGCCTCATATTTGTCGATTCCATGATCTGCGGTGATTTCGTAATATAACGCGCGATGATATCTCCTCGACGAAAATTCGTCGAGGTAATTTTCTCAATTTCGACAAGTTCAAGGCAAAAGATGACGCAAGGGGGGAGCGGAGGGGAGGGGGGGGGGAAGTGCGACGTTCTCGCGCTTACCTCCGATCGTCGCCGTAAAAACGGCGTCGAGAGATTGCCGATCTTGGAATCGGCCGCGATTCACCTCGGCTTGATCGCACGGCTAGGAGAGCCCTATCGGAGTTATCGGTGTCAAGGACAATTGGGCCGAGCGTTCTCCGGCGGATTTCAATGTTGGAGCGGAACGAAAATCGTCGGGAGGAACGACACCTTTCACCGGAGCGGTGCGGCGCAGCGCACGACGACGGATTTTCCCGAACAATGGAAAAATCCTATCGTGGCTCTCACGATTTACGCAATCGCTCGACGACGTCCTCGATCGCTTCGCATTAAGAAGATCCAACGAACGAGCAGAGAGTGAAGGACGTTATCAGCGGCGCATTCTCGAGCGCATTTCTGTTCCAGGTACCGAAAATCAAGTACCTCCCGTATCGCGACTCGCGCGCTCGCGATACGAAGCCGGCCGTATCTTTTCAGCTTGACGCAAAGTCTATTTACGGCGTCGCCGCTATCAGATAAATATTCCACGCACGTAGCGTGCGCCCGTATAGTTCGGGTCTCTCGCGTAACACCGCGGTCACCTAGTTACGCTGTCATTGATGCACCGCGAGTGGAAACAAATTGCCGCCGGTTAGATAACGACCGGCTGAAAAATTCATCGGCTATTTTTCAACGCTGAGCGCGAGCTATAAACGAGCGAGATCCGTGTCAGAGCACCGGAGGAGAGTACGAGCGAGGAGTTATGTAAATCGCCGCGAATCAGTCGTCGCTGCTGCGGCAGCCGCGCGGGAGATCGCAGATGCGGCAGATATTCCGTATTCTCATGCTTTATCGCTTATCACGCTCGTCGGGCTCGAGATAAAGACACCTGCATGCGATTTACTTAAACGCCTACTTTTTTCGTGTAAGCTCCGGCCCTTTCAGCTACACCGTTGCTGCTGCTATTTATACACATACACACCGCGCTCCCGGCGCGACGGAAAATTTTAATTAAACCGGAGACAGATCGGCTTAAATTAGAAGCGAGAGACAGAAGGTACACGCGCGCGCACACACACACACACACACACACGGACAGACAGCGCAAACGTGAAGAGAGCTGAAGGCAAAAGCAAGATGAATTGTGCCCCCGTCTCTTGACTTTCTAATTCTTCTTACGTTTCTTCGCGAGAAGTGTATCCCTCCGCCAGATTTGTCATCACGCTGGTAAAAAAAAAAAGCGCGGTAAAGCACAAGCGAGTGAACAAACGCGTTTATATGTTATATTTACAGGCTGTTTGGTAAACGGACGACGTCGCCGGGCGGCGCCAAGCCGGGAAACGTATTCCGAGATTCCGCTGGATCAAGCGTAATTCTAATCCGCGTAGCAACAAGGCGGAATCTAAAGGAGCGCGAGCGTCAAGTGTGTTTGTCCACGTGGGACGTTATCCACGGGGGATTTTTGCAATATTCATTTAGCGCGCCGCCAACAGAACAGGATTGGTAAGTGGATCCGAAGTGAGTAAAGGCGACACCAGACGCGACGCCTTCGCCTCACCGCAAATATTCGCCGAGCCGTGGCCGACGTCGCGCATCGCGTAAATGAGGCGCTCAAGGGTCGCTCTAATTGGAGACGACAATGCAACGAAATTTATCATCGTGCACGCGCGCGCGCGCGCATTTGCATTGCGCCTGTTCGAATGTTCGGAGGCCGGCGGTGGAGAGCACCACGTCTGGAGCAGCCTTAGCACGAGCGGCGAGCGAGCAGCCGACCGACGCAACTTTCTCAACACATTGTAGAGGCAGACAGTCGCGAAGGAGGCGAAGGTAAACGTCACGAGGCATGCCGTGGCGGATCGCTTATTGCGAGACACGCACACATATTCGCACGTACACGCACGTGTAGAATATAAGGTGCTCAACCTGGGAATGCTTCTGGCGAAGCGACTTCCAGCGTCTGTGCCTCTGTGTCTGTCTGGTGACTCGCTAAAATTCGTACCGACTGCGATCTCTTCCTGCGAGTGACTTGACGACAAAATACGAGACCCCCCCCCCTCGTGCCTCCTAGCTCTGCTGCTGCTGTATATCTAACTGGGGAACAAAAAAGCCGTCACTCCGGATTCGGAGTGGTTGCGGCGGTCCCACGTTTGAAGCTATAAGCGCGATGTTTTCCTAGAGGAGAAAACTCCAAACTCCGTCCGTCCGCCAGTCCGGACAGACAGAGACAGTCATCACACACGGTCGTCGCGACGCGGAGCATTGTTCTTGGGGATCCAGGCAATCCCCAAGTTGAGCACTTTTCCCTGGCCCAAGAGAAGGCGCAGGCAAGCAGGAAAGCAGCGAGCCACAGAGAGCCAACGAGCGTCCATCTGTTCCCAAGCGGCGCGACTTACCAATGTGAGCAAAAGGTGCGCTCGCTTTTCCTTCAGCACGCGCGCTATCTCGTCGGTGTAGCGAGCCTCGTCCACGGCGTATCGCTTCTTGAAGTCGTCCAGAGTATACAGCTTGCCCTGCCAAACCGCATATTCGGCCGGTAACCTCGGTACAAAGAGGATCGAGGTGCCGGCGGCCAGGTCGAGAGCGCCGTAACATCCTGGCTCCTCCGCTCCGAAGCACCATTGGAAGAACGACTCCTGATAAAGAGAACAAATCATCAAATGAAATAGGAACCGCGCGAGCCGCGCAAGTCGCGGCGACGAGCAATGTTGAATAACACTGCCGTGGCGGACCCGGAGAAAATGCGCACAGACGTGCAACAAACGCGAGCACCGGACTCGACCGGCGTGATTTTTTCCTCCCTCAGGCGGCATTCAGGCCTCAGGAATCGCCCCGATGCGCGATGCACCGGTCAACCGTCGCGCGCGCGGCAGCACTTGCGCGCTGCGAGAGACGCAAAGACGCGAATAAGCGCGCACGTCGTTAACGCGGAGAATATAAATAAAGAGACGCGGCCGCGTTCTTTTCCTCTGTTTGCAGCATGGAAATCAAAACAACACAGCGCGTTCGCGATATCGCGTGGAAGAGTCCGCCGCGCGACGCGGTATTTCGCTCCGCACGCGATTCCGCGCGCAAGTACTTATCGCAATTCCCGTTCTTACGGACAGAATTCCCTCCGCGAGAGCATCGAACATCGCGATATTTATCCTTCGGCTACCTCCCGCCCCCCTCCCCCAAACAAATAGGTCATCACGCGATATTACGTGAGAAATCGATGCTGCCTCATCGCGCTGCGCGACGATCTCTCGCCGGCGCGCGGCGCTCTTCGATCGTATTCCGGCCGTGTTTCAGCCGCGCCACGTCATCGAGAGCCAAGATGCCAGCCAGGCTCCAGGTTGTTCCCCGTTGCGGATTTTTCCCGACGATTCGACAGACCAGACGACGAGACGTTTCGCGACCGTGCGAGCTGCTCGGCCGCCTGTCTTGTTTTCCGAGGCGACCAGAGGCACGGATTCGCCGACTTCGAAGGGACGGAGGGACTACTGCTGCTCTCGGTTTTCGCACGGTTAATCGCGATGACTCCACACTCCTCCCCCTGGCCGGTTTTCTTTTTTCCTCTCTCTCTCTCTCTCTCTCTCTCTCTCTCTCTCTCTCCCCCCCTCTCTTTCTCTCTCTGTATGTCTCTTTATCGGTATCTTTCAAGCGCGACAAAAATACTGCGGCGGATTCGCCGCGGCGATCATACGGCCGGACCTCGAGTCCACCTCGGCTTCGAAAAAGCTTGTACAGGAAACAGAATTACGCCAAGTGTATCCGCCTCGACGCTTCCTCACGGAGATGAGCGAAGCGGAAACACCGTTCCCGGTTGTCTACTGTACTGTTTAGCGTCGCGTTTTTACCGGGACGAGTCGTCGTCGTCGTCGTCGTCGTCGTCGAGAGAGAGAAAGAGAGAGAAAGAGAGAGAAAGAGAGAGAGAGAGAGAGAGAAAGAGAGAGAGAGAAGTCGCGAAGGAATCTCGCGAGCCCGAAGAAACCCGTCCGATGTTTTGTATCGATAAATTCCACGATCTTTATGGGCTGTCCGACTGCGAAATTTGCAGACTCGTGGCAAAAAGCAGACTAGATGGCAAAAACTAAAGGGAAAGCGATGATTTAATGGCCACGACGAACATTATCTCGGAGAAGTTGTCTTCCGACAAACATTTCGCCATCTTCGTTGTTTTAATTGCTGTGTTATTTCCTGGTCGGTGGATCAATCTCGCCCCGATCTTCGCGACTCATTCCTAACAAGTATTTGAGAGAGAAAAAAGAAGGGTACGCGATCGCGCGTCGGAGAAGGAGGGACGAGAAGAACAAAAGTATGGCAGGTGCAGTCGTGCAAACGCGAAGCAGAACGCTCTGCTGCGACAATGCTGCGATACCGCGCGTCTTCGGCAACATTGGTCGAGTGATCGCGAATCGTCGTTGCTGTCGTAATGAGTTTCGAAAAATTCGGCAGCTCGACATTCCAAGGATGAAGCGATGAGAAATGAGCCGAGCCGATGTGAGTCGCAACGCATTGCGCGTTCGTGTGTTTGGGTTCAAGAACTTGGGCTCTTCTCACTCTCTTCGTCTTCAAGCTGCTCTCAGGCTCGCGTTTCCGCTCGATGCTGGGAAAGAGATGGCGGACAAAGAGAGAAGGGGAGAGACAGGGAGGGAGACACAAGAAGCAGGGAGAGACAGAGAGAGAGAGAGAGAGAGAGAACGTCTTGAGAACGATCGGCCATCAGGTCAACGCGCTCTCGGCACAGCCAGCAGGTATTATCTTAAAGGAACTGTATATAATATATGTACACACAACACACAACACACAACAGACACACACACACACACACACACAACAGACACACATCCGTACGATGACGCGCGTATACGCGCGGCCAAGTATTCTGTATGCATGTGCGTGCTGGCAGAAGAATGTTCGTGTCTCTATCGCTTCACACACAAGTTGTGCGTTACGGAACGGCTGGCGTCAATGTTAACGGGCGTTAACGGGCATATTTTTTCGCAAAGCCCGTTTATTTCTCAGATTTCTCCGCGTCTTGTCCCCACACATTGTCCCCACGTGTTGCAGCAGCGGAGTCCGAGAGTGCCCCTTAATAAGCACGACTGCTCAAACGAAATCCTTCCGCGGTATATTGTTAAGCTAGAGATTATTTGTTATTATGACCGGTTCTCTCTCGCTGAGAATGGCGCGGAATACCGGTCGGACCAGATAGTATCGCGAGTACATGCGCGACAACGGTGGATTAAGGCACAGCTGCATTAAGGAAGGATCCGGCGGCGTAAGGGTCGCGTATTGATCGCAACATCGCGCAACAATAGCGGCCACGATATCGAATTCAGCACGAATACGTCGCTTTAACTGTCGTGCAAGCGAGAGAGAGAGAGAGAGCGAGAGCGAGAGAGAGAGAGAGAGAGAGAGAGAGAGAGAGAGAGAGAGAGAGAGAGAGAGAGAGAGAGAGAGAGAGAGCGAGCGAGCGAGCGCGCGCACAAAGAAACGCGATGCCCGCTATTCGCCAAATTAGAAACTGGAACACTTTGATTGCATGCATGTAGGGTGTCCTAGAAGCACCAGATATCCCTCCAACCGCGGGCCGTGTGACGCGGCGGCGGCGAATCTCGTAGTCGAGCCTTCCCCTCGCGACACCGTCGCGAAACGTCGTTGCTCGAGAGAGACACGCGCGTTTTTTTTTTCTTTCACTTCTCTCTCGGTCGAGAGAGAGAGAGAGAGAGAGAGAGAGAGAGTGTTGAGATACGTCTCGCAAAATATTCAAATGCAAATAAAGTTTCCGTTCGAGTCATCGTTGATTAGACAAAGAGCAAATTTTTCCGCGCGTATTCCAAGCGCGACTCCGAAACTCGCCGACGCCGACGTCGCTCGAGAAGATCAACAATGACGCAAGCGTAGCACAAATTCGAGCCGGTCTGGAACATCTCGAGATAATGTGTTCTCGCCTCCTATACTCACCGACGGAGAGAAGGTATCACCACCCGATTCGATCCGAGCTTCTCTCATCGTGTTTTACATTGTTCCTACAAATCCACCTTCGTCGGCGAAAAATAATCCAGGTCGCGCGATTCGTACGCCCGTGTTTTGCGCCCGAATACGCTGAATAAGGTCTCGCGTATTATTATCAATCCACGGTAAAGACACAAAGAGTAAAAACACACTCTTAGCCGAACAATGTACCTCCGTTATGTAGCACGATAATTCTAAGACCCGTGAATTCTAAGGCGGAGCGAGTAAATGAAAAGCACAGAGACTTTAATACTTTGAACGAGCAGTGCATTGTAAGGTTTCACCTTACGCGCGGTGTGAGAAAAGGCAGCACGAAATTTCGCGACGTCGCGAGTGAGAGAGCCAATTGCTTTTGAATTGGTGTATCGCATAAATGATCTCCGTGGAAATGAAAATTGAAACGTAAAAATTCATATAGCCGCGACTAGCCGGTGATTTAATTTGTTTCGGAACGTAGACAACACAAATACAGTTACAGTGAAACGTTGGTAAATTGGAAGCCAATTGCGGTTAAGCATTGAACAAAGAACGCGTGTGAGTGGCCTGAAACACACGGATGGACGAACGAGCGAATGAACGGTCATGAGTTTTTCTAGAGAGAGAGAGAGAGAGAGAGAGAGAAAGAAAGAGAGAGAGAGAGAGAGTCGCCCGAACGGTACCTCGGCTTCTAGTAAAGCGAGTTTTAAAGGCAATCTGCCAGAGCGTCGCGCGACGTTGTGATCCGCGCCAGGACCGTGTCGATTTTTGGATCGTCGCTGTCCGTTGGTCGTTGTCGATTTTCGGCGACTCTCTGGTACTTCGACGAGAACGCGTTCGCGACGATGTAAACGTAGCGGAACTCCATTTACCAGAATAGTCCCGGCTATAGCAGAGCGCAGAGCGGAGTTCACGCGGAGCGGGAGTTCATCGTGAAACTCCCAACCGTCGTCGTCTTCCGACAGAAATCTCTCATCGTTCTCGCTTTAATTCGGTTTGTATTATTCGCGTAGGTAATTACGTATTAAGAGAGCCTACTGAAAATTAACCGCGAGGCGAGACACGAGAGAATCGCTCGTAGAAAGAAGAAGCGACGAGACATGCGCGCATCCCACTTCTACTTATTTCGTAAGATTCCTGCAACGCCTATCACGTGACAAGACACAACAGATAATAATATTTGACATCAACATCCTCGCGCCAGCGAATTGCCAGATACCAGCTGCGAGAGACTTGTACAAACTTGCGCTACAATAAACGGTAAACACAAATTAGCACAATGCGAGACAACGAGACTGTGTGAAACGACGCCTCTCTCGTAACGCACTAATTTTTTTATCGCGTAAATTTCTTCTTAATATCTCATCGGTATTTTTCTTGCCGCGTACAACACGTAACAAACACATATTAATGAGCACGAATGTTTTCTCTCCGGAAAGTCTTTAATTATTTAGATGTTAATGTCGCTTACACGCGCGTCGTTTCGGCGCATAAATATGTGTTATTATTTTCAATCTCCCATATACATACGATTACATATGCAGACAGTCACCGTGTCGTTCTTATCGATGACTAAGTCGCCAACTGGTGTTCCGTGCCAATCGACACACACACACACACACACACACAGTTTGGCGATAAACATTCCGAGCACGGCAAATTAAATACGCAATCGCACTCGAGCAGCATCGATACTCTTCGCCGAAATAAATTCAACAGTCTTTCTCGCGTTCGTGAGAATTAAAAATAAATATTAGACGTTAGGAAGCGACGGGGTAGTTATGCCCCCTCCTTCAAAGATTTCATGGGACCTCGTGCTCCAATTGTGTGACCAAATTGTCTCTTCTCGAAATTGTTTGTCGCATATGAGCTTCAAACCGTGCAACATTTAATTCAACATAATCGCGGAGCCACACGGAGATTGAACGAATTGAAATACGCGACGTATCTTTGCGATATAAATATACTAATGAGGCGCGCTCTGCTGCAGACTGCGATGATGTATTTATACAACTTTTTCTTATCGTATAATGTTGCGAGTAGTTTTTTGCCCGTTGATTTTTGGCTCGCGTCGAACAACATAAGTGTGCGTGAGCGTCACACAGATGTCGCGGATATTTCAAGTCGACCTCGAGAATGTAACCTGTGGGCGAATCTAGCGTGATTAATAACACGTCAAAGTTTAATACACGGTCGGCCTATCGAAATCCGGTTGACACACTGCCTAGCAGTACGACCGTAACACGTCGAGTACGTTAACGTCAAAGTACGACGATGATTTCGATGAATAGTAAGACTGCTACTTGTTTATTATTAACGCGTGCGTACCGGTGCACTTGACCGGTTGACTTAAACCACCGCGTATATCGCGTTTCATCAACAATATCATGTCGATGTGCAACTCAAAATTTACACGTGTATATTTATTTGCGTATGGCGTCCCGCGTGAAATCCGATAACGTGTGCGATACGCGAAGTCTAAGCCATAAGTCTTGATACAATTAACACGGGAACTTTAAAAAATAGCGGCTAATAATAGTAAGACGAGTTATTGGCATGTGCCGCCTCAAGTATGATGCCTTGAATAAATAAAATGTGATATATTCTGAGAAATATACTTTGTATCACTCAATGTACATTGTGACAATTCTTCCATTCGACATGCACAAAGGATACGACAACCATCATCCCGGAATGTTTTCTTCTCGTATCAGTCTTACTTTTTAGCTGATACCGTCTCCGCTATGCAGCCAGGAACAGTATCTTCCATGTATTCGACTTCGCCACTTAATAATCGAACAACTTTTACGTTACATTAAACGATAATGCTCAATGTAAAGGCGATTATAATATTTTTAGTTTAGAGTATTACGGAGCGTTCGAGAAGAGCGCGAGATTTCATGGAACCTTAGTGGGAGAAAATTACCCCCCCTCTCCTCTTTCATTCTTTTATTTAAACTTCATCTACGACGGCAAATATAATTGACTTTAATAAGTTAGTTTGATTTATATAAACCAATTAGATTTCAATCAATGTTCTTATTTGATTTATATTCAACTTAATATTTAATGTATAATTATTGTGTATAAATATTTAATGTTGAATTAATAATATTTTAATTTTCATAATGACGCCCCCTCCCTTATGACGTAGGCGTGGCGTCATATGACGTCAGCTCGTAACCGTCATGACCGCCATCTTGAAAAGTGGTCTAGAATCCACCCTTTAACTTCTCTACTACGATAAAATTTTTCGCGATTCAATCACACTCTCACCGATCCGGTCAGAATCGGAAAGGGATTAGCAATGAATAGGCACGCACCTGTCTGAAGGGCCAGTTTATGTCCGTGTCGTTGAAAGGAACATCCTCGCCACCCTGAAGGACGACGAAAGTGCCCGCGGCGGAGACCTCGCTGTTCGCTCGGAGACGCGAGACGAGGCGCTCGCGATTATCGCGAAAAAGTGACATTGGCACTTTTAGTGTATCTCTAGATCGCCAGAAGTAAGACTTCATGGTGGATCTGAAATCACATGTCACAGCGTGTGGACGGCTATATAATACACACTTCTAATTAATATTCCATTCAAAGCGCGCGCTCCATTGAAATTTTTTTTCGTTCAAGCGACAAATGCTCCGGAGGCTTAACCGAGGTTTAAGCGAAGCTTTATAATTGCGAGAATCTTTTTTCTTCGCTTGTCTTTCTTTCCGTTTCTAGCGTGGGCCGAAACTTACTATTTCGAAATTCTCTGTCACAAGCAACAACCCGCCAACACGAAAACGCCGAATGGCGAACATTACGTTACGCGATACGTTGCCCGCAAATAATTATTTCGCTTCCCGATAATATCGCAGAGACTTTCTAAAAAGAAAGTAGATCCGTCGCATTTATCGCTCTTACTCATCGCCCGCTTACTCATCGATGCCTCCACTTTTGCAGCACCTCTAACACGCGTACACTTAGGTGGGTGACTAGGCAAGCAGCGCGTTGCATCACGAAAGCGATGGAGCGTTGTTACACGCGCGAAATCTGCGAAATATCTGCGAAGATTTCTACGCGACATGCACGCAGGAGGACGAATCAGCATGCAACAATGTTGTACGTACGCTTGAGTCATTCCGAATTTCGTGCGCTTCTCGGGACCATTCTCGAGTAGGTTCGTCGCGAATCCAACTCGACCGGATAGCGACGCGACGCGACGCGACGCGCGAGAGGGTGAGAAGCCTCGCAAGAGAAGATGGCCGGCGAGTGTACTATTTTTAATTAACATGTTCGCGCAAGAGAGACTTAGAGCCATCGGACGACGTGTGTGAAAATAATATGACTTCGGCAAACGCAGTCTGAAACACCGATCGTTGACACATTTCTCTCTGAGGAATTACTTGTCGCGCGCGCGCGCTCTTTGTAACTCAACTCGCTGCTCTCTCGAATAACTTCGGTTAGCATCGGTCGACAAATTTCTTTACGAAGAATCGGCCGTAATGATTCACGACCGATTGGCAAATAACAGCTCACAGTCAGTGTGAGAGACGAGCAAAAGTCGTCCGTGCACAATAGTAAGGCAGCGTCGTTGTACGACGATTTGCTCCGACATTCGGCGGCTAGTAGTAATTACACGGCGTGGGCATAAATAGAACTCGAAACGCGACGTCTATTCTCGCGGGAGAGAAAGAGAGGAGCGTCTCGTGCGCGGCCTCGCGCGCGTATGTATTCCGTTTATATTTAAGCCGTGTCATTGGACGGCTCGCGCGCGCTTCTTGACTGACACAATTCTTGTTCTGCCATATTCCCCGGCGACGAAACGCGTGACGGCGCACGGGAAACTTCGAGAGCATGCTAACGAGACACACGCACGTGTAACGCGCCAAGTGTAACCCCCCGTTATGCTTCTTAACCCTTCTCGTGGCGGCACTGCCGCGCATTCGAGCAAAGTTTCTAAGCTACACACAAATACGGCGATTCAGTCATTCGCCGCTCTTCGCTCTCGACTCCCTCAATTTTCTTCGCGGTAAATATATAGGAAAGGAGGGTATCGATTTTTTTTCACTTTGAAATATGTTACAAAGGATGAAATTCTGAGTGACTTTTCCCGATACAATTATACGGGAGTCGCTTATAGTTTCTGAGATACTTGACTTTAAAGTTTTATAATTGTACGTTGAACTGTATATATTTGAAGCAGACAAGCAGTTTTCATTCACTTTAAATGTAGAAAACAGGATACATATAAGCGGAAAAGGAGCTCTCCGCCTCTCCCCAAACAAGTCCTAACCTAACTTAACTTATTGCATCTTTGTATATTATTGGACATTGTTGAAAAAATGTTCTCTTAAGATCTATCACCTGGCACCTAACTTAACTTATTATAATATTTGCATATAATTCGGTGTTGTGGCTTTTAAGGAGATCTTTTCAACATCGCCCAACAATATATAAGGATGCGATAAGTTAGGTTAGGATTTTTTGGGGGAGGGAGTGCGGGGGAGATTTAGACTGTAATGTAAATAACGTCGGCTTATGATATCTGGAATTTAATTCCAGGATAATCAAAATTCCAAAACTTTAAAATCGAATATCTCGGAAACTATAAGCGACCTCCGATATAGCTGTATCAGAAAGTCACTCAGAATTTCATCATAACATATTTCAAAATGAAAAAAACCGGTGAGGTGTACCCTTTTCTTTATATTTATCCTCATTTCTTATCTCACCATAACGGTCTCCATGTTTCGATTTTACGACGGTTTTACGACGGTTTTTTTTTCGTCGGGTAATTACGTCGCACGAGCGATACTGGTAGAAGAAAGAAAAAAACACTTTCGCTCGCGTGAATCGCTCGACTCGATTTTCACTCCCGCGTTGAAAAGAGACATTCGATTATTAAGTCGGATGTCGACGAGGCAAGAGCCGTTTGGCGTTTGGCGTTCGCGAACAAAGCGAAACGCTCCCCGTAGCGAGAGAAGAAGTGAAAGCATCGCTCGACGGCTCGGGTGCAACGTCGTATTTTGTGTTAACTTTTCGCATAAACACTTCCGCCCGGCTTTCCTCGAGTTTGTACATCAAGTACAAGGCGGTAGGAAGGCGCGCCGCGCGCCTTCCACACCGATGCGTCTCCTCTCGCGTCAGTCACGAATAGCTCTCGGAATAGCACACGCTAGATATAAAATCCGCATCCGTATATACAGCTCGATAATGACATATTATGCACGCAAAATTCCAAATCGGGTAACCGCGGTCGGCATGAATTTTGCAGGTGAAATATACGCGGTGTAGTCGCGCACGTCGATACTCGCAAGCAAGCAAGCAAGCAAGCAAGCGCGCGGCGCGCGCCAAAGAATTGCGCAGCCGAGCCGCAATTAGCGCGAGTATACATTTTACGAGTATTGCTATTTTCCGGAACACGAGGCACTATTGCATTACGCTGAAAAATGTTACGTTCCCGTCCTCTTGATTACGCGTAGTGGAAGGTATACAAATTATCTAATCTCCCGTGAGCGAAAGATTGTATCGTCTTGGAAAATTTTATATTTTGCAGCAGCTTCGCGATATATAAAGTCGCACTTCGATTCATTGATATCACTTTTATCTTTATGCGATATCCGCAGGCGAGCAGGCAAGCGGGCAGGTAAGCGGGCGAATAATGATTACATTGTTTACCGATTGAAGAGAGGACAGGCGCACTAGACGACACCGACTCTCTGACTGCTGCTGTTCTCGTCACGTAAAACACGTTGACATTGAAAAATACGGAGGCGAGTCGGGACTCGAAATTTAGGAGCCTACAAACAGCACCGATAACGCGACCCGCCGTTTTGTTTGCCGAAATGCGATGTACGTACGATGTCGCCGCGCACGGCAGCTGCTAAACGAACGATAGCACCTTACACCTACCTACGTTATACTCCAATTACGTCATCAGACGTAATCAGACGTAATCAGACTGCGACGACGAAACGTGTGACTTTCCACTACGAAATTTCCCACTGATGATTTTTCCGTCGTTCTTGACTAGCGGCACGATAACGAAAAATTTCACGACAAAAGTTTGACAAAAGTACGACTATCAGCTCTGAAAATATGTGCATTATTTATGTTTTGTTGTTTGAGCACAAACATTGGATGGAGCAATGCTTAAATTCGTTGCTCCACCAAGTAAGCTGCAAAGAGACTGAACATTCGTCGTCGTCGTCGTCGCAAACAGATGATTGACCAATGAACAATGAGTATTTTACAAGAGAAACTAGTTTCTTCTTCGCACAATGTAGGCGACCACGTGTTTAGCGTGCAAACATGTAATTACGCATAACGCAAACGTAAACAACGCGTCATTAATTTGCCGCACACACACAAGTCGGGCAACCTAGAAACCTTCTTAAACGATCGTGTCTTCGACGAAGAAATTTGTTCCTCTTGTAAGGGCGTAAAATGAAGACACATCACGCCCGCCAAGAAATGCGACTCATTATAAACATGTACAGAGCATTCCATCATGATTGTGTCAACGCGCGTTAATGGCAGTTCCTTAGATAATACCGAACGTTAGAGTAATTAGTTCCGTTAGTAGGAAAATGTTGAGGCTTCTCAAGTGAGAGACAATACTTAACGAACCGTAACGACTGGTAGATAATATTTTTCCAAAGTTATTACAAACAAGATATTCCGTCGCGCTAAGGAAGAACGTGTCACGTGGTGCGCATCGAGTGTTTACAAATTTATCGTAGATTGTACGAGTCGATCTTAAGAACATTCAACTGTGATAAACAAGTCTGTCGCGTGTGCAGAGAACTCCCATTCTTTAAACATAGTGATATCGAAAATTTCCAAGCAGGAGCATCACGCTTGAATGATCGTGCTTCGTGAATCGGTAACGGTGCTCGAAAACTGCCGATCTGTCACCATACGTGTCAGTTTACCGGCTTCACATTTCACCTGTGCGGCACGAAAAAATGCAGACGGTGTCGATGAGTTGCTTCAAATATCTGCTACATATTTTTATAAGAGGAAGTAATATTTGTGGACAATTTGTCGTACGTGTAAGAATAAATCTAACGTAAAGTAGGGAAGGTCAAGTAGGTAACGACAAGTTGATATGTTTACAAGATTAAGAAATATTAAGACAAAAACGTGTGTATTTCGAAAATTCTGACCGAAATCCTGATGTTACTTATTTCTTGACCTTTCTCACTCACTTTACGTTAGATAGCGCGCGGCCAAACGTCCAACGAAGATGAATTCGTTTTCGTTTTGGGCTCCTTGATAATGATAATCTTCTAATGATAATCTTCTTTTTGTGTACGACTAAATGTCTAACTCTTTAATCTGAGTCTCTTATCGTTCTCGAGAAAAATAGTTTCTCGAGCTTCCCAGAGTCCAAGAGTCCCAATTTCAACAGATGGCGCGCCACGTAAAAAGATAAATATCAGTTGGCAATAGCAGCTAATTACACCGCGTATGACATGTTTATCGTTTGCGGTCAAACAACACTGATACAAAACTTATCGATGAAATCTGAACTCGGTGAAATTTTAACTTAAACCAGTGATTAACGATTGACAGACTGATTACTGTCAGACAGCACAGAGCAAGTCGGAACCACGGAAATCACCACCAATATAACATGGTTCGGATATTTTTGGATAATTTTTTTGACAACAGTCACACAGATTACAAAGATATTTGGAATCGACTCGACGTGAAAACTTTAATCATATGCGGAAAAAATTGTCATTATCGAGGATCTCAAAATCAGGCGAAACTTGGTTGCATTCTCTATTTTTACATGGCTGTTTTCAGACGTCCAGCAAATTCCAGCAAATTGTCTATGTACATAAATATTATTTTTTTTTCTTCTTATTAAAAATATGTATAGTAGACATTCAAAAAAACTTGACGACATCGCTTGCATTTTTCGCCGCGCTGTACAAATTAAAGCTGTCAAACTAACGCACGTGATGACAGGTCAGCAGCTTTGTTGGAGCATCGTTGCCGATTACCAAGCAATGAAGCACGAATATTCAACTATAATACGCCTGGTTGGAAATTTTCAATATCGCTACGTTTAGCTAAAATGGTAATGTATTTTAACGGAGTTTTATGTACAATCTTATTGATGGGAAAAGAGCAGTGTATTATATGTACGCGCATTTACGCGTTGCGCGCGTTAAACTGTAAAACTCGAACGTGAGAACTTTGGTCATTACATTTCGTTCTCACCCTAATTGCTTCCTGTTTAAAAGGTATTATTATTATCTCGATAACATTTGCTGCCAAGATTTTCAACCCCGGGCTATCCAAATAATCAACCGGTGTGACGTTGACGCGGAAGCGACATGGCACAATCCATGCTCGTTTCAAATTACACATTTCCGTCGAAGGTGGAAAATGTATTAAGTCAACATAACTGATGGCTGTTCCTTATTTCACTCATTACAATTATTATTCCTCCTTCTCCACCACCACCTCCATCTTCATCTTCATCTCCTCCTCCTCTTCCTACTGCCACTACTACCAAGGATGAATCAATCATCCTTGTAAAGAAACCTTCAATTATTTTGGCCTACTACATGCGACGCTAGAGTTAGAAAAGCGAGGCTTTTATTACGGTCGGCTCAGCCCATTATTACATCCCGTACGAGTGCGCTGTTATCAGGCAGCCCAAGGCAGTCAACACGATTCTCACGAACGCGAACGGAGCGTACCACGGTCGTCCTACCACGCATAACCTCAAAATACGGCGAAGTGAAAGCGAGCTCGATCAACTCGCCGACGAACGGGGAAACACGATTCATGATGCCGCGAGCGAGTTCGGACGATTTCGCAATCCAACACAACATTGTATGTGTGTATCGACGTTTCGCGTCGAACGCTTGTCGTGACATTGTTACGAACGTTACGAACCACACATCCGTGACTCGTTCGTGAATTCTCACCGGCTAACTTCTCGACGATACGAATCCCCCTCGCGATTAGAAACCGATGTAATTTCCGTTCTAGCTCAACTTTCCACGCTGAAACGTGAACGTGAAAAAGGCAGGGCGTCACGTATTAATCGTCGCGCGATTGTATCAGTAACGCGAACACCAACCGCGGAGAGATAATTTTCGCGTGATTGATCGCGCGAAATGATTCACAACGTGAGAGAACGAGTTTGCCGAGAATACACCAGTCTCGGTTGGACCGAGTGGAAATACTGGCAGGCAAGTCCACTCTCGCGAAGGACAACGAGACACAGTACGACAATGACGACTAAAACAATGTGAATATGATGAACTTACGGCTTAGCGCTACCAGATTCCGCCATGTTGTTCGTTGTGTTGCGTACAGCCTTGCGGCACGGTGTGCGTTCCGGCCTCCACCCTGTCGTGGTCACCGACGTCCAGCAGAATCGATGAACAGGAATGGCTGTCCAGATGGTCGCTGGGCGAGGCTATCGCATATTTATACGAACGCGCATCGTAACTTTTATCAACTACGTTATCGCGTCGGACCACGACGTGCTCATCTGACAACTCGGCCCGCGATCACGTGGTCGACTGGCGCGCAACCGACAGTAGCCGATGGTAGCCGAGCGTGGCCGAAGTCTCGCGTCCGATGTCAGCCGAAGGCACGTGGTCGATGACACGATCTGACGCAATATTTTGACCACAAAGAAACCGCCGTCATTGTTGTTTACCAAATTCCAGACAGCGTGACAGAGGAACCGTGATATGTTGTAGTATTTCTGAGAAATTATCTTTTTCTTCGACGAGATCCCATATATATATATATACACATATATAATATCTAAAAATAACTTCAGTAAATAATATAACGGCCGTCGTTATTGTGTTCTTTTCTCCGAATGAGCTTTTGACTTTGATTTTGTCGTTCAAATGATCCGATAATAATGCATAGCAGTGAGTAGTTGTTATTCTTCCATGTTCCAAGTAATTGAGGAAAATTATTCGAGAGGAATCCCAAAAGACAATAGTCATGATCTTTCCTGGGGCGGCTTTCCGCCGAGATCGTCCTTGTCTTCTTCGGAGATGATTCACTGTGAGATATGTACTGTCTATTCTTCTGACTATTCTTTAGTTTCCAGTATGTAGTGATCCAAGTTTTATCGACGAGTTACGAAACAATGCACAAAATCATTTTCGTCTCACGCTGAGACATATTTAGACAAGCGTCTAAAATTGAGTTGAGAAATCATTCGAACTTGCTGCTGGTCGATTATCCACGAACGCGATATCTATCGAACAGTGAGCTTCATATCCAAATGTTGATGCAACATACAATGTGCACAGTCATATGAAATGCCTGTAGCCTTCCCCCCCCCCTCCTCCGCTATCTCTCAACTTTAATCGACGATCATTTGAAATGTTTTGACCCGACTTTGTATATAGAATGATGAAAAACAAATAAAAAATACATCTATACAATACAAAGAAAATATACGTCAAAGCGCATAAGCCGCGATGCAGAAACTTTTTAAAGATGAACGCCGAGGACTCGCGCAGTCAATTCGAAAATATTATCACAATTCTCATTGGACTAATCAATAATCGTCGCGTTCTCCGTTTATATACACGTAGCCGCCAGAATTTCTACTATGACGCCTACTTTAATCACGAGCGCGTATTTAATAGCGCATCATTCTTTTTCCAACGTACAAACTAGGTCGTATCACGTTCGCTATCTCGCACCGAAATCTGTGTCAACATACAGACACAGATAGCAAGGTCGGTGTCCGTTATTAGACATTCGAACTGTTTACTTATGGCCGTGCCGCTAACTGTGTCGATTCGAGAATAAGAGGGGATGAGATCCGTATCGTGTTCACAGTTTTGTAATTGCAAGAAAGAAAAACATCTACTCGGGACACTTTGATGATAAGAGAGTCACGAGTCGATGCGGTCACTACATGCGTCTCTCTCGATGCGTATCGGCCTGTGAAGAGAGATTATCCATTATATAATATTATCGTATGGCTATAAGAGCGATAAGAGTAGATTTCGCGCACATTTCGTGTTATCGCATTTTGTATTTTGAGTTGGGCGTGATGCAACGAGAGGATCGAGAGTGATGAGATTTCTCGCGTAATGACTAGACGTAGATTGAAATTTGCTGGCGTGTGTGACTCATTAACTACGAACTACGTACGATTTGAATCCGATCGAGTGCTTCCGACTGCGCTCACGAGCGTTTTAACTTTATCTTCACGAAATCACGAAAATAAATAGAAAGAGAGGAGAGAAACGTGATAGCTCGGCAATGTCAAGCTTGGATTTGGTTAGTTTCCTCGGAAATAAATATTGCTAAGCAAACGCAGCTATGTGAAACGCGACGCCGTCTCGCGTACAATAATAGCGCAAGGTTTTCTTTCGAACTTCAGCCGATGTAGAATCCTATTCTCAGTTTACGGACGACAGACCCGAAGACCTTGCTTGAAGGTCGCGCAAACGCGCGTTACGCGTATTATATAAGGCGCAATTTTTTACACGATACGACGCGAGATAAGAAAAATCACCGCCGAGAGGAAACCGATTACATATATAAATTGATACGCCTGCAAAATTCATCATTTCAGAGTGGAAAAAACGATAACGTGAGATATTTTATTCATACTGTTGACTATTCGTGTTTTTGGACCGTATCAGCTATTGCTATTTTTATCAGGTACTGGAAACGCGATATAAAGACAAATCAAATTCTTCCTGTCAATCTAACTCATTATCGGAGTCTTTCAGGGGCGTCCATGTTTTATCGCACGGACGACAGTTAAGCTACATACGTGTTCAACGTGACACACACGATTCGCGATATGTTCTATATTTAAAGTAGACAGAGAATGTGTGCTTTTTTTAAAGATTGAATAAAAATGTACCGAAGAATCTGCAATCTAGAGAAAAACCGGATGTGTGCAAAATTTCGCGAATTTGACTCTACAAGGCGAGAGAAAGACAAAAATGTTAAACATACTGTTATTGAGGAGCAGACTAACTATCAATTTGCATACAAGCACACCAAAGTGTCTTCAAATTTCCTCAAACACTTTAGATTCTTATATAAATTCCTTTCTCAAACATATTCCGCGTATCATCGATAGATTTACACATCTTGTTTACACACTCGTGTGAGCTATTCAATACAAAATACAGATAAATCTATACCACGAATCGCGGTTCGCGATGCCAAATAGTTGGACAAACGTATAAATGGATGTTCTTGAATTAGGTCAAACCGCGCCAAGTTTTCCGTTTATTTTCGCATGGTTCGCGCGCGCGCGATTGATCGCACTGTTGTGCGATAATCGAACACTACGCCTCCGCTGGTAGGTAAAATTATCAGGGAAAGTTTAATTGCGTAAGAAATGAAAAAAATACTAGGTGCTGCCGGAAAAAAAACTTTCCGTTTCCGCGAGCGTATTGACGCGGGCGAGGCCTGCGTCTTCTCGGACGAAAACGAATAATCTTATACTGAGGTCGAGATTCGGTAATTTAAACGCGCGGGATATACGCGCGAGGAATCACGCACCGTCGAAAATGCGCATTATCTTTCGCGGCGTTACTTAGCGCGATTCGATTCATTTGGTTTTTTTGCGTGTGCTTCTATAAACATTACAATGTCGCCAGTCATTCGGTCAAAGTCTTCTTCGACGAGGAACTGCTGATGACAAACAAGTGTCTAACAATCTCCCGCTTTCGGAGCTGTTTCACGATGACACTTGACTTTCCTGCGGGTCAAGAAAGTTTGCTCGTTAACCTCTCCAATCCCAGAATAATCCCGTTTTGCTTCTTTCCTTTTGAGAAAAATAGGCATTTACGAATCGCGCTCATAATTCTGCGGTGTAGCTGCGGTGTACTTGTTGTACCGCTAAATAATGCAAGTTGCTACAAAATCTTCACAGACGACGACTCGACGTCCGAGCGAAATGTCGTTATTTACGTTACTATTAATTATTTGAAAAAGAGAATCCTTGACGTTCATTTAGCATAACAAAGTTACAAACTTGAACCATAAGCGTGAGAGAATGAAAATATGTTCAAAATAAATAGCTGCGGAAGATGCCGCTATGTACGATATAACATTCGCACAGAAAAGATGCACAGAAATAGAAATCGCGCGATATTCACAGTTCGTTTCCTCAAATTTATAAGAACGAGTTCCCGGATAAGACATTCTATTATAAATTATAAGTCATCCTTATTACGAAACGCGATAACAAGTGCCGAGTGAGTGTATTCCGAGAGTTCGTAAATTTTTGAAAGCGTCAATATATCGTCGAGTGATCTGTCTGAAATCGACACGATCGAACCTTTCCTTTTCTACCTCGAGCCGTCGTTTCAGGTCAGAAGCATGGAACAAACTGGCCCGTAAAATCGTGTCGTTTTTATTCCATGTCCGCCGATCCAGGGACCGTTCGCTTTATTGCCGTGTCACTATGATTAATAATTTAGCGTGAATCACGCGTGAGACGACGCCCTTCGCAGTTCTTCGCGACATCATTCTCCACCGTTATCCGATACAATTTCTCTCTTATATTATTCCTGTTCCTCTTTCTCTCTCTCTCTCTCTCTCTCTCTTTGCGTCATTTCCATTTCCCGATTCAATGCTGCAAATCGTGCTTTAAATCTCGCCGCGTGATATCGAGAGCTCGACCAAGATATGAATATTGAGTACCGGCTCTTCCGCAGAATGTCTAAAACCGCCGCGGAAAATCCGGAATATATAGCGCGGTTTCATGTAACACCAGCGATGTGTCTTTATTTATTATCCCGGTTGTTATCAACGCGAGATATATTGGTAAACGCAAAGCCAAAAGCAAATTTCTAGAAGCTGGCACGGAGAATAGCTTCAATGCGCGCCAACGATCAGAAGGCCAGTGAACTGCCGCCGGCTATATAGGGTGTCCCGTTACTATGCCGTCATTCCCGGTAATGACGGACTGTTTGACGCAACAGAAGTCAATATTGTTCCGAAAGAGAGCTCTTCGCCAAAGGGGCCGTATAATATTCTAAGCTTCGACTCAAATGAAATTCCCGTGAAGCTTCAGACGCGCGATCGCGAAAGGGGCCGCTTGTCACTTGACGATTCCGTGAAACGGAAGCGTCAGCGATCCATCGTCGCGTTACCCGAAATATTACGTTGAGTGATTCCGTAATTAAGTCTTCGAGTTACCGCTAAGCATCGTTCTCGCAGGCAAGAACGGTAACGGCAAGACATCCTGTATAGGAGAGGACATCCTGTATATGAGAGCGTATGCGCGCATCCACGATGTATTTGTGGCACACGCTCTGCCATCAGACACCAAGCAGAACCGTTTGATGTCTGCGTTTAATGACGGTGAAGAGGGAGAGAGAAGGAGACAGGGGGCAGAGAGGAGCGGATAATCGGTGGAAAGTTTTCGCGCAACAGCGCGCAACCGACGTCAACACAACACACTTTACACGTGTCTGCATTCGAAACTTGGTATTTCTTTATTTCTCACCGTTTCTCCTCCTTATCCATTATTTTCATTATTAATCAGTAAGACTTGTGTCGGACGTGCGAGCCCAACGATCACAACGAGATGTAGTTTTCGCAATGCACCCTTCTCTTAACGGCGAAAGTTAGAAAAAGAACGAGGAACTACGCTCTCTCATTCATCGTCGTAGGAAAAAAAAAGAAAAAAGAAAGAAAAGAGGAAAGTGAAAGAACGAAAGAGACTACAACGCAAAACTTCCGCGCACGCTCTCGCACTCGCACACGCACGCGCACGCGCACACACACACACACACACACACACGCAACTCTCGTATAACGCGAGATACGAGCACTTCGTCGGAACTGTGGAATCCTGACGCAATTCGTTCGCTCCGCTCGCAATAGGTAGGTACGCGATGTGTACTAATTGCTAACTTATCTAATTAGTCGGATAAGGCGGCTACGTCGACGAAAGCGACGAGAAGCCGCGCGGCGCCCGTTATGCACGATCATCTCCTCCGTTACGTATCGCTACGAGTGTTGTTTTACTGCATCACCGTGGCGATCGCTTTTACCATGTACACACAACACCGTTTTTCCTCTCTCCCTCTCTCTCTCTCTCTCTCTCTCTCTACAGTATAAAATCCCGGACGCTGTGCCCAGTCAATGACGTCACAACTCGACCGGCATAATCGAAGGTTTATTTGCGTCAATTGATTGCGAGGTTTAGAAATAACGCGCGAGACCCACGACAATATCCATCGCGACGTTATTATCGAGTAGTAGTAGCGATAGTGGTATCGATCACACATGAGAAGAGAGAGAGAGAGAGAGAGAGAAAGAGAGAGAGAGAGAGAGAGAGTAACAGCCTCTTTCAATAATTAAGTTAGCTCCTGACATCACAGCTGCCACGCAGAGATCTTCTGTGTTGCAGATGGATTTTTCCTCTTTCGTCTCCGTGCGTGACGAAGAACCCATCTCGCCGCGAACTTGTACAACGCACGCGTGCAAAGTTCTTACACATCATGGGTATCAGTGTATGTAACATCAACAGAGTGTATCTCCTAGCGATCGATAGCGATAAGTAACTATGCACTAAAACATGCACAGAGAGAGAGAGAGAGAGAGAGAGAGATATATATATATATATATATAAAGCTATACGTTATTATACAAGTCCACGTTAACGCTTCTCCTCCTTTCGTCTCCTTTCTCCTCGTTGCTCTCATTGAATTTTCTGCCGCTCCTTCATCCCGCTTCTCTCTCTCTCTCTCTCTCCACCGAACTCCGCAAACGTGGACGTTATCTACATCTTTGACATTTTCCACTCCTTCGTTAATACTCCAGCGCGCCGAATTAACCCTAAACGATATAATCGAGACGATACCGTCGACGTGTCTCTTGTCCTTTTTTTCTTTTTTTTCTCTTTTACCTCAAAGCCTATTATTATTTATAGGCCTGTCGCTCTCGAGATGCCTCACACCGCGAGGCGCGTGTTTATCTGACACGAGCTTAGAAAGTCCTCTCCTTCACGGATTTCGATCGTTGTACCTTCACGGTATAACAAGGCTCGCGTATCATCGATGAGAAAAGTCGCATTTCCAAACGGACTCGAGAGCATCCGCTTGTGCGTGAAATGTACCTCATCCGTCGGAATACATTCCTGAGCAGAGACGCCGAGAGTCGCTCGGTGGTCTTCTCTCCCTCTTATTCACCTTATTGTTTTCCGAGCTAACAGTCCGGGCGACAGTGTCTTTATACGGTTTAGGGTTAAGGGCGCAGCTGTCGGGAACTAAACCGAACCTAAGCTAAGCTATCAATGATTTCGCCTCGCTGGTCGATCCGCTGGTCCGCTCGCTGCGCGCATCGTGAAAAAATAAATGAGATCACCGTGTCTGTGTGTGCCTGTATGCGTTCTCCTTATCTCGCAACGTTTGTGCCCTTAATACTTCCGCACAATACAAAGGCATCGGATAGTCGTTGATCGATCACGGGCGCGGTTTATCCGTCGCTTTTCTCACTCGCTCACAAATTGTGGATCGTGTAATCCCCGAGGAGGGATTCGGCGTTCCTGTCTGCGATAGCCTGCAGGGACATCCTCGTCGATACATGTAGTATTCCGGGATGCCCCGTAGTCGCGCGCGCGCATACTCGATATTAGCCGGCATTATTTTTTTTATTCAACCACGGCCGATTTATATGATTTTGCGCGGCGCGCCGGCGCGCTGCGTCTTGACGCTCTCTTTCGGAATTTGGAGAGAGACCCCGCGTGAGATCGAACAAACCCGCGGAGAGATGCTTTCTCTTGTGCACGACTCGCCTCGCGGATTCTTTCATCTTCCCTCGGGAAGCCGCGACGTGCCTGCCTCGTGCGCTATGCGACTTGGACTTTCCTTGCAAGTAATAGTAGCGCGCCACTCAAGCCACGCAACAAATCGGCTGTACATCCTCTATACAGCGGTAACGATATTTCGCCGGTATCTTAATAATTATCAAGAAACGTCCGGCAATGCTGACCAACAGAGATACGACGCGCTATCTCCCGATTCCTCGCATGCGTAAGAAGAAACACATCGCGCGGGCGCGACCCGATGCGTTACGATTATCGCGCGCGCAATATCTTTCAGTAAATTTAGATACCGAGACGCAAATATCGATGAGACACGCTGTGGAATACGGTACGATACGGTACATTGAGTGTGCGCGTATCGAACGCTACCGTACAGGGTGATTCAGAAAAAGAGCCCGAGACGTTTCTCCGGCGTATGCAGCAATGTGTGTGTGTGTGTGTGTGTGTTCGTGTGTGTTCGTGTGTGTGCGCAGCAGAAAATAGAGCAAAAATATTCAGTCATCAATCCGCTCGTCGCGAGTACACACAAGCGACTTATTTAGCTCCTCAAAGCCAATTGTAGACGAACCGCGCGATATATCATGACGCACAAGCTGACCTACAAGATATCTGCCGATAATGTTAGGCGCGCGCGCAAAATCGCGCCGAAACAAGCGACGCGAGTGACCGGCGTTTTTTCGAATTACCCTGTGTAGAACCGCGTCAAGTTGACGTCCGCAATTACTACCCGCGATCCACCACGTCGTCGGCAATATATTCTCCGGCAATTTCGAGGAGTGTCGTCGACACGGAGCACGCAACGCACGGCAATGCGCGGCTGTACGAGAAAGGAACGTCTGAGCGACGCGCGTTTCGAACGGTGACGGAGCGATTCGCGCGAGCCGTAAGTCTTCCACGTAGACCCGCGACGAACGTCGATACAGCTATCTCGGCCGAGGCATTACGAAGCGAGCGAGCTGGCACGCAGCGCCGACAACGCGTCGTATTTACAAACACGCCCATGTAAGGCGAGTTCTCGCCTAATTGCGTGTCGCGCGCGCGCGCGTCATCGTTACGCTCACGCATTCTTCCCGGGAAATATTATCTCTCTCTCTCTCTCTCTCTCTCTCTCTCTCTCTCTCTCTCTCTCTCTCTCTCTCTCTCTCTCTCACACGCGCGCGCGCGCTTATACACAGGAAAGGAAAACCTTTTTACGGAATAAATTCCTTATCCCCTTTTGAAGGAACTCCGGCGTGGCCCGATATCGAGAACAATAAGCCGTCCTCGCCTCCGCATAAAGGCGACAGAGATCATCGTTATTGTGAAGCAAGAACTGTCCCCCGGGGAGAAGAGACCGCGGTCGCTCGTGAAGAGAATCCAAGAGACGGGTGTAGTGTTAGGGTCCGTGTTAGATACTTCCGCTTAAATGACGCTGCAGCCGTGGCCCTCACAGTTCCAGCGGTTCGTACATCGGTGGTAACGGCTCGTCCTCGGAATCGTAGAAATATGGTTTCCTGCGGTAACAGCCGCTGGTCCTCCGCTCGTCATCCTCGTCGTCGACCACCACCTCCTCGTCCTCCTCCACCTCCGAGCTCGACAGCTCGTCGAGATTCGCCTGCAGCCTCTTCACGGCCTCTTTGATGAGGCCGCCTTCGCGCAGCAGCTCCTGCAGAACCTCGTACGGGTCGTCGTCCACCCTGTTCCTCTCGCTCCTCTTTTGCTGGTTGTGATGGTGGTGGTGGTGATGGTGATGATGATGATGGTGGTGGTGGTGATGATGATGGTGATGGTGGTGATGAGGATGACCGGCCATGTGATGCTGTTGCTGATTGGGACGCAGGCCGCAGATCTCGCAGCCAGCGGCTGGGTCAGCCCAGGAACGCGCCGGCACTCGATACGGCGACGGTCGGCTGTTCTTGTGGCTGATGCTGGACTTGGCCTTCAGACTGGACAGTCGTAAATTCTCCTTGATCTGCGAAACCAAGAGGTCGACGTCGCGCGCCAGAAAGGCGTCCGCCTGTGCCCCGTCCGGCATCGGCACGCTGATCAGATGATAGGTCGTTTCCTCGGCGCTCGGCATCCTGGGGAGGAGTCGCTGTCGCGGAAAACACAAACGAACGGAACGGCCGAAGCGCTCACCGGCAGAAGCGCGTCTGCTGGAAAACGGGAGGAAACAAAGAGTCTCGGATTCTCTCGCGATATTTTGTCGTGGTCCCTTCTTCTCCAGCCTCTAGGACGTTGCCGGCTGTTTTTCTCTCGCGGCCTCTTTTCCCGCACTACCGTTGTTGCGCCTTTATCTATCGCCGGTGTTTACTTTCGGTAGACGGTTCTCCGGCAATACAATACCCATACAGGTAGAGAGAATAGGCGCAGCCTGTGTGTGTGTGTGTTTTCTCCCGAGAGAACGAGACCGTTGGATGGAAATCGAATGGAAAAGAAAAACAAAACCGAGCGACGTTCTCCCTCGAACGAGGAAACTTGGACGGTTGGCGCGCGCGATATCCTTCTTTTTCCCACGACGGAAGGATATCGCGGTCGCGTTCTCTGATCCGCGCGAGCGATAATTATAGAGCTAGCCGCCGATCTCTCGCTCTTTCCTCTCCTCTTCTCTCCTCTCCTCTCCTCTCCTCTCCTCTCGTCACGTCCCGTCTCGTTCCGTGAGCAGCTCTCTCGTTCCGCACGTCGTCGCGGCGCACGAGGACACGTCACAACAATACAACACGTACGCGCGCGTGCGCGTATAATATGTATATATGTATATATATATGTATATGTATGTATATACGTGTATCCGGTGAGGCGCGTCCGTGTCGTAATCAAACGGGTTGAGCGTGATTCACTGGCCAAATACGCGCGGCGATTACCCTCGCCGCGTCCTCTTCGCTTCGTGCGCTTTCGGCTCCGCTCGTTCCTTTCGAAACGGCCGAGATGATGATGATGATGATGACGACGACGACCGACGACCGACGACCGACGACGACGACGACGACGACGACGACGACGACGATGATGACAACGACCACACTACGGGAGAGTCGCGCGTAGAATCGCGGCTGACTGTTGAATGAATGCCGCGCGAGTACGAGCGTGCGACTGCTAGCCGCGCGCATAAACAAACACACACGAGCGCGCCCGCGCGGCAGCTGCAGGCAGGTACACGTATACGTACATTCACGTACACGGCCGCACACACATACGGGGCACACCGACTATGCGCTACACCAGCAGCGCATTGTTTTGCTTCCGAGCTGCGATCGAACGTACACACGGTGTCCGAATGTCTCGCGCTCTTTTTCCCCCTCTTTCTTGCTCTCTCTCTCTCTCTCTCTCTCTCTCTCTCTGTCTCTCTCTCTCTCTCTCTGTCTTCGACTAGTCGGTGATCGCGAGTTACACAATGTACGCACACCCGTTACACGCACTTCACTCTGACGATGATGTAACGTGGAGGTGAGAAAGAGAATCGAGACACGAAACGAACGGTGACTCAGTTATGACGAGACAAAACACCTTGCGCACTCATGGATTTCGAATCAAATATCAGTCTATTGTCCGTAACTTTTTTTTTCTTTTTTTCTCTTTCTCAGTTCTCTCACTGTCTCTCTCTCTCTCTCTCTCTCTCTCTCTCTCTCTCCTCCCCTCCTCTTCCTCTCGCCTATTTACTTCGAGGTAGATCACAATTCCGTAACGATTTTGCGAAACCTGCCGCGGTGATTCTTGCTCCGACAAAAGTTTCTTGAGAAATGCCGAGCGGCATGAAGACTTGAGATACACTCGAGTCGAATATTAACAAAGTGCTGGAACTTGCCTTTATGACGATTACGAGGTAGTCGCGACACTCCGTCCCGAGACAATCCCACGCGAGTGACTTCTTGCTCTTCTTGAGGCACCGGCCGAATCGCGCCGCTTTGGAATGTATATACGCGGTACGAAACGTCCGTCTGACTGTGTGTGCGCGCGCGTTTTCTCTCGTTTCTGCCGACGGACAATACTCTACGGTGACGACGGACGACGACGGCGAGTCGACTCTTCGTCGTGACACGCGCGCGCGGACTTTCAATCGACAAGCTTCGACGAGAATTCGCGTCGAGACGCGAAGAACGAGCGACCGTCCGTTCGTCCGCCAGCCATGAACCTTCTGCTTCTACTCTGTTATTATTGTTTTGGCCGTGCGACGCATGCGCGCATCGCGCGCATCGCTCCCCGCCAGCCCTCCGCCGCTCCCTACCCGTAGCTGTGCTCGTGTAAACAAACCGTTAACTCACGAGCCCCGGCGAATCGATAATACTCCTCGCCTCGCCACTTCCCCGTTCCGTATTCTTCCCTCTCTCTCTTTCTCTCTCTCTCTCTCTCTCTCTCTCTCTCTCTCTCTCTCTCTCTCTCTCTCTCTCTCTCTCACTTACCTGCCTTCTCCTCCTAAAAGCTCTTTCTTCCTTTCTCCTTCCCTACCCTTTACCGATATGTTAACGATACCGAGAAAACGAGCACGCATCATTAGCGTTAGTAAAAGAAAAAATAACGAGACAGCTTTTCTTATATTTATGCGTGAAATGTCGCAACGATCGTGGTCGTCAACGTATACGGTAGCGCATAGTCTCGAGAAGCACAATTTTCTACACAGTGCATTTGAAAACTTTTACGAATAATTTTTGTAAACGTAAAACTAGTGGCGCTATCTACCGATCGCCATGAAAAATTTCTCATATACAGCTTCATTGACATTTCGCTTTGGTGGCGTTAGTATAGATATGATGATTGCGTAGAATATCTTCGGTTTTAACACGTTGTGTGTGTGTGTGTGTGTGTATGTATGTATGTATGTATGTATGTATGTATATGATCGCATATTATAAATTAAATTTCCAATAAAAAGTAGTACAACTAACCTTTAAGAAGAGGAGGCTTTTTCGACTGGAACATAGATCCGCGAAGAGCCAAAAAAGGAAAAAGAGGGACATTGATGGAACAAGGTTACCTCCGGCTACCCCTCCTACGCCATCCTCTCGTCTATCGTAGATGTGTACACACATTATACATTGTATATGTCCTTGAGACGAATCATTCATTAGCGTGACAGCGTTATAATCATGAAAACATTGCAACAAGTGTTTTCATTTTAGAAGCGCAAAAGAAGTTGAAGGATCAGAAAATGTAACTTGACAATGAGAAATACATCGTATTATACAGTAATAAATGCAGACAATCACATTGATAGCAGGGCATTAGCAAAATAGTACTTCATTGCTGGGATTAATCTTTTAGCTATTCCATTTTTATATATATATACAACGATATACTATATATAGTTTATAAGCTGTAAATATTTAATAAAATATGGTCTTTTATAACATAGATAGAGATCTTTTACAACGTAGATGAGAGAATATTATTTCTCATGTGTAATAATAAAAGGTAAAATAAACAGTTTTCTCTCTTTCTCTTACTGAAAAGTTATGCTTTTTATGAAACATTTTATCTTACACCTTTGATTTATTCTTATACTAAAGAGATTGTACATCTCTTAATTACAAGACTAATGTATTATTTTTTTAACTCCAAATAAACTATTAATTTAAAAACTTGGTTTACTTTCTACAGTATCTCCAAAGTGAGAGTCATCTACCCTTTGCTTTGCTTCCTCATATTTCATTTTTAATGTATCTGGGTCTGCCAAGAATCTTTGCCACAAGATGTCCTTCTCGCGTTCAAAGCTGGCATCAGCCTTCTGCGTGTAATATGAGAATTATTAGTGACCATTATATAATTGATTTTCCAATATTTACTAAACATATATATTAAACGTATTTACCATTCGTTCTTTGAATTGGTTCCTGATTTTAGTAACATCTGCCTGTAACTCTTGAACATTAGCAGATATTTCCTCATAATTGGTACTAATTTCATATGAAATTGGCTTAAAGCTATTTGTTGGTTCGTATTGTGTCTCAGCCATATAATCCTTGTTAACTTTGTTTGCTCTAAACCATAAAAATCATATAAAAATATAACATATCATTAATAAGTAATATCACTAATAAAGATGGCACTTACAATTTTTGCACCATGCTAATTTTATTATTTAAAAATGTTTCCAACATTAATTTCTTCTCTGCGTTTTCAGTTATCAAGTCGTCGTATTTCTTCAACGCGGATGAAAACGAAAGGTCCGAACAGTCACCAGCCATCATGCTGGTGAATATTTGGTTGAAAATATTACAAGTTTTTGAAGATTCCATTAAGATGGTTGCATATTCGTCTTGTTGTTGCTGCATAACTTCCTTTAAATTTCACATAATATCGTTAAAAATAGTACAAATTGTCCCCATTAAAAAAATTTCTCAATGTAAAAATTTAAAATATAAATTAAAATATAAAATATAAAAGAAAAGGAGAAGTAAAGTAGTTACTAACACATCTTGTAGAAGAAAGTTTGTACTCTGTTGTAATGTAATGACGTGCGTCGGCGATAAATTCGACAACTTCGCAAAGGTTGCGATATTGCATTTCCATTAATATGTATAGCAGATCGACGTAAACATGACCGTGTTCTCCCGCAAGATAGTATAAATTCTTAAGCTTCTCGAGACGGGTCTTCCTCCGTTCGAGACGAGCAAGCGCGTCGTTCTTCAGAATCTTAATTGTCTCAATTTCCGCGAATTGTGCTATCACTGAAAACTGCTGGTCTCGCAAAAGTTCGACATTTTGCTCCAAAATATCTCTTTTTGTACTTAATGTTAAAATTTCATCGCTATATTTACAAAAAACATAATGTTATATTTAAATAAAAGTGATTCTCTTTTCTTCTTTGATCTTTGCTCAAAGTATAGAATAACTGTTATTTTAACCTCAAAATTGAGATAAATTGAGTATGAATTGTATTTTACGCTTACTCTATTTCATTATTCCCGGGAACCTTCAAAATTCCGCTGTTATAAATATCTCGAATACTTTGCAACATTGCAATGTAGGATTCTACTTGAATATCAGCATTGATCTCTTCTATTTTAGAATTTCTCAAACTGTGTAGAGAAAAAAATATGCATGAATAATTTCTCAAGATACATTTCTGAAGTATTACTTACTTTGTTTTACATGAAATCAATTCGTGCATTCTTTCATCAACCTGCTTCTCTCTACTGTTGTTTATTAGAGATGCATAATCTGAATCCTCATCTTGTTCTTCTTTATTAACACTTTCAAATTGTTTTCTTATATGGATACCCAAATAATGATTGTAAAGTTCTACTTGTTTAATAAATAAATCTATGGGCATCTGTGACCACAATACTGTATCACCTTGCTGTAAAAGCAAATTGAAACAATTAGACAAATATCACTGGAATGATTATTAAAGCTTGAAATAATTACATTTTTGGTAGCATTAGCATATATATTTAGTAAAGAATCAACATCTTTTGAGAATTGACAGTTGTCTCTATCAAATTCTTTCAGAACTACACTGCAGTTTTCATATAACTTTTCTGTTTCAATCTGTTCTTTATGCAGCAAAGTTTCCGCTTCTTCGATATCATCATCTAGCCTGTTATCAACTTCTCTACAAATTCATGCTTATATAAATCATTCAGTTAAAATATGAATATCCAGAGTATACAAATTATCAAAGCACTTACTTCAGATTTATTATACTGTGTTTTAGTGAATTCAAATACTCCTTGTCTTCTTTATAACAGTCTTTTAATATTTCATATTCTTCAAATAAGTCTTCTTTATATGTATCATCCAAATCAACAAGATGCAACAACTCTGGACAGTCTCTGGTCGCTTCCTCTAATGCAGCATCCAGTACTTCGTCTTCTAACCACTCATTTGACTCATCTGACAATGTATTTTTTCTACAAATAGAAAGAGATCATAAGAACTTTACTTTAGTAAGATTGCAGCTATATGAGAAATTGCTTACAATATTATTTCTTCACTAGACAGAACATTGGTGAAGTGTACGTTCTCAAAGAACCACTTCAAAAAAGGTTGTGTATTAGGATCATCGCATATCTCGCTCAGGATCTCCGGGGTGATTCTCGAAGATAAGTCCGGGCGTAAGCCGCATAGTTTGTTATAAAGCATTCTACTGGTAATACTCATCCTGCGACACAATCTTTTTTCTCACACAGATGTATGTTTCTGGGACACAATACAACACTTTTTCCTTTCAATTTCCTTCTTTCTCAATAATATTTTATCCAGCACTTTACCTCAACTTCAAAACATTCAAAAGTTGTCATAACGGTTAAAACATAGCAATGAGAGAATTGAAGGACAAAAAAGAAGAATAAAAGCTTCTTATTGGCGTACGTGTGGCAGTGTGTTAACCTTCAGTGATGTACATACATATATTTCTGTAATGTACAGGGTATTGCAAAGACCCTTGTGGAAAACAAGTACAAGAACTGTGACAGAAGAATACAGGATAATTGGAAGGAAAGAAGCAATATGTTTATTAATGGAACAAAATTTATTATTTTGTTACGTCTACAGCCGACTTTAATGCAAAAGTGGAACACGCGCCTGTTTACATTCCGAGTGCACAGAGTGCAAATGTGGATAATGTGGTGCGGATGATAAAACGGACAGTACTCATGTTCGACTTACGGCGCATTTTCATGTGAAGAAACATTAATGAAGTATATAGTATGGCTGCGTGTTCCGATATTCACTGTCGCTACTGAAAATACATAGCTTGCGTCACGTATACTATAGATTTTCAGTGCTGATAGTGAATATCAGAACGTAGCCTATATATTTCTCCTCTACGCCATGCTATGTCTGATATCACTTGTCGAGGCACCACCGTGGTGAACGGTCGGGTCAGTTCGTTCCTCTCCCCGTCGCGCCGTTTACGTATTACGTACGCGCGTCTGCATCCGTCTCGAGCGACGAATTGCATATTCCTGGCCGCGATCGCGCGACAGCGTCTCGCCTGCCTTGTTAAGAGCCCTCGAGTTACCGAGTAACGAATTCACGCTGTGTGCAGACCCTGTACGACCGCTTGACACGTCGCGATCGGCATTCACGCACCGTGCGCCAATTCATATTCGGACTCGTTTGAGTATAACCTAAAAACCGTCGTGAATGTTGGTAGTTTCTGCGTACCCGACGGCCTCCTCTTCCTCGTCCTGTTGTCGATCGCTCGTGCGAAACTGTGTAAGATCACGACGCATCGTCGACTTTCACACGGTCACCGCGTAAAAGCGTCGCGCTCAAACGGATACGCGCGCAGCGGCACAGCTGCACACGTTGCTCCCGTGTCACGGGCATAAGGACAAATTTTTTCGACGTCAAACGGTCACCTGGAAAGTAGTCAAAATTCCGGTCCCCACTAGGAAACGAGAAGGCCCCCAACAAACCGGCGGCAGGAACCCACCGTTCACTGGCGAAGAACAGTCGTCGGCGGGCAGAATGAACAGCAAGAGAAAGAATCGTTCCAACAACAACAGGTTCCGTCAATTTTACGGCTTCAGCGAGATTAGGCAAATGCTTAGTATAAGAATTACTTTGTGAACTTACTTACGTCAAACTCACATGACTCCTCTTCATGTATACTAATCTGTAAAAATTAATTATGTTCAAGATATGATGATGGAAGTAAAGTAAAAAGTATGCACAATATTTCTTTTCGAACAAATGTATTTTCTAGGACATGAAATACACTAGTGCAATTTTATAAATTACTGTAAACTTGATAAAGATTAATATAATGTACTCTTACTCGACACTATATGATTCTATCATTGATGTTATTGGAGATTTTATTCCTATACAATTGAAGACTTTGTTATTTAATCAGATTTCTACCTGTGCTGTGGCACAAATAATAACAAAATTGCAATAAATCTGCCGACTCCTGGACAGTTCAGTAATTGTACATATGACAGATATAATGTTTTGATAAGAGCAAAATTTTATTTTTATTACCGCATCTTTTCAGATCTCCACGAGCTCGCGGCCCACAAGAAAGATGTGTCGCAGCAGAAGGAGTGTATAACAATGCTCATTTTATGCATGCAATTACTAGCCATGTTGGCAATACAGTACAGGTATATGCAAATGCATTTGCATATTCAATTTGCATTATCAAGATATTGTGTTCAAATTAATATAATGCCATTACCTTTTATATCATAATTATAGATACAAACTCAAAATGGCTCAGTATATGAAGGCATCTTTCGAACATTTTCCAGTCAGTTTGATGTAGTACTGGAAATGGCCCATCGTGTAGATAGTTCGGGCAAAATAAGTGTAGATAGCGTAGTTGAAAAGTTAATTTTTAAACCCCATGACATTGTCACCATGTCTGCCAAAAATGTCGACTTGGACTATGCCATAAGAGATACCTTTCAAACAGATACAGCCATTAGTAAATTTAATGGCTTGATCGGTGAAAAGGAACTAGAGCCTTGGGACGCCCCGAGTACTATGAATGGAGCTGATTTAGAGCTGGATGGTGCTGCCGTAAGTTTATAAATCTGTGGCATGAAAATTTTGTAAACAACAAGCTGTGTAAAATTGCACAATTTCAGAATGGTTGGGACGTTAACGAAATGTTCCGTAAAAATGAACAAGATTATGGGGTGCAAACGACATTTGAACCTTCTTTAGTTGGTTACACACTTCAGCTCCAGCGTAAAGATACGAAAGATTACAAGGAGCAGGAGCAAAAGGCAGCTGAAATAGCAAATGAGATTGAGTCTCAACCTAATCATAGAGCTAGATTAGAGGTGGAGAACGGTGACGAAGAGGAGAGATTTGCAGCTGTGGTAAATTTTGATTTTCCCTTCTCTCTTCTTTTTTTTTTTTTTTTTTCTTTAGGCATTGTCTTTAATCTTATCAGTCACTATACAATTTTAGGCAAGACCTACCGAAGGAAAATACGTCCCGCCACCGTTGAAAAAGAAGAGTGGGAATACTGGCAAATTGATGAGGACCAATGAATCGCCGTCTTCGCCAGGAACTACGAATGATAAGAATGTCTACAATCAACCATCTCCTGCGGTTAATGTGAATGTTCCACAGTCGAATATACCAGTCGGAATACAATCCGCTCATTCGTCGGTGCAACATCCGGTACCCTTGAACATGGGTATGCCACCTAGTGGAGTAGTTGTTACGTATAATAATCCACCGCCGCCGTTTGTGCCTCCACCGACCACGCAGTCTCAGCAACCAGGTATAAATTAATTCGTATTTTTTATCAAGACTTTACATTCTGTAGATGAGAGAGAGAGAGAGAGAGAGAGAGAGAGAGACAAAATTAGATAAAAGTGGTGTGTCCTTTCAATAAAGGAATTCAGCAGAATCAAGCGCCGCCATCTTCTCTGCCGCAAGTAGGCTTCCCGTCGCAACAGCAGCAGCAGCAGCAGCAGCAACAGCAACAGCAACAGCAAACTCCTTCAAATAAGATGAATACGGAGAAACGTGAACGTCCTGGAAGGCAACAGGTCTATCAGGCTGATAAAGCACCACCAGCTCCATTTCCCCAGTCCAGTGTTGCGTCTTCGCATCAACAACAACAGTCCTCTCATCAACAGCACACGATGGCGCAACAGAATTCCGTGGAGGGGCAGCGATGCGAAATAGTTACACATAAATCAGATCATAGAAAGGTTTGACATACATTCTCGTTAAAAGTGTTCTTTCTTTTTAAGTCGTAAGATAAATTGTTTATGAGGATTATAAATATCGTCGTTTGCACGCAAGGTTCCGACACCGCGCGGCAGAGACGAGCAGCATTCAGAGCTGAGACAGTTTGCTACGGAGTTCAAATTAGCAGAATCGCAAGGTCCGCCGGATACTCCGCAAATTTCCAGAAAACAACAACATCAGCATCAACAACAGGATGTGCATACCGCCTCTCCGATGAATCAGACTCATCACCAAACTTCTCATCAGCACACGAGTCCGCAGCAACAATCGCAACAGCAACCACCGACGCAACAGCATAGCAATTCTCATCAGCAACATCAAGCTGTACAAGAGGAGCCGGTAGTCACCAATAAACCGCCACCTGGTCCGTTAGCAGTACGATCTACGAGCCCGCCTCAGCAATCGCAGCAACAGCAGCAGCAACAGCAACAGCAACAACCACCGCCACCACCGTCACAAACGAATAGCCAAACGGTGCAGCAATCTCCACCGGAACCCGCGGTCGACAAGATAACTAATGCTTTCAAGAAATCAACCTTAAATCCGAATGCTAAAGAATTTAATCCAAACGCAAAGCCATTTACACCGGTTAGTAACGTACGGTTACGTAGACATAAAATATCCGCGATTTAATGGAAAACTGCATTTGAAGAAAAATAAATAAAAATGTAATTGCGCATGGCTGTGATCCACAGAGGTCCCCTAGCACACCGACACCTAGTCGACCGCATACACCTCAGACTCCACAATATACAGGAGCGACTATACCCACGGCCGTCGTCATGCCCGCGTATGTGATGACCAATCAGCCACCGACGGCTTTCAATCAACCACCCGCTCAACAAGTGACGAGGTTCCGGAAGGGTCAGTATTCCATAACAATGTACGGATTTTCATGTAACAAAACAGTTCGAATGTTAAAATAGAATGTTAAACTATGCGGATCTTTTGAGCCTGAGGACATGTTCGAATGCTTCGAGCTTTACAGTTTGAGAGTTGAAAGGGATGTATTATGAAGAAAACAGTTATTAAGTATTATCATGTGCTTGCATCTTTAGTTACATATTTTTGGTTATGCGTTACTTTATGTGTAACGTATATGTTCAAGTAATTATATAATATCGTGTTTCTTACAGTGCAAATGATGCAGCATCGTGGACCGGACATAACATCTCAGATGCAAGTGGCCGCGGCAACGGGACAGCCGTTATTGGCGCCAGCTCCGTTGCATCCTCCATTCCAGGTGCCTTATCCGGGACAACCGGCGTACCAACAGATGGTACGCATGGTCCAGGCACCGCCACCACCACCGCACATGGCCACGCCGTATCATCATCATCATGATTCGCAGGGACCACAAGCCCCTGGTATTCAGTATATGGGTCCACACACTCATCCGCACCCTCATGTCGCGCAACAACCACCTAGCCAAACACCGTCTCCGGCTAATCCAAATCAACCACACACACCGGGCGCTTACAATCCACCTGGTACTCCACAGCCGACGTATCCACAACCACCTCCTCAGGGTCATGCTCCGAGTTACCCAATCATGTGCCCCCTAATTCCACCCCATATGACGATCCCGCCACAGCATATGCAATACCTGCCGCCACAGCCGCCTCCGGGTGCGCAACAAACTATACCAGTCATTCTGCCGCATAATCAGTAGCTGCAATGAATTAATCGAAGAGAAAGATGATCGCTAGTATTCTGCTGAGATAGAATAAAACTTTCGAAATTGAGTTACTTTCATGATGATGTAAAATCGCAATTGTCCGAAAAAACTGCTCGCCTTGGTCGTGATTCATCTCTGGCCCTCATGAGCTCTCGAGATTTATTCGTATTGCTGCTAATTAACGGCGCAATTCAAATGGCAGCCAACTTTCTATATCGATGAGCGATCTGAGAAATTATCTTGTATATTTTGTGTTACAGCGAGAGAGATGAAAGAATAATATATCGAGCTGCTTAATCGGTACAAAGTAATGATATATCCCCGCATGGTATTTTAAAATTATTTAAAACTGTTAAAAACTGTGTCGTAATCATGAAAGTAACTTCTCCTTTACATGTAGGTCGATTAACGAAAAATGACCTATGCTTGTGTATTATTGAGTCATTCAAAAATTTGACCATTGATTATTTCAATCAAATTTTAAGATTGCAAAACGACCGTTCAACACCATCGTTTAACGTCATTCCCCATAAAACTTCCGCAAGTTTATTTTTATCGGATTAATATGCCAGATGCAGAAAGAAATTTTCTAGTTTCTTTTATATCATGCATTTTTATTACGTAGTGCCTAATACATTGGAGGGTACACAGGAGAGAAAGAGAGACAGAGAGGGGGGCGGTGAGGGAGAGAGAATACGCTCATTCAATACATAGATTTTTAATTGGAAAAATTTCGATATTACCTCAACAACAAACGTAGTTCGCACTACTTCGACAACATATGTACCTTCAGAAAAAATTCCAAATATTATGCTGAGATTTCTGAGCGATCACGCCAATGAAGCGGATTTTTCTTTTTTGTTTCTCTTTCCTTTTATACGCGAAATAATTATCGAAATTACGTAGAGTATACACACACACACACACACACACACACACACATACACGTATATGGAAGTATATGGCATATTTTTCTGCTCGCGCTTTCATACGCGATAATTCCACTTGCAAAGAAGAATGAGAAGAATACGCGAAAGAAAGAAAGGGAAAAAAAAAAAGAAAAAAAGAGAAAGAGAAAAGAAGACTTTCTGAAAGTCGCAACTTCTGATTTGATCCGAATGAAATGAACGATAATTAACGAAGAACGTTGGAGTGCGGCTGCAGGGTAACACTAGCGGAGTACGCGATTCTGCGGTTTGTTGATAATGAGTTTTGTTACGAGATGTTGATACATGCAGGATCCCCGAATGTGAAGAACTACGTCGAGTATGCGATACGACATCTGCATCCCTGTAAATCATGCTATTGTTAAAAATGGTGCAAATACTGTCGCGAACGGTAAGCATCTGAAAGGTACAAAATTGGCATATCTAAACACGTGTAAACTACGACTGATCATTTTCTAAAAGTAAAAGGACAATTGTTAAAAAAATCTTGTTTGCTTGATACAATCTATGTTCTTGCTGTGTGTAATGTTTCAAAAATAAATTCGAGTGAAACGAGAATTATATTGTTAGGGAAACGATCTGACTGAAATCCGCATTGCGACAACACGTAAATATTTTATTAAGTGTTGAAAAAAAACTGGAGCTAAACTTTGGAAATTTGTAGTGGCAATGACACGTGATATAGGGTACAAAGTATATAAGTACAAAGTGGCAGCAATAAGTCAGCTATTAATATCAGTTTCTCTATTAATATCAAATTCTCACGTTGTTTCAAACGCTTTACTCAGGAGAACCGACGCAAATGACTGCGCTATTCATTGTTACAACAGAATTCTATACAGAGAATCGATGATGTAAAGTGGTTATACATAAGTCAAACTTATGAAAAAAGTAATGCTATACTTTTTTCTTCAACGACAGTAAAACAAAGATGAGACATACATTTTCCTCCAATATAATGGTCTAAAGTAGAGCAGTGATTGATAAGATATTCAGCGGTCAAAGGCAATATTCTAAAATATTATTAACTAAATAAGAACTAATGAACATAATTCTAATAGACGTAAATCTTTTTTATTAATTTTTCTTTTTTATTAAGAATCAGTAAAAAGTGTAACGTATATTGAACGTAAATACACTATCTAATGCATATATATACATATATAATATATGTGTATGTGTGTGTAAATGTGCACACGCACACACACACATATATATATATATATATATTACATGTATACATATATGTATATCTTGTGGTTTAAAATATTAACATTTTTATATTATTTGATTTTTATGTTTGTTTATCGTTTCTCCGTCTTTGACATAGAACAGGAAATGTGTAGAGAATTTAGGCAAGATAAATTCAGTTCACTCAAAGGTATCTTTAAAACATTTCCCAATTAGTTTGATGTGTCTATAGTATTAAAATTGACCCGGACAGTTCAAGCACGCGAATTAAGATAATGTAGTCAAAAAGTTAATTTTTAAACCGCAAGACATCATCACCATGTTTGTGAAGAATATTGACTTGGACAATACGAAATGCTTTTCAAGCAGCCATTAGTAAAATTAATGGTTTAATCGGTGAGAAGGAGCTAGAGCTTTGGAATGTTCCAAGTACTATAAACGAGATTGATTTAAAACTGGATAGTGCTGTTGTAAGTTCACAAGCTTATTGCACACGAAAGTCTAGTAAACATTCGATTGTGTAAAGTTATTTCCCCTTTCAGAATAGTTGGGATGTTAATGAAATATCCACAAAAACAAGCAGGAATGTGGGAGAGAGGTTCAGTCGACGTTTATGAACTCTCTTTGCTTGGTTACGATCTTCAACTGAATAAGAAGCCGAGGTCACATAATGAGTTCGAGTCTCAGCTGAATCATAGAGCCAGATTAAAGATGGAAAATGTCAACGAGGAAGAAAGATTTGCAGCTGTGGTAAGCTCTTTTGGTACTTGAAAACTTCACCTTTGACCACTAAGTGTCTCGTCAATTACTATTTCTACTGAGACCAAATTTAGTGGAGGAAAATATATTCTATCATAGTATGTTGACGAAAAGAAGGCAATAACTTATTAGCAAACTTATCAGGTCCTAATAGAGGCTAACTTCTTTTGCCTCTTCGGACGACATAAGATAATACTGATTGAAATATTATGCTTAGGTCTTCGAAATTTATTTTAATATCCATAATCTTCAAATATAGGAATGCCGCTTTGTGAATGTGTAATTGCTAGATACAGTAATTCACTACTGATATTCGTTTTCCAATTTAGTCTCCTCTTTTTTTTGACACCTTCTATTGAAAGAAACTTTTAAATATAATATTATATTGCATATGTGTGTTACAGCTGTTGTTATATTAATTCAAATTATAAAGATATATACATATATATATATATGTGTGTGTGTGTGTGTATATATATATATATATACATATATATATTACAATCCTTTAATTGCTAATTTTTGTTAATTCACTATATGTAAATTATGCATGATTTTCGGCCGCCAAAACTACTTGTCGATTATAACGCAAAAAGCATATTAACGTACAATTTGACACACGTGCGAGAATTGACACGAGAATTGACTTGATTGTTTGACGAATCTTTTATTAATTGTATACCTCCTATTAATACGCAAAGATGCAGATGCTCGATGTCGTTGAGAAAAGAAAGTTAAACAACTACGGCCTTAGACCTAGTCGTGTATATAAACAGGCGGAAGTGAAAACGACCTTTGTCTGAAAGAGGTAGTTGAGTGTGTGAGACATCGTTAGACAAATTTTATATCGAAGAGATTTAAAAAAAAACATCAAAAAATAAAATCAATATGTTAAAAATCAAAATATTCTTGTATGCGCTTTTTTATCCTATCCTTAGTATTTCTAATGCAAACAAAACTGCTTTATCTTTACTGTTCAAGTACTTGCCTCAGGTCTTGTCCATTTGATTCGTCCAGTTCTTTCTTCCTTTGTTTTCTATTTCTTTTATCCTTTTCTCATATTCTACTTGTCTCTCTTATCAGAGATACCTTGGATTGAATATTATTGAAACCATAAACCAATATAGTGTATATACGGTTCAGCCTATTATTGTAGGCTATGTAGTTTAAAATATCCGAAATATATATTCCCAACAAACATCAAGTAACAGTAATATAACTGTTAATAATAATTTTCCACTCGATAATCTAAATATAACGTTGTATAAAAGTTACTAAGTATAAAAGTAAATCGTTGAGTGGGAAATTATAACTAACAGTTATGTAACTGTCGCTTGATATTTGCTGGGTTGAAATCATTGACAAACATTTCGTCGACTATGTTCCCATCGATGTTGCTTTCGCCGACATCATATTTAATCAATGATATGTGTTTTTCGACATTGACATTCATCGATATATACGTGTATATATATATAGACATAAATAAGGTATATATTGCTATCGCTTACTGGTACGATTGAATAAATGAATGTTATTGTTGACATCATACAAATTCTATACAAGGTTTTAAAGTCAGATAATAATGATAATTACAAAAATTATATCGGGTAAAATGGGAAAAAAGTGGACGTTCTTAATTTGAAAATTACTTTATTACGAGACTTGTTTATAAATTTAAATCTCGCATTTAAAATGATTTATATTTCCATATAAATATGCTGTATAGTTTTTTTGTGTTGATTTATTCATCGATATAATAGTCGATTAATGATGATTGTTAAATTAATAAAAATTATATTTAGCATACAATATAATGAAAAAAAAAAAAAATTAGAAATAAACAAAGAAAGTTAATAAATATTAAAGGATAACTTAACGTTAGTCGGTTTTACATTATTTTTTACATTATACTTTGAATTACAAGTTTCTTACGATTTTATTTTCATTAGATATCTTTTTGGAACGAGTTAAGAAGCTCTACGACGTCTCCCGCTCCCGTCCATGTCGTACATAGCGTTAAGCTTGCGAATGAAATTCTTTGTTTTGTCGTAAAAAAAGTTGTCCATCTGACCCAAAAAGTTGACAAACTGGACCATCTTTTCGAATCCGCTGTTTATCCTTGCGGATCTCTCGTTGTCGGATGTGATTCCATTCATTCGCCATTGTGATTGCGATTCTCTTATGGATAATTTCTTAGCTGCATCCTTTCTCGAAATTTCAATAGCGCTTGTAAATAACACCTGTTTATAGCGAAATTGGTATTACAAAAAAGCACGCAACATTATTAAACAAATTAATATCCAAATAATTTTTTTTATTTTTCGACGAATTACTTTGGACGATTTATAATTTCAGTTTAAATATTATTTGTAATTTTACAGTATCATATAGTACAAACGTTTTCTTGTGCATAGAACATTTTATCGCAAATACGCATAGATCGACCAAAGTGAGTTTCGTAGAGTTTTCCGTTTCTATATTCTTACTTTATCTTGTCTTACCATATATGTAACAAAAACTAGAAAAAATCTACTCATTTTAATAAGATGTGCACTTGTGTGAGAGATGTTCTTCCGTAAAAAACAATTGCGAAGTTCAAAATGTGATAGCGATTACGTGTGGATAATTATATACATATAATAAATGTTACTTCACAGAATTGACACAGAATAGATCATTGATTCAACACTGAGTCTTTAATCGACAATGAAGCGATTCGATAATTTTCAATCCTTTTATAAGAGCGAACGTGCACACATATAACAATATTACGTAGCTGAGAACGAAATACTTTTTATTTCTTCATTAACGCGTTTGCCTTACTTCAACGGCATTAATTTTATTGCGAAAATTCATGCATATGCGATAAATAATAGATTTTTCGTGTTAGCTAAATATCGCAAGACTTTTTGTTAGCTTAAGAATCGACGAATGGGGCTGAATATACGTGGATTTATAATTTAGGTCATATCGAGCTGGCATGTTTTCCTTGCCGTAAGTGGATTTTTGACCCGTGTTCACAATACGAAATCGAAGTGGAATTTGCTGATTAGGTATAATTGCTCGTCTCACCTATTATTAAACTTGATGACACAAGTAGAGTAACGTGAGCCTCGTATTCAGTGAGAGATACGAAATTCTTTGTTCTTACGAGTTTACGTTGTTACGAGTTTATCGATTTCTTTTCCCTTTCTTTTTCTTCGTTATATCAACCTATATTGTTCATTAATGGAAGTACACATCGTGATTGCTACATTTGAATCGCAGATCAATTTATTATCAATTAACATTGACATTAGATATCGCACGTATAAAATGCATCTGAAACGTATATACCATTGTCGTGTAGCTCTTATTGTATCATGTTGGGCACAGAAGTTTCCTTTCACGGCATCAATAAAGTACTTCCGAACGTTTGCAAATACTTTGTCTGTTTGCGCGAAATTTGGTAAACATCACGATGCGGTGGGAATCGTTCGAGAAATTATAATGTGTAATGCCGGCACATTCTCGCTGTCGTGCTAGCAAAGTTCATTAAGAGAGAGCGAACCACATCTTTTGACACAGTATTTATAATTACACATTCATTTCTTTATATTAAGCGATACGCAATTTCATCAATTCATTCGCCACATAAATTACCATCTGATGAAATGACTATCACGCTAAAAAGTAATTTTATTGATTACAATTAATCCTGGCATTGCACTGTGCGTCAATTGTGCAATACATAACATAATCGATAGAGCGAAGAGCAAAGATGTTTCTACTCATAGTCATGGACTATCAAAAGCCGTGGAAACTCGTAAGATGAGATGTAGCACGTTTAAATATCTTAACATAACGACAGGGCTTATGAAAAGAAAGCAAGAACGAAAAGAGCCAAATACTTTTATTAAAAGGCACTCGTCAGTTGTTCGATCTGATTGTGATACGGTGTGAGGTTACACTCGCTGATTAATTGAACTTTGAATTTCTCTGTGCATAATTACCGAGGTGTTTCACATGCGAATAATTTACAAAGTATTTTTGTTTCTTAACTCCTCCGTGTGTTCCTCCGTCGCGCTGCCTTCTGTGTCGTTTCCCGCTACAAGTAATTCTTGAGCTTTTCAGAAACTTGCACGACAACGTCAACAGCGCCCTTAGCAAATTCAGAAACATCTCCTTGCAGTTTCTCGGAATTTTTGTTTGCGTTCTCCATAACGTTCTGGGCGTTCGTTTATTACAGTGCGGAGACATTCTTCAAATTTTGTATGCAGCTCATTCCTTGGTCTCGTCGCTGATCTCATCGGCCATTTCAGACAGCTTAGTCTGTAGTGAGTATTTGTTGTGAGTATTTGTTCATATACTTTCCAACTCGTCCACCTTTCGCCTTCACCTGCGAATAATGATTCATTTTGTGCGTATAAACCGCGCGTGTTTCAAATCTTGAAGACTGCTACGTTCTCAACCTGCTTATTTGTGGCTTCAGTGTTTCACAGTGAAACACGCACCAATGATATTTTTCACATATTGCATTATGTTATTAGAGATAGTAACATTCGCTACTTTTATTAAATGTTTAGTCGTCCCAATCGCTCGATTCGTTAACTTACGCTTATATGATCAACGACTTTGGACATGCGTAATCATTGACACGCATGAATTGCATGTACGTTTCTGCCAATTACAAACTACAGTACCACTTTAGGTAATACGAAAGATTCGTTTAATATAATGTAATGCAACAAAGATGACAAGTGTAACGCTTATCGACGTATCTCAAAGGGCAAAATAATTTGCAGATTCTTGCATCGTCAATTTGCTTGCGTTCGCAATTTATGAATTATTTTCTGCCGCATGTCAGTTATTTCTGGTAGATTGCTTTAAGATATGACGACAAACTGAACGGCTTTTCTTGCAAATGTACGTTGTGTAATTCAACGAGCGTCCTCAATGCGATATTTCTCACGAATATTTAAACACACATAACTTCTAGATATGAGAGCTCGTGCTGCGAACCTGCAAGTAAACAAGTCAATTTTTAATTTGGTATAGCAACATTGAATGTACATCTGAGAAATAACCGCTAGAGATTTTTATTATGCAAAACTATTTGAGTCCACATTGAAAGGAGAGACTTTAGTCGCTTTAATTAATCAAACATTTCAGACTCGACATTGCAACGAAGCTATATGCAAATATATTTAAACTAAACAAACAAATTTTGAATAAAGCACATATAAAATATATAATTTGATAGATATATTTTCATTTACCTCCTCATTCATGTTCTGCGTGTAACCCTGCGTGTGAATTTTGTCAGCAACATGTAACATGTTGTTGACAAGATTTTTGCTCTGCTCTTTCAAAGTATCGAAGTATCCTCCTTGATTGGACATCGCTTGATTCAACTGCTCTTGTAGCTGAGTACCAAGTGCGTTAATTGTATTTTGAGCCTTTCTGACGTAATCTTCGAGATCTAAGGGCTGAGCAGTAGTCTGTTGGTTCTCGACATCACTAGCTGGCATAGCTTTGCCGTCAGTTGCGATTAGAACGACGGTAAATATAACTGCGAGTATACACCTCATCTTGCTGCTGTTTCCTCCCGTAAAACGGAATCCTAGATCAACTGATTGGACACGACTGATGCATAAAATGGACGATGCAGTCTCTTTTATAGGACTTTCTTATCAAGGAGAGCAAAGTGCGCATTATCTTATTTCGACGACAACGACTGAATGCCTCGCATCTCTCTCTATCTCCAGCTCTTTCTCAACATTCGTAATGGCTCCGAAATACTGGGAATTCCCGGAAATCTTATAGTAAAGAGACTGACGATCTAGATGTAGTTTTGCTTTTGAAGTGCCAGTTGCGAAGATAAATGGATGAAGAAAAAGAAGAGAGAGAGAGAGAGAGAGAGAGAGAGAGAGAGAGAGAGAGAGAGAGAGGGAGAGAGAGACTTACTGTTTCGAAGTATTGTTCAATCGTTTCTTTTAGCTACTATATGTTTGCTCACACGAATGTTAAAATTAATTTTAAGAATTAGAAGGCTATCGTTTTGATTAACATTCTATACCTCTAATAAACTCATTAATCGCCATTAACAAATGTTTCTTTTCTTTCAAAGGTCGTTATCGCCTTGATATCAGCCTAGTTTGCGAATTTAGTATCGATAAATCAGCGTCATCAAATCGATCAAGTTAGATATCGAGAGTTTTTCGAGTCGAAAATTAATAATGCAAAACAATAGTCACAATTATTATGTTCGCGCGGCAAACTAAATTCTTTCTGATATCGCGTTCTGCATTTATGCGCAAAAATATAATCTGCGCGTAAATGTAAGTTAACGAATTAACATCACGGTGCAATATCAAAACTATCGACACGTCGTACAGCAGTGTAGCTTTTTCAATTCTGATTCGACTTTCTATTTTCGTTAACACACATACAAAGACTTTGTTATCTCGGATTTCTAATCGATCTCTCTCAGATTGCATCGTTACAGATTCTTTCAGTCCAAGTTTATTCTCACGAGTTAACACAATCGGAAACGTCTTATCGGTGAATTGTTTATGTATTTTTTGCTGTGAGAATAACTAAATTTATAAATAAGGAAGATCTTGTGGTAGAAAATCCTCCGAGCGGAACAAATATTAAATCTTCCGACGCGTAATATTTCACAACGTTTTTATTGCGGATTTAAGGAATTCTCAGCCGTGGGAACAATTCACGACACGAGTCGACGAGGGTTTTTCGACGATTCGATTAAAAAATTTTTGTAAATCAAAAATGATATCTTTCTCTCTTGAAGACATAAATATAAAAAAGTACATTTTAGTGCAATTCGAGACGAATCAATTGATTGATTGGTTGATTTTACATGGCACGACGGTGGCTTAAAGTTCAAGGCGAGATTAACATTATTATCAATTTTAGCTGTATCCGCTTTTCGCTTCGCAAGGTTTATATTATATCAGTCGGATAAAGATACGTTCTAGACGAGAATACATGTGCATACGCATAAAAATTGTTGACACCCTGTTGACAAGCATACATTTTGAAAGTGCAAAGTAAAGATAATCCACTCCCTTTTTACACCGTCGTTTATTCGATATCTTATATCAATACAACTTTTCTAATTAAGAAAATTAAATTCAATCTTTACGTATCTTTTACGTGGCACATTGGACATTTATCGTTTAGAATATGAGAAAATTCACAAAATAATTAAAACATTTTATTTAAACCACTATCGAAATTGAGCATTAAATAGTTGCGATGAAAAATAACTTTGAAAGTCTGCAATTAATGCGAATACTTCGTCTGTTTGCGCGAGAACTGATAAACATCACGATGCAATAGTAACTTAGAGAAATCGTACTTGTGATGCCGTCATATTTTCGCTTTCGAGGAAGCAAAATTCGTTAAAAGGCAGTAAGCTACATCTTTTCGTAATACTTATAAATACACACACATTCATTTCTTCATATTAAGCGGTACGAAATTTTATTAATTTATTCGTCACCGTAGATTACCATCTGATAAAATAACTTTCACGCTAAAAAGATAAAGTTTCATTGATTACAATTAATTTTGACATTGCACTGTGCGTCAGCTGTGCGATACAACATAATTGATAGAGCAAAGAGCAAAGATATTTCTATTCATAGTCATGGACTCTCAAAAGTCGTGGAAACTCGTGAGATAAGATGCAGCATGTTTGAATATCTTAAAATAATGAGGGTTTATGAGAAGAAAGAAAGAACGAAAAGAGATAAACAGTCAAATACTTTTATTAAAAGTCACTCATCGGTTGTTCGGTCCAGATTATGATATGGCGTGAGGTTACACTCGCTGATTAATTGAACTTTGAATTTCTCTGCGCATAATGGCCAAAGTGTTTCGCATACGAATAATTTACGAAGCGCATTTTTATATTTTAACTGTGTTCCTCTGTCTTCTGTGTCGTCGCCTCTGGTGAGAAATTCTTGAGATTTTCAGAGGCAAAGTCAACTAATCCTTTAACAAATTTAGAGATGTCTTCTTGCACTTTCGCGGAATTTTTGTTTACGTTCTCCATAACATTCTGGGATTCGTTCATTACAGTGCGGAGACTTTCTTGAATTCTCGCTTGTATCTGATTCACATGTTCCTCGGCCTCCTCATTGGTAGTAATTTTATTGAACGCCTCAGACAGCTTAGTTTTAAAATTTGTCATTAAATGTTCCAACTCGGGTGTTTTCGCCTTCACCTGCGCGCATAATGATTCATTTTATGTGTATATAAAGCTGGGCGTGTTTCAAATTTTGAATATTACTTCGTTTTCAATCTGCTTATTGGTGGCTTCAATGTTTCACAGCGGAATACGCACCAATGATATTTTTCACGTTATTATATTATGTTATTAGAGAGTATTATATTATGTCAACATTCGCTACTTTTATTAAATATTTAGTCATCTCGATCGCTCGATACCGCTATGTACCAATACCTACACGATCAACGACTTTGAACACGCGTAATTGCTCCACGATGAATTGCATGTACGTTTCTGCCAATTACAAGCTACAATACTATTTTAGATAATACAAAAGATTCGCTCAATGTAACTCGCGTAATGCAATAAAGATGTCGAGATGGAATATTCATCGTCGTAATTCAAAGGGCAAAATAATTTGCAGATTCTCGCATCGTCAATTTGCTAGCGTTCGCAATTTATAAATTATTTTCTGCCGCATGTCATCCGTGTCAGTTATTTCTGGTAGATTGCTTTAAGCATACCAACAAGCTGATCGGTTTTTCTTGCAAATGTACGTTATATAATTCAACGAGCGTCCTCAATACGACATTTCTGTCGAATATTTAAACACATGATCTCTAAATACGAGAATTCGCACCGGTAATTACAAATAAACAAGTTAATCTTTAATCTGATGTAGCAACGTTGAATGTACAATTGAGGAATAACCGCGAGAGATTTTTATTACGCAAAACTATTTGTCAGTCAACATTGAGAGGAGAGACTTTAATATCTTTAAATACATTTCGAACCCGACATTGCAACGAAACCATATGCGATGCAAATTTAAACAAAGTGCATATATTTAAACTAAATAGACATATTTTAAATAAAGCACATAAAAAATATATAATCTGATAGATATATTTTCATTTACCTCCTCCGTCATGTTCTGCACCTGATTCTGTATGTTGTTAAAAAAATGGCTGCTCTGCTCTTTAAGGGTATTCAAATATTCTTCTTGATTGGGCACTGCTTGGTTAAACTGCTTCTGCATTTCAGCGCCAAATTCAGTGATTGAATTTTGAGCATGTCTGATGTAATCGGAGAGTTCTAACGGCTGAACAGTAGGCTGTTGGATCTCGACATCACTAGCTGGCATAGCTTTGCCCTCAGCTGCGATTAGGACGACAGTAAATGCAACTGCGAGTATGCACCTCATCTTGCTGGTGTTTCTTCCCGTGAAAGAGTGACGAAATCCTAGATCAACTGATTGGAAACGACTGATGCATAGAATGGACGATGCAGTCTCTTTTATAGGACTTTCTTATCAAAGAGGGCAAAGTGCGTATTATATCATTTTGACGACAACGACCTGAATGCCTCGCATCCCTCTCTATCTCCAGCTCGCTACCAACATCTGTAATCACCCCGAAGTACCCGGAATTCCCGGAAATCGAGATAGTAGAGAGATCACATTGGCGTTCTTTTCCAACGAAATTAAATTTTGGGCTTATTTATTTATATAACTTTGCTTCTAAGATGCCAATTGCGAAAATGCGAAAATGAATAGATAGTAGGAAGGAAAAGAGAGAGATTTATTGTTTCGGAATATTGTTCAACGTTTCTTTTAGCTGTTTCACATGAACGTTAAGATTAATTTTAAGAATTAGAAGGCTGCTGTTTTGATTAATATTTTATACACATAATAAACTCGTTAATCGCCATTAATGAATGTTTTCTTTTTCAAAGGGCGTTAATATCGCCTTGGTATCAGCAATTTACGAATTTACTATCGATAAATGAGCGTCATTAGATCAAATTAGATACCGAGAGTTTTTCAAATCGATAATTAATCGTGCAAAACAACAGACACAATTATTATGTTCGCGCGGCAAACCAAGTTTTTTCTGACATCGCGTTTTGCACTTATGCGTAAAATTTGTAATCTACGCATAAACGCATGTGTTAGCGAATTAACGTCATACAATGCAAAATCAGAATTGGGCGGCACGTCGTATAACGATGTAGCTTTTTCACTTCTAATCCGATTTTCTATTTTCGTTAATAAACAAGGTACAAAAGTTTTATTACTTCGGATTCATAATCGACTTCTCAAGACTGTGTCGACCTTACAGGTTCTTACAGTCCAGGTTTATTAACACAAGAAGAAACGTTTTATCGGTGAGAATTGTTTGTGTATTTTTACTGAATTTATAAATAAGGTAGGTCTTGATAAAAAATCTCCAACCGATAAATATTAAATCTTTCAACATGTAATATCTCACACAACGACGTTTTCATTACGATTTTAAGGAATTTTATCGTGCAAATAACTTGCGACACGACGCGAGTCGACGAGGGTTCTGTGACTCGATTTAAAAATTTTTCTAAATCAGACGATGGCAAATGTCTTTCGCTCCTGAGGACATAATATAGCGCATGCTTTGTAGTACATTATAATTATAACACGTACTTTTTGTGGTACAATTCGAGACGAATCGATGGCTGATTTTGCATGACACGACGGAGGATTAAAGTTCAAGGCGAGATTAAAATTGTTATCAATTTTAGCTGACATCCGCTCTTCGCTCAGCGAGACTTACATTACATCAGCCAGATAAAGATACGTTTTAGACGAGAATACATGTGCATACATGCGTATAAAAACTGCCGACACTATGTTGACGCGCATCCTTTTTGCAAGCGCGGGGCAAGAGATTATGCACTTTTTCGACCGTTGCTTATTCGACATCTTATATAACTGCTCTAATTAAGAAAATTAAATTCAGACGTTGTGTGTTTTTTACGTGGTAATTTTGCACATTTGTCGTTTAAAGTGTGAGAAAACCAATAGAATCAGATCAAAATGCTTTATTTAAATCAGTGCGAAATTGAACTTTAAATAGTTGCCATGAAAGATAACTTTGAAAAGCTAGAATTAGTCTGTATACTGGAAATGGACAGAGGTAAAACTTCTAATATGTTTGCGTATCGATTTGGATGGAGTTTAAAGAGAAAAAAAGATATTATCTCCTTTTACTCAAGCACAAGCGCACATACATACACATCGTGAAGAAATCGAATTTCAATTCATCCACCGTTCATACATCAGACGCAACATATTTTACGTACTAAGATTGGTGCAACGCTTGTGTAACCTATTAGTGACTACGTACATCGTTATCTATTTGACCGTTGTCGGTCATCGCAAGTCTTGACCTGTAAAATACGATTTTCACTTAGCCACGGAATATCGCTGTAACGAATGCTTTCTTCCTGTCTCCTTCCTTTACTTAGTATTCAAAGGTCGTTGATGACAATCAGTGAAGTTTCTCAATGAATATTGGCCCTTTATCTTGCAGATATAGGATGTGGAATAGGTTGATTGAAACATTTCCATTAGAATGCTTTAATATATTTATTGAACACTTCGCGACAGGCTGAGACCAAAGTCGATCCCATCGTGATGTTTAAGCGCGTGTATTTTTTTTTCTTTTTCTCTTTTGGCAAGCGGTAATTTTACAATAACTGTTACATCACGTTACATTAATAGTGACCGATTAATTTTGCAGATGAAGATGTCTAAGTTAACTAAGGTGAAGGCGCCACACATGACACTCAATAATCAATACATTCAAACTGAAGGATAGACAATTAAGCGTTAGAGAATTTTCTCACTGGGCTTGACTGAGCATCATTGAACTCTTCTAAAGATTCTGAGTTATTACAAACTTTCGAATCTCTTTGGAGGATGTTTAACGTTGGCGGAAACATGTGGCGTCTCTGAACACATCAACTTTGAATGAATCTAAATTATGTCTCGATGTTAAGATTAATTAGCCGTACAAGTATCTGATTTTCTCGTAATATCCTTTAACATAGACTAGTTATAGCCAATTACAGCCACAAAGGCTGATCCGTTTTCTTTGTCCACCACGTTTACCATTTTGGTAGTTTTGATACTTAGAATTTGATAGTTATATCCGCGTTGTCAAGTACCTTTTTAAGGCCTTTTCCTATCTTTTTTAACGGTTTTTTAAGAAAAGCAACTTCTACTGGGTCCGCATCGGTGTCAATCTTCAATTCCTCGTCCTCATTCAGAATTGAATTGCTCTCCGTATCTACTTTTGGACGAAATAGCTTTTGGAGTTCCTCCACCGTGGTGTGTCCTACACCCAAGGTTTCGTGTATTGCTTTCCCTATACTCTTGAAAATATTTTCGAAAAAGTATTGTTCAAATTGTTGTTCGTCAGAAGCAGCCGCCACTGCGATTTCGGGATTCAACTGCTTTGCTTTCTCAAACTTTTCTTTTAGTTTCTCGATGAGCTCCTTCATATTTATTTTTGGAATTCTGGCTTCTTCCACTGGAAAGGCCTAAGAACAGATTTAAAGCAGATTTAAACGATTTAAAATAGATTTAAGGTGAACGCGCTCGTTAATATTTTAAATAAAATATACATGTCATTAAAATATGTAAAGTAATACAAATTGAAATATTACGTGCTATATGAGGAACCTACTTTTGGACGAAATAGCTTTTGGAGTTCCTCCACCGTGGTGTGTCCTACACCCAAGGTTTCGTGTATTGCTTTCCCTATACTCTCGAAAATATTTTTGAAAAAGTATTGTTCAAATTGTTGTTCGTCAGAAGCAGCCGCCACTGCGATTTCGGGATTCAACTGCTTTGCTTTCTCAAACTTTTCTTTTAGTTTCTCGATGAGCTCCTTCATATTTATTTTTGGAATTCTGGCTTCTTCCACTGGAAAGGCCTAAGAACAGATTTAAAGCAGATTTAAAAGATTTAAAATAGATTTAAGGTGAACGCGCTCGTTAATATTTTAAATAAAATATACATGTCATTAAAATATGTAAAGTAATACAAATTGAAATATTACGTGCTATATGAGGAACGCATGTTAGATTATATATAGATTATAACGTAATAAGTTGCATATATTGTAAAATGCGTATGGACTATAACGTAAGACACACAAATATGATTATCAAGGATTGAAATATCGAAATTGCACGTATTGTGCGTATTATATGTAAAGACAGACTTGAAACGAAATAGTGCGACCAAAATATGTTTCCTAATTGTCGATAGGCATTATTATCGCTTTCACGTACAAGCTACAGCAACGGCAATTTACACATTCAGCTTTCTTTTAACGGCATACCTTACGACATTTGATAAGCGGAGTAACTTTCGTCTCAATTTTAATTAAAGTTTCGCCGTTTTTCGGCATTTATGTCATGAATCACCTAATAATTGTCCTTATATATCATTAATCCTTTCGACACGACTATCTCGTTCGCGAGTATGCCTCCGCTATACGTATACTCGAGTCGCGAATAAGATTCTACTACGGGCCAGTTATGACGCGAACGTATATTTTACCGCGGAGTGGGTATATATAAGATATAAATGGTTCGTAAAGGATGAGATATTACAATGTAATGTACTTTAAATTATTCAGACTTAAAAAATTGTTTAATAATATAATTTCGTCTGAAAAATTTTTAAATAAGGATGCACAAAAATAATTTCAAATTAATAATTTCGAAATACGTAAGAATAAATCTACATCATAAGATCTACAACATTAATGGGGTTGTCGTTGTTTATAATTTTTATAACAAGCAATGTACCTTCTTACTTTAAACGCTCTTTCATTTTGTATTACTACCAATGCAAATAGATGGGAAATGTTTCGTAGTAAGCCTAAGTGGATTCTTACATTTAGATTTAAAATTGTGAACCAATGCAAAATGAACCATAGTCACCGGTAGCGTCAAAAGGTTTCAAACTTACCTGGCTAGTGTAGCACAGAGCCGCCAGTACGGTTACCAAGAAAATTATGCGTGCCATTGCAGATACGGCTTGATGAGGACGAAAGGTGAGAAACCGTGGTGGAGTAAAGTCACCACGAACTGGGTACCCTTATATACCACGATTTGTTTGCCGAGTATCTCGCAGGGGTACCCCACGGTTTTAGTCTGACTATCATTTACCGACGTATTATTTGAAATCGCACACCTGCGTCAACTCTGCTGAATAGCGTCCTCACATGTGCGATAAGGACACACAATAAATTGGAATGATTAATTATCGATTCGACGAAATCATGCCAGACATCGTAACATGTGTGATATCGTAACATTTCTTTATACTGAGGAGGAGCGTGATAACGCGTATATTGTTGACTTTTGAGTTAAAGCAACACGTAAAAAAGTGCTGTCAATAATTTAAGCTAATTAATTGTTGACTTGGGCGATTACGTCAGTTCGCTGCTGCGGCTTCGATATATGTATGTGCTTGTCATGGTGACTTTCTTCTTATCGTATATAAATATCACGAAATTCACACAGGGTACACGCGTGTAAATGGTTTATTTGTCAAAAGTTCGTATCTTTTGGAATTCAATTTCTTCACATATGTCCTCGACGATCCCGACGAATACCTTGAGATAAGTGCCTTAAGACAGTGATCTTTCGGAGCGCATAAGACGCTGAAGAATCGGTTAGCCGATAACAATACAACAATACCATACGTTACAATAAAATACATGTCATAATCGGATCGCGAAAGTACTTTTACGAGCTCGGCAATCGAGCGGCGAACGAGTTATCTCGTGACGAGGCTCTGCTGTCAGCGAATTTTTCACCCAGCCTGCTTGCGAAACGCCAATCAGCCATGATAATAGTAATCTAACTAATGCGTGCAGTAGCCCAGACAACATGTCGTAAAATTCATATTTTGCTCATTGTTTTACGGTTTACATGTGATGTTTTTATCACCGACACGGAATGAGTATTATTTGTAACGTAATCGCATCTTGTGATGTGCGTAAAACGTTGGATTATCGTTAGAATAGTTGAATTATACTGATTTATTTTTATGCTATAAGAATCAGCATCCGTAAGGTGAAAAGTTACTTAATTAAAATACGAATAACGAGCTGTCTTTCACATTCGACATATATAATCTTATTACACTTGTGTAAATACGTACATAACATCACGCGCGTCAAACACGTGCCGCTTTTGCGTACGAAATCCCGATTTCTCTATTGTTTACCTAAAAATTTCTTGAGCAAATGGCTCAAGAAGTGTATATCAGAATAATCAGCGACGTCAAAAATTAACGATTATTGTGCGCTACGCTATATATTGTAACTTTAACCGCTGATCCACGCAGAAAAAGGATTAGCTCCGAAGGACCTAAAATATAGCTGTGGTAGCTAAAATGTGTCTTTGAAATAGGGACAGCTAACGTCGTTGCTGTCAAATCTAAATCTATTTATTAGCTCTTCGAACTTATTCGTTGCTAGTAAGAGATATTAGTTGCTAGAAGCAAACGACATGTAGCCGAATCCACTATGCTACCATATCCTTCGCGATAGAACGTAATAATATTTGCAGTAAGGCTAAGAATCTTAACAAAAATTATATATTCTTTGTTATTCATGCTAAGCAGTTTTAGCTGCTTTAACCATCAATTTTGTCATGGAAACAATGCTATACAGAATGTTTGGCAACTTATAACCTTACTAAAAAAAGGGCAGGTTCAAATAAAGAAAAAAGTCATGTATTTTTCAAAACACGCGCAATAGTTATTAACTTATTAGTGATTGATATGGCTTCTAAATATGGCCATTTTCAATATCAGTAATAACTTAATAACTATTGCCACTTTTTAAACATATTACTAGGCTTTTTCTTTTATTTTAACCCGTTTTAACTTTTTTCTTTATAGGGTTATTAGTTACCAAATATCTTGTACATTGGATGTGACACACACATACTGCAAATAATTACGCGTAGTTTCGTAATGACAAAAACCACACCCACCGGCCTCGGTGATCGACGGAAGACTAACCGTGCACCGAAACCCTATACGTAGCAATGCCCCAGAAACAATTGCAGTCCGAACTTCGGGATTCACGCGCGCATTATATTTATCAATAGCTGCAAAAGATCTCAGCTATTCATGCTAAGATACGCTTTTGATTTCAAATAATACAAAGTTGTACTTTGTAATAAATACATTTTACCTCTGACAGAACCAATTTTTACCAATGACACTAACAGTAAACAGTTAGTCTTTCAGCTAAGTTCGAACTAGCTAACCGACATTTAGCTAATGTCGCTACATCATTTCTTTGCGTGGAAATATCACGTTTAAACATCTAACTTATTTTAAAAATTGTCTGGGTGAAAAATCGATGCAACTGTTTAGAAGACAGATCTTTATTTGCAATCGACCGAATTACAATTGTTTAATACTGGTTGATACTGTCCAATACAATTGTTTAATACACGTTGATACCGTTGATAGTCAATAATGTTTTAAGACTAGTTGCGAGATATGGTATTCGGAACCTAATAGCTCAGAAGCACCGGATCGTTGAATATGTCGAGACATTCAGGATCCGTGAAGTCGCTGTGCATGATATTCCAAACTCGAGCGCCTTTGCGCAGAGCAAAACCGGTCAGCCTCGGCCTCAGGAAACTGAAGGTGATCGGGCTTTCGGCATCCAGCACGTTACCGTACAAGATAGACTTGTTTCTCAGGGTGACGGCCACGACGTCTCCCGGCGTTATACAATCGCTGCCTAAAACGCCGATGATCTTCTCCCTGGGCAGGACGAGGCTGTAGTTGCGGCGAGAAACGACACTGGTTTTCTCAACAGTTTCGGAAACGCCAGATTCCGCGACAGGAGCCGCAGAGGAGAGGAATCCTAGAGGACGGGCCAGAGGATATCCTAACCGTAGCAAATCGGCTGCAGAATATCGACCCTCGTATCCAGCGAGCCAGGGTGCCATACCGGAACCGTAAGGCGAAGCCAAACCGAGTGGACCGACGCTATAGGGAAGCGCAGTGGCGTCCGAAACTGTAGAGATGGATGTCGCGCTGGACACGGAGGTGTCCGCTACGGTGCTCTCCATGGCAGGAGCATACATGGGTGCTGCGTAACTGACAACTTCGGGAACAGTCCTTATTCCGGGAAGAGCGACAATGGGCTCTGATTCAGACACGGCCAGGCTGGAGGTCTCAGACACCGCCGTATTCTCTAAGGCGGTGGAAATGACGGGAGAAGCGTATACCGAGGGTAGAGAAGTGTATAATAGTCCTGCAGGTACCACCTGCGGCGACACTAAGGGTACAGCAGGCTCGGCAGCAACCGCTGATTGAGTTTCAACGACGGTGCTGGTGGACGTGGATTCGGCTTCCACGGGCATACCGGATGCAACTACCGGGCTCATCAAAGGGCCGTAACCATACAGATTTAATGCAGGATTTCCTATTAGTGGACCCATTAGCGGACCTGCTACTACCGGAGCCGCTAGACCTGGATTGACTGCGTCGACAGTTGCCGACGCCGTGGCAGTAGTTACCGTTTCAGATCCGACGGGGTAAGCCGATGCTACCGGGCTCATCAAAGGACCGTAACCATACAGATTTAATGCAGGGTTTCCTATTACTGGACCTGCTACTACTGGAGCCGCTAGACCTGGATTGACTGCGTCGACAGTTGCCGACGCCGTGGCAGTAGTTACCGTTTCAGATCCGACGGGGTAAGCCGATGCTACCGGGCTCATCAAAGGGCCGTAACCATACAGATTTAATGCAGGATTTCCTATTAATGCAGGATTTCCTAATACTGGACCTTCTACTACTGGAGCCGCTAGACCTGGATTGACTGCGTCGACAGTTGCCGACGCCGTGGCAGTAGTTACCGTTTCAGATCCGACGGGGTAAGCCGATGCTACCGGGCTCATCAAAGGGCCGTAACCATACAGATTTAATGCAGGATTTCCTATTAATGCAGGATTTCCTAATACTGGACCTTCTACTACTGGAGCCGCTAGACCTGGATTGACTGCGTCGACAGTTGCCGACGCCGTGGCAGTAGTTACCGTTTCAGATCCGACGGGGTAAGCCGATGCTACCGGGCTCATCAAAGGGCCGTAACCATACAGATTTAATGCAGGATTTCCTATTAATGCAGGATTTCCTATTACTGGACCTGCTACTACTGGAGCCGCTAGACCTGGATTGATTGCGTCGACAGTTGCCGACGCGCTGATTACGGCGGAAGTCGGCGTTTCACATCCGACGGGGTAAGCTGATGCTACCGGGCTTATTAAAGAGCCGTAACCATAGAACGGGTTGATCAGAGGACTTTCCACCACTGGAGCTGCCACTGATTCGTCGACAATGGACGATGTGCTGGACACGGATGTACTCACGCTTTCAGACTCCACGGCTTTGGGGAAAATCGGGCCTAGACCAGCTAACGAACTGAACACTGGGGCTAGACCACCCACAATTGTACCAAAACCTCCGACTACCGGGCTAGCCACTTCGCTCACGTCGACAGTGGACACGCTGCTTTCAGTCAACGAGTTAAAGAACGGCACGAAGTTGCTTATGAAGGGTATCGTCGTCAGGAACGAGCTGAACGCAGGGACCGTCTCGGTCGTGGTGAAGGCGCTTACGCCAGACTTGAACAGGTCGTGTATTCCAGACGCGAAGTAGCCGTCGTGAATACCTCGGATAGAAGAGACCACCTCATTGAACGAATTGTAGTACTCTGGGGCGAATACCTCGCTATCGTAAACCACCGGGGACAGAATCGGCTCCTCGATGAATTCCAACGGACGTTCCCAGTCAAAGTGTTCCAGCAAATGGAATCCTCCCAGTAAATGGTGCAACACACGTAATATCAAACGTAAGGCCAAGTGTTGATTGAATAAGATGAAATCGATGAAATAGAACAGCTGCGTCTTGATTAGCTTGAGCACAAAGTGCAGCACCTTGAGGGAGATGCATACGATCCGCAGAATGGCTCTGAAGATGCTGGGGCACGGCACGACGTCTCGGATTATTTCCGGCACGATTTGTAAATGATGAGGTTCCTTGATTACGGCCTCAACAAACTGCGGAGTATGTCGGAAGAAGCTGCCGAAAGCGTCGCCCTCGAACTCGTCGCCGAACAAAGGTCCCAGGGTGAGCTCAGACTTTAAACCACGCACGGTGTACAGCATGTAGTGGATGAATTTCCTTATCTCGCAGAAAAACTCGTGCGTTAACCTGCCAGAATGATGGAAATGGCCGTAGCTGAAAGCTTCGAGCGGGCAAGAATGTCTGTCCAATTGTTCCAAGGAAATCTCCTCTTCGAAGTCCGTTCCCAGGATATCGCCAGACAACGCGACGGGTGCGTAAGGCAGATCGGTCACAAATCTCTTCAGTAGCTTGCTGAAGTTGCCATCGGCATCCGTGGAGTTCTGCAAGGCATTCCGCTATCCTTAGTCGCGTGCGCAACGCTTGATTTTGTAATTTTCGAATAAACTGAACAAACGTTTCGTGAAATACTGATTTTCCTTCGACTCTATGTCCCCGGGTTTTGTTAATATTCATTAATTAGGTTAATATAATCTTAATATCATTTAATTAGATTAATATAATCTTAACTGTCAATGGGCTTTTATTAATTTCTGATCCCCTTTGCGTTACGGATATAGTAAAGTTTCATATATATATGTGTGTGTGTGTGTGTACGCGTGCGTGCTGTATTGTGTAAATTTCAATCGAATACCTCTTGTAATTCTTGCAGTTTCTCGACCAAGTCCTCATTTTCAGCGTACGTCAACGCCTGAATAATGTTGTACAGATATTTGTAGGAAACTGCGTCCTCCTGCGAAAGGAAGAATTAGAATTATTCTTGTTCTAACTTATTCTTCCTGTGCTCCTGTGCGAGAATAAATCAAATATATATTTCAATAATTACCAGAGTATTTCCCTCAGTATCGCTATTTTCCTTGTGCGCATTCTGTTTCTCCTCTTCTTCATACTTCAGACTTGTTCCCTTGATCTCCTCCGCGATCGCCCTCCTGTCGTGGAATTCGGACGGTTCATCCTCTATTTTCGCGGCATCATCTTCAGCCAGAAAAAGATCGAAATGTTCGTTGAGATGCCTCTTCTCGCGGAAAGTCCGCGGCAGCTCAAAATTGACGTTTTTCTCGAAATTCTTCGCAGTGTTGAAATCCTTCTTGATGTAAGCCGCCGAGCTCACGGATAAGGAGGCCAAGAAGGCGATGGCGAAAGCCACAAGGATTTTGCTCGTATGCTCCATGACGCTTGCCAATGGGGACTCGATGACTTCGATTGCATCAGGCTGCTTCATATACCTTGCGGACCCGTATTATCACACGCAGATACGGCACGAAAATCGTGACTGCATCGGACAACATCGAAGATTGTTGGATGTAAAAGATCGATAATTCAGATACGAGACGACTCTGCGTGAGATTATCCAGACTGATCTGCAATGCTTCTCATGAGCGAGCACGATCTATCAACATTACAGCCCGGGAGATTATTCATTTATTTATGCTCAGCGCATCAGAGCTCACTCCAGTATTCGCGTTCGTGAACAATCGCTAATCACTCTGCTCTAACGTGCGAGTATGAAGAGGCGTAATATAAGTGTAACGTGAGAAAATGAAAGGTACTAAAGATCGGTTTCATCAGATTTCTTTATTGATTTCCCTTGCGTTGGGAATATCACGTACTTTATTGTTCACACAACACAAAAGGTATTACGGACTTATTGAGCGTAAGTTTAAGCTTCATAAATTTTACAGTTACAGGATGGCTCGTCACAAGCGGGAACTAGAATTCTATCGATTCTGCTGGTGAGTCCCGTTATGTATTTAAGAGGTTCCTCTGGCATCGCCGTCGTTCTAAAATAATATCAGACATTGTCACACATTTAAAATTACAACGAAACACACACACACACACACAAACACGGAGCGTTCTCACGTTAGAAAAATTTTGTTATCAGCTTGAAGCAGTGCAAAACTTCATGCATACTTTACAAATAAACGTCAGGACGTTAAGCTACATGAGCCAAGATAATTTATTTTTTTCAAGAATTACAACAAGTGACGAATACTACTAGAGAATACTTACGGATTCGGCGGAAGCACTTGTAAATCGAAATCGTAGCTAATCGGGATTTGTTCGGTCGGCGGCGGTGGTATCTGAACGTTGTATTCGTACGACTTTGTAGGAAGCGAAACTTTGCAGGAAGGGACTTTCGGAGACGGCGCTTCGGGGGGCATTTCTATAGAGATTGGATACTGGGAGATTGGATATAAGTATTGTGATGGAGGCGGCAGACCGAACGTCTGATAGCTCAACTTGAGCGGTTGGTAGAATTCTTGCGGTATGGACTCTTCCACAGGTTGCGCGGGTACCTGCAAATTATTTCGCAGGTACGAGTTTTCAATCGTCACACGACGCCACGTGTCACTCACGTATTTATCGGTATTTATCTCTAACGCTCCTCGACGAATTGAAAGAAAACACGATTCAGATCTTAACACGTCATTTCTATCGACAAAATGGCACAATTCTGAGAAATGCCCCTTGACACTTTTTTCCTTGAACTAATAACAAGAAACGGCAAGCAAGTTCGGTAAAATCTAATCTTTGTCAGCTTTTTCCTTTATTGCCTTCGGTTATCGTCAAGTTTGCAAAACTTGGGAGAATAATATATTTCCACCCTTGTCTTAAATCACGATAAGCTAGATGCTAATATATACCTCAATCTTGACAGGCAGATAATGCGGCGTGTGACACGGCTCGCCGTGCGTAACTATTTTAACTCCGTAGTATGGTGACCCATTGACCGGAAAACCGTGAGAGAATCTCGGTTGTAAGCTGAGGCCAATAATAATAAGACATTGTAATCTCAGTGTCGTCGTCATTATCGTAATGATTCACTGAATGCGACGGAGGCCGAACTAGCTTGTGGCATATCGCACTCCTGATATAGAAGAGGTCTCATCGAAAACAAACGCCCATGGGGTGCTTCCTGTTTACTGAAAAACAAGTGACCCACAGAGCAACAAAAAAACCAAATTCTGGAACATTCAACAACAACAAAATACTCATCTCTCTTCGTCGGGCATTGCGACAGATGTTTAATTGAGAGGTACACGTATCTTCCTTGTAGCGTGTCCGCGCAAGGTTTGTCGCTTCCTGCATCGGCATGACGTTCTTCCATGAAGGAATCTTTCATCGAAACGGAAATTCGCTGTTTGTCGATTTGTCGCAAATATCAACGCAAACGCTTCGACTGGTGAATAAGAAAGCTCTGGTGGAAAAGAAGAAGAAAATACATTTTTACGCTGTAGCTAAGAAGCACCGCTTTCGTCGCTTGCGAGTCAGGAACGTGATCACGACATTTTTGTGACAAGATCACCCGGCTTAATTAACGTCTAGGATACGCTCTGTATAATAAATTGTAAAATTCGCGTCTCGATAGAGATTGCGCTTCGTGAGATTTACGTCACAGATTAATATTTCATTCGGCCGCGATCGTTTCGCCCGACTCTTCGTTCCGTCCGCTTCGCCGCCTGTAACTTATGCCGCGTATGTAAATGAAATAAATCAGCCCGGATGCGTGCGTACGCATCGTAAATTTTACGTACGCGCCCGCGAGGAAAGAAAAGAAAAAGAGGAGAGGCATTCGGACGAGAGAAGAAGCGCGAACTCCTCTCTCTCTCTCTCTCTCTCTCTCTCTCTCTCTCTCTCTCTCTCCCTCCCTCCCTCCCTCCCTCTCTCTCCGTGGTGTCTCTAAATAGCAACCGCGTGGCGGGTGCGTTCTCACTCTCGGAGATACATTATGTTTCCTTCGTGGCGATCATCGTGCATCACCATGTGGTTCTTCCCTTTACCCGGCCGAAACACTTTATGACGTGTTGACGGTCGTGCTTTAGCCGCGGAAGTTGAAGGGAGATTATAAATCTCATTGGCGGCGTTACCCCGCGATGCAGAAAGTCGCTCGGCTGTCTCAACAACTCACCGGCAAAAACGTGAGGGTGTTTTTTTTTTCTCGTTATTAAGAGTATATATTACATTTTTATACAGTGAACGACGTAATACTTGTTTCTTTAATTATGTTATATATGTATATACATATATAGGTACAGCGGGCAGCGGTGGAAAATTTCGAAGTTTCACGATTGGATGACGATAAAAAAAGTACGAGCCACGAAGCATGTCGGATTTCTAAAGTCGATTGACGCGGTCGATTTGTCAGACATGTTCTAAATTTGTAACGTAACAATCTTACGTTAAAACGATTTTCCCAGATAAAACTTATAGCCGACTGTTTATTCGTGGAACGACGAAAGCGGAGGATAAACTGTAATTGGATTGATCATTAAACTATTAACTTAGTTCCGCCGTGGTTCTTCGCAGTGGATGGTAAGGATGATCATCGGGGTGTCAATAATAAATTGCGACGGTTTGGCTTTCGTATAATTACTATATTATCGGTGCAACAGTAACGTCACATAGACACAGGACTAGGACTAGTGTAGACAATTACGCCGAAAAGTATCCGTGCCTAAGTATCCGTTTCGAAGTGAGACGAGTAAGATTGGTCGATCTTGATGATCGTGAGTCTTCGAGTAAGCGAGAGAGTCATTTTGGCTATTTTCTAGAAAAAAGAAAAAAAAACAAAAAAAGATCATCGCGGGCATGAAACCGGTCCGTAATTCAGAGCGGTATTCCTCAGTCTGGCGAATATCCCGGACGTCGTGTCATCGAGGTCGTCTTCTTCGTCGCTCATATCTTCTAAGTAGCGGCGATAGTGGTAGGCGTCGTTTCTTCGATTTTCGTCTTCGTTCTCTTCTTCGATTTCGACGACCTCTCGATTGACCACGATGCTGCCGGGAACGTAGCCGGGAACCGGCGGTCCAACCGGACCGCAGCCTCCGCTTACATCTTCGGCATCGGCCAGACCGATTCCAGAGCTTATCTGTAACACTCTGTGCCTTGCTAATGCTCCTGGTACTATGAGCCCGTCGACTGGCGCGTATCCAAGGTCTCTAAAACAAATTGTACACAAAGATGCGTGAATACCCGCAAAAACGTCCTCTCTCGGTTGAAGGCTGCGAGGATTAGTTTGATGCAACCCCCCCAAGGAGAGAAAGGCTGACGGATACGACATGTCCGACTGGAAAGCGTATTAAAAAGAATAGCATACTTTTTAATTCTGAACTTTGAAAGTGACGTCGGACTTGGAAAGGTTCGCGATGCGTGTGTGTGTGTGTGTGTCCAGGAAGAAAAAAATATACAAACAGTCGAGTTTAAGGAAACGTCACGTTGGCGAGTGACTAATACGCGTCAGGTGTTTCTCTCGGCTTACCCGTACGTGATGAAGCCTCCTTGCGGCGACAGGTTGGCGATCTCTTCCTGACTTATTCTCTCGCGCTCGATGGCCTCGAGCTCGGCCAACTTGGCTTCTTCCTGCTCGTTGTAAACGCCGATACTCACCGCGACCGGCGTCACTGGTTTCAGCTCCACGATAGGCTTATCGAGAATCTGAAGTTTTTCCTCGGGTATGTCCAACGGTCTCTTGCCGGGCATCGAATCGACCGGCACCGTTCTGTGTCCAAACGCTAGTTTATCCTCCGGCACGAACCACTTTTGTCTGTACACTGTGGTATGTGGGAAGAGATTCTTGTACGCCAAGGTGAGCGACACTGCGTCTGCTGGTTGTCCGGGATACGAGTAATCCTCGGGGAGTTCTGAAGCATGAATGGACATCGCTCACATTTCGCGACCTCATCGAGAGGCGGAGGTACATCGGTACATGTACGAATTTCACGAGAACCTACCGAGGTCTTCACCAAAGTCGGTGCATCTGTTGCTACCGATCGATCCTTGCGCATTAACGCTTCCGTACGACGTATCGTATTCGCTGAAACTGTTCGTTCCGGAGCTCATTTTTACAGCACTAGAATCCACGTACGACCCCGCGGTTGCACTGGCCAGTCCCAATTGTCCCGAAACGCGCGTTCCGGAGCCGGTTCCTTTGTACCAGTTATCATATAGACTCGATTGTCCCGAGATGCCTGATTCCAAAAATGCACAAGTTGTGTCCCAGTTAGAACCGCAATGTTGATTCGATCTCGATAAGGGTTGAGTCAACAACGTTGATTCAACGTCTCATCGACCATTCCAATTCGTCAAATCAACGTTACGGCTCTGACTGGGTATATGCATCGATATTACCCGAATGCGCATCATTCACTATATTGAAAGTATATCTACCAAAGGTAGCAGTTGCGCCAACACCACCGGATGTAAATCCACCGATGGATCCGGATCCGCGGACGGGTGAATTGTACGTCCGGAGACCGCTGTAGGTCGCCGAGTTGAGTTTCTCCAATTCAGTTCTGTCAATCTGCCCGTTTCCGTTCACCACGTTCACACATACAGGCACGGGAGGTTGGATATCCGGGAGTTTGGGATACGCCGGAGTCACTTTGGTCACTTTGGTCACTTCGTAACTGCTTTGTTTGCTCGGTGCGCACAGGTCGCCGATCGGTGGGAACCTGTCAACGAACGGTGTGCCATAGTCAGAGAAAGATGAAAGGAGAAGACGAGGAAGAATATTGATCGAATCCTCGTGACGCGGAATATTCAATTGATCCGTGTCGTGTTCGCGAGTCAGCAAGATTTCTTCGCGAGATCTTGGTTGATCAATAGTCACGATGAAAAAGGCGCCAAGTACCTGGGCACAACTTGCCCCTCGGTATCAGAAGACAAGAGGTCGTTTAATTCCAAGGACATCTTAGATTGACTTCCGCATCCGCAGCCGGGATTGTACGTTGATCTTTGTGAGTAAGGATAGACGCTACCGAGGCCTCCATCGATTGGTCCTCGAAGAAGATTGACGGAAGATGAGGAACCTGCAGAGCTGCTACTACTGCTGCTGCTGCTGCTGCTGTGACTAATACCACTGCGAATATCATATGATCTCCTAGTCTGACTGGATGGAGAAAAGGACACCGCACTCCCGGGATATGTTTTCGCGGATATTAATTGGGCCACTTTGCGTGCGGTCGCTGCCTCGTTGATCGCCTCCGGAGTCGCTTGATACAACGGCTTTGGCACCCTCGCTGCTTTCACCACCACGTCACCGCACTTGCACGAGTTGGTACCTGATAGTTGAAGGTCAAAATATCTCGATCGGTATCTTCGTTGCTTTCGTATGTGAGGGTAACACGGTTGTGTTAAAAATTTCTCCGCCACCGCTCGCAGCGTTGTCGAGAATTGAGACTTTACTTTAAGCGCAGAAAGTGCACGTTGTATCGTTTTGTTTGATAGTGAGCGGTCCAATATGTATAATAATCTTCACGATTGCGATGATTGCGGTGAATCGCGACTTACATACCTGAGCCTAAACTTCCTCCGCAAGAAGAGCATCCCAACTTGCGTGCTCGAGCGATATGCACTATCGTCAGCAGCAGGGCGATTCCCAAGATTAAGGAGAACTTCATGTCTGTTTCGTCGATAATATTCTCTTTCTTTTCTCTTCTTTCGCTTCTTCCTGCCGTTACATTTATATATGTCGCCGGGTTCTTTAGCGAGCGGGATTTTGCAACGGATCAGACAGTGTTTGTTTTAAGCGCCCGAGCACTTCCTGTTGCAACGTTTGCGTGGCTGACATATTTTGACTTTGCCATCGCTTCCTGAATTCACAGTGTTCCAATATAATTTAAGCGAAGTGGCGTTTTATAGTTTTATAGCACATTCGCTCAGAAGTACCGTAAATTACCGGTTTCGCCGAAGAGGAAACAATCATCACGACCACGTTGACATAATTTGATTTCCGTATTTGTAAGAAAATCAACGAAACCGGGACCCGGCAGAATTGAGACGAAGAATGCACACAGGCTGCAATGAGTTGTGAAATAATTAGGCCAAGAACAATGTTCTTGCGACTGAGTATCGTAGTTTCTGTTATTAAACTCAGAAACGTAGGACCATGAAAATTTCAGGCGAAACTCGCGAATTAAATAATTAAATTATTTGTTTGTAAAAATAATTTAATATAATGAAACTTCTATAATAATTACTGCAATAAAAAAAAATCAAATAAAAGTTAATTAGACTACAAAGTTATAAAATATCGTAAAATAATCCGAGTCATTTTTATCTTATATATAAGATATTTTACAAAACATGTTCATAGTTATCAAACAAAATTCAATATAAGGCTTTAGAACACAGAATTTAGAACAGTGCTAATAAGAGCAAAATGCTTTCGCCTTTCGATAAATAAATATATAATAAAAATAAATATAATAAATAGATATAAAACACGTGAGATAAATATTCAAAATAGACCGCACAAGTTTACTATACAGTCAAACTGAAATCTATATAATATATAAGTATAGAGTATGTTTTCGGCATTTGGTAAACACAGATTTCACAACTAAAAATCATTGTCGTTAGTGGAGACTCGAACTTCTTTATCCAATACTTTTATCGATCATTTATTCAAGACTCAAAATATTGAAAATATTTAAAGTTTCTACTTTTTTAGGTGCTAAAAGAAAATATGATCAATTACGATAAAATGTTAGAAAATGAAAATGTATCTTATTAAAACCATATATTTATATATATATATAATTATTACTTTATATATATACATATACACTATAAATATATTCTTACATCGTACTGTGCATCATATAGAGTTTTCTCGTTAATATTAATATAAACAGAGAGATTATGATATATTTATACAATATTATTAAAGTTAAACGAGATCTTCCACAATATATGAGAGTTTTTCCACTTGTTGGAAAAACTTTTATTTGTTGAAGAAGTCCGACGCTCGTTGCCGCTGCGGAGGTAGATTGAGCAAGTTATCGGTGAGTACGGGTCCTTGTATCCGTGCGACACCGATATCTAATTTCTGAACAGTTGCTCGCTTAGCTGATGTACTTGTACGCGGTGTATCTGGTGTCCTGATGCCAATGGACGGAGTTCTCGATGATGGTGTTCGTCGTGACGACGGTGACGGTGTGCCTGTGATTCGCAATTTCTGAGTTGCTAATCTTCTCGCTGCAGGAGACATTGTGCTTAAACGATCTATAGTCGACCTCGGTGACGGTCTGGAAAGAATATGGATTTTTTTTATCAACCTTTGCACGAGTTTCTCAATGATTTATATTAATATTTGCTTAATATTTATCTATATATCTATATAAATTCAAGTACAAGTCATACGTATTATGCTAGAAATTACTTACGTGGATAATGACTTTCTGGCTGCCTCTAAGGCCTTGTTCTTTCGATCCCTGTGTCTCTCACCGGCTTTCTCGGCTAATTGCAACGCCAATTTCTCCCTTTTCGGTGGTTCCGCCATTCTAAAGGAAGGGCCCTGGCTCGTCCGAAGTAATGGAGTGTCACCGCCGTCCAATCGAAAGGGTGTCCCTTCGATTTGACCCCACGTCATCAAGGGACTTTCGCATTCTCCCGGCATTGGGCTCGGTGTCGCTACAAAGCTGTAACCGTTCACTTGCGGCGTTGCATTCCTAACGACTTCTTTACCGTCAACACCAATCTTGCCGTCGTTAGCTTTGGACTGCGTCTTTGCCAACTCGTTGATAGTTTCTTTATTTTGTTGCTCATTGAAGGGGTTTGTCCTTAGCCTTGTGTTTTCGTGCATCACTTGCTGTTTCTTCTTAGCTAACTCTATCTTCTCCTCGGCCGTAGGTTCCACTCCGTCTGGAATGTACATAATATAATTCTTATTCCTGTAAGCCCAACTGTCCACTTGTTTGGGTCTGGAACTCGATCCTTCAATCGCCAAGGGGTCAGTTGTGTTGGCAATAGCAAGCCACGCTTTTGATTTTTCTTCTGCCTCATAAAGCCAAGCATGCTTCAGTCTACGCTTGTTTTCCGCTTCAACCATCATCTCCTCAAAACTAGCATTATCTTCACTTGTATGAGTGCTCAGGTAATCATCAAGACCAGTCTTATTTTCCGCTTTATCATCCTTCTTCTTAGATTCCGTGGGTATTTCTTGAGGCGTAACTTCCGGAGTATGTGGCAATTCATCCAATTCGACTCTACGCTGAGGAGTCTCAAAAGTTGCCGGACTAACTGGTCTTTCTGTGACTGGTCGGCCAGAACTGTACTTTGCATACAGCTCTCTCATTCTCTTTACATCATTCTGTTCCAGAGCGTCTAGATACTGATTTTGTGCCTGCAACCTTTCCAAGTGTGGAAAAAAATCCCTCTGTATGATTTCACCCATCTTCTCAATATACATATCTTCATCCAGAATCTTTGGTTTAGTGGACTTTCTCTTTTTCACAGATCCGATAGGCTTTTTGAATATAGCCAAATCCTTGATATTCTTGGCAGCTTCCAAGGCTTTAGAGCCTGGACTATCATCTGCGATGGTATCTTAGAAAATAGAATACAGAAAATGACAACCTGACTCATGATTCAGAAAAATCATTTATTTCATAATTCTCTATTTTGTAAGATAAATCAATGACCTGATTATATTCATAAATGTACTTACCACTCATACTGATTGATACTGCGGATCCAAACTTCAAAAGTGAGGTTATATGACAGTAACTGTCCCTAACGTTACTGCTAACCGACGAATAAGTATTTACGCTTGTGGAAAAAGTTCTCCTGCTGCAATACTCCTTTAGCGCAAGCTCGTACGCACTCGATCACGTCATATTTCCTTACGTGCAGGATCTTTTGTACATACCACAAGAGTATTTTGCACTTTGCAATTATAAGACATGATGCATATGCAGCGATCAGCTGTGACATCTACATTTAAAGTATATATATTATCATTACCGACACATGACATTATAGATTATTGTTATTATCGATATATGATAAAGCAGTGACAGCGGCATCTCAAGTCACTCGTTCAGTTTACGAATGTGAGTCGCGCGCAAGAAGTAAAAAATTATAACGTGAAAAATTAAAAGAGTGAAATGTATATCTCTCGCAAGCAATAATTAATATAAAAGATAAGATAACATATGTATTCTTTCTTTTTCTCTATGTACGTCTTAACGACAATCTAATCTCATCAAATTATATATTACTTTATAATATTACCTTTCTTAATCTCAATAGAGTTTGCGTTGTCTTATTGAAGTATGATAGATTTTTGCGGTTAGTATCGTTTGCACTATCAGAACAAATAACAAACTCGGAGTTTTTTTTTTATCAAAAGATTTCAAGTGAATAAATATATGTGCGGTATATTCCAAGCTTGCTCCATTTTGCAGTTACTTCGACTTAGGAGGAAAATAACGAAAAGATAAAAATGTGAACTCTAACGAAAATAGTTAACGTAGCATACGTCATCTCGACAGACAGTCGCTAATTCGACGACTTTTGTATTCGAAAACCGATGAAGCAGATAGGTGCGTGCCTACCCCTTCGAGGTAGGCACGCACGTGAAAAAATATACCTCTTCCTCTTTATTCGTTACATTTCGAGTGCAGCGCACGAAAACACAAATCAAGTTCCAATTGGAATTATAAATCGCCCAGAAGCGGGTTCCAGACTCAGGATCAAAGTGACGCGTCAAAGAGTTAAACGGCGATCGTCCCAACGTGTCAACGTTCGCCCGGGTTAATAACTCTTTCCCTCTATTCGCAGGCGCCGCGGCGAATGCACGGCCCTGGATCCACCAGTCGCCGGTGATATTTTGGTCCAGCTGGGACAGCGGGATGGGACACGAGAGATATCACCTCACCTCACCTCACCTCGCCTCGTCTCGCTTCGTCTCGTCTTATATCGCCGACGCTCGCTCGTGCGCTCGCGTGAACGCGAGCAAAGTGATGCGAGGCCCCGAGGTGTTGGGGAGCCACGTTGACAGACATATGAGGATTCCAGCGGCGAGATAGGATGTGCGTGCCGACTACGTACGCCACGGCAGAAAAGCCCAGAGTACCGCCAAAATGTACATCACCTAGTTTCCTCTTTCTCTCTTATTCTCGAGCCGAATGTTCCGAGAGAACCGAACCGAACCGAACCGAACCGATCGATCGATCGATCGCACGTCGCGCGTCGCGCCGACTCGATTCTCTCGGAGCGAAGTGTACCTGTCTCGTAACTTGACAAATATTTAAATTAATCGAATAAGAAAAGAAGGATATAAAGATAACTAGACGAGACGGAGCGAATTAGCGAGTCTCTGAGGACAGTGCGCGAGTTATGCGCGATTAACAAGCGTTCTCGTTATCGCAGATTGATTAATAATAACGACGATGCGTGCGCGCGGCTGTTTAGCGTGGCTCTGCCTCTGCTAATTACACAAGTGATGATTGACATATAGCGCGTATGACTTACAAGTCCGGATCTCGTTGCATAAATTGCATTTCTTTCTGTGCCAACAACCGAAGCCCAACCGTCATGAGGCCTCCACGTGATTTCATCTACTCGCGCGATGTTTTCCTGGATCGTATCCACGATGCATGGATTATAAATTTCGTCGTAGAATCATTATATTCTACCGACTTTGAAATACATTTCGCAATAGTTAATGTGCATTGATAAAATAAGATGAAGATAAAGCAGAATCGAGCGAAACCAACAAATAAATAAGATAGGAAGAAGATATTTGTATCTTTTCTTTTTTTTACAGACAAACGCGAAATCTTTACGGAAGCAGGATCACGAAGAAGGTGGAAGACGGACATGTCCGTCGGCGAGGGTGAAAACTGTCCAAGCAAGCGGAGCACGCGAAGACAGACGCTGACCGTGAATGCCGCGGGTGTCTAGAAGAAGTTTACCTTACGTCGTAAATAGAGGGGACGATCCTCTTCTGTTGCAACCTCGGGCAAAGCCGGGGACGACGTGTATGTTCGTCATGTTTACCGCAATTTTCAAAGTCTCCTCCTTGCGCGCATACTTTCGTCCGCGCGAGGTGTAGATTTACATATATATCTTCTAAATAAATTTACGTGTACAACTACATGTGCGTACGTAAAATTTCTGTTAACTCTCCACTTGACAGACTGAATCTACAATTAGCAATACCGCAAAAAAAAGGAAAAAAGAAATTCGCTCGATCGCAAAGGCAACTCCGTCCGCTGCGAGAACATCGACGAAGAGTCGCGCGAGGTGCACTCGAATCGCGAAGAGCAACTCGCCGGGATGCCTATCTTCGTCGATAGCCAAGTTCCTCGGCGTACATCAAAACGTTCAGCGACGTTCGCCGGGCTTAAATAACTACATAAAACCCACGGGATCGCGGAGGAAAGTCAAAATACGAGCGACTGAGCAAGAGAGGCCGCGAGGGGGGAGGGCAAGGCGGCAAAAGTGGAAGAGGGCACTAGACGAGGGGGACGAAAAGGTTGCGGACATAAAGCGTAAACAGTCGAGGTGTGATTTGACGTGCACTCCGGCTGCGCCTCCGAAACCCGCGCGTCCCGCTTTAAGAATCGCCCTGTGGAAGAGGGCGATGGCGATGGCTGGGATCTGTAAATCTGTCATTGCGGCCGTATTCGTGCGCAGGATATGAACTTCTGGCCGTCGCATCGCGTCGCGCCGCTCCGCTCCGCGAAGCGTCCCCGGCAAACTCCGGGACCGGTTCACTTCCTCGGCGAGAGTCGAAAGAGTTTTCGATCTTTCTTCCGAAAGTAACACGTGTTGCGTGCGAGCGAACAGCAGCGAACCGCAGAAGAAACCGCGCTGTCTCCATGAGAGAGAAGAGTCTGCGAAGGTAAACCAAACGGCGAACGGGCGAGAGGATGGACTCTCTCGTTGTGAGAAAATGACGTAATGAAAATAAGAGAATATAGCTAGTGCAGTTTACAGTACACCTTGATCGCCCGCTCTCTTCTTTCTCCTTCTCTCCTTCTCTCTCTCTCTCTCTCTCTCTGGCTTTCATTCAGATTCTTAATTAGTCGCATGGGGTCATGTTGTGGCACTCGCTGTGCAAAGAATGCGCTGACACGAGCAGAACGAAGTTACGCTCGCGATGGTTAACGCCTGTTCCGAATCCCGTCGGGCTTCTTCGAAAATTCAAAAGGCGTTTCGAGACGCTACGACGACGTGGAGACTATAAAAGCCCAGCCACCGTGTACACGCGAATCGTACACACACGGCTTGCTCGGCTATGCGCATGCGATGACGGATTCATGGGCCGCGGGATAGCGCTTCTTCCTCTAGCAGACGCGGACGCACGCCCGCGTTTCCTCCTCCTTACTCTTTTTTTCCTTCCACCTAACCGAGCGATTCATTTGTCGGTCTTTGATCCGCGACCAACGAGGAGGCACCAGCGGAAAATTAGAGAGATTTATTAAAGGACGCTCTCCGCGTCCTCGTGCGTCCATTGCCTCTCGTCGCGCTCGGCCGCGTTTGGTAATTGACAGGACGCGTTAGAGATCGGTATCGACGAGCGAAATAGCGATAACGAAGGAGCACTGGACGGGGTTCCTGGTACGGTGCGCGATTAATCATTACTTCAGTGGTGATCCTATACGTAAGAGAAACGCATTCTGTGCTGCCAACGACATTTGTTGGCAGCGCAGCTTCTTCGCATCGACGACCGAGGTGACGTTTCTTTCGCTTTTTCCCTAAATGTTAACCGTTTGTAAACCGTTGCCGCTTTGACTTTCCATCATAAACATTTTTCAAGAGAGGTGTCATGGATGGTGGTACGGTGTTAGCTGACCTTTCGGCGGTTGACCTCCTGACAGTCGCAGCGCATCGTCCACAACGAAGATGAAAGAATACGGGGCGGCTTTTTATTGCCGGCGCCGTCACGCGCCGTCGATAAGCGCGGCTTCTCTGTAGGCCGTGCGAGCCTCGCGGCTTTATATTACTCTCTCGGGTTAGGCTGTCAAAAGTACACGGAGGTGAGACCTCCCTTGTGGAGACCGCACAGTGTACTTTTACAGAGACACGGCGTAGTATGCCGTCGAACGAAAGCCGAGGACGTCGTTTCTTCGCGGAATAAGTTAGTAAGTTAAGCCCCGACGCACGTCGCGCGGACCGAGCGCGGAATGAGTCCTTATTTCGAATCCTTCCATTTTTACGATTTACGAGAGTCGTATCGTATTTCAGCCTTCTTCTGCGGGATAAAGCAATGAATCTTTAAACGAGAGTATTATCTCTCTGTTTATTAATATTATTTTCTTCGTCAACTGACGTGTCTCGTGAATTGCATAACTTCCTGCAAGCATGAGAATGACGAGATAAGCGCGCATATTCGGGCTATTTTCAATGACGATAAAGGTGACTCTTGCGAGATATTACGATAATTTGTATTACCGGAGGACTCATGCGCGTCTCTCCCCTTTGCCGCTTCTTCCTTCCTCAGGCAGAGGCGGGAGCAATTTTGGAAATACGGTTGAGTGCAAAACGTTTAGCACGGTCGAGAGATCGCAGTCGCTGGCAGTCATTAAGCATACGCTTGTAATGTTTACACAGCGTTGTTCCTCGTGCACTCATCAATCACGGCGAATGTCGTGCCCGTCTCATCCTTCGTGCCACGGAGACTTCAAACATTCGAGCTCTCGCTCCGCCTCATTGCCCAGCCCGTCGTTTTCGACAACCCTGATGTTAAACCACAGTTTTCGTGATCGTCGACGAATCGTAAAGTTGGCAACCGCGAACCCTTAAAGAATTAAGCGACTTTAGAAGAGGGGAACTTTCAACATTCGGACAATGTTTCTCGCAGCTGTCTTGAAGAATTTGTCAAAATTGTTGTCGTATGAGAAGGCGACGTTGCAAAGATATTTCCAATTGGAAGTCTGAAAGTAGAATACATAATATGTGCGAAGGTAAAAGCTGGGAGTGAAAAAATGGAGAATTCTCGCACTTTCAACATGTAGAAGTAGAATCGTGGAGTATCTTCGACTTTTCGAAGGGAAGTGAATTCGAGGGAAATAAGTCTTGCGTGTGGGTGTGTTCTGCCGGTGTTTATTTCTCGTTTGGCCATAAAATGTCCCTCTAATACTACCAAACTCTGAACGAGAGCCTTAAAAAGTTAAACGTACAATGGCATACGATACCGGCAGCATAATTTATTAAGGCACTTAGTAGCCACGCACTCTCACGCAGTGTCACGGCGCGTTTACTTTCCCGTCTTGGCTCGAGAACCTTTTAGGCTCGTTCGGCATTTGAGACACCCAGTATAAATAGACGCACTTTGCTCCTACAAAAGGCACTTTCTTCCCTGGCCTTCCGCAAGTTTGCCAGCATCGATCGGCCGATTTGTTTCTCATAAGTGATTCAATTTGTAACACTTGGGAGGAAAAATGTCTGTATGAACCGACGATAGAATGAATTCACGAATAAAAAATTTATACGCCCCTACGCACCTCCGATCGCGATCTGTTTCTTTTCTCAGTTCTCAGCAGACGCGTGAGCAATTTGCGGAGGCGAACATTGCACATATCACAATAACTAAACGTAATCTCGTTTAGCTGTTTAGTACTTTTCACTTGACGTAAACGCCGGATGTCACGTAATTGAGCCAATGAAAGATTACCTTGCAGCGTGTAACTTAGAGATAAATATTTCACGTCGAGAACTAGCATGATCTTTGGTACAAGTTACAGAATAAGTTCAAGTATTAACATCCAGCTATCGTTTCTGTTAATCACTAAATCTTACTTCCCGTTAAGTAAATTCTTCCTCAAAACCATCCTTATGTGTGTATATATATATATATATATATATGCAAAAATATAAATACGCACACGAAGGAGTCTCGTGTCGCTTTTAATCTCGACTTCAATGACTTCGCGATGTATGATGCTTACGCTCGCAAAAATAAGCAGCACACACGCGTGCGATGTAAGAAATACATCTGTTTTGTAGCGTCCGTCACACCCATTGTTCGTAAGGCACTACGAAAAGGCACCGGCAGGGTCCTCTGCGATAACAAACCACGCAACGATCGTCACGCGGAAGAGCGCGATATGAAGAAGATATGTTTACCTCGCACCCTGTATCTCAAACACACATTGAATCTTCGTCAATGAAAGTTCGCTCAATGATCGGTCATTCACGAGCGAAGGAAGCGTCAAGATGCGGATGACGCGAAACTGCGTTTAAACCGTTCTCACTGTTCCTCAAGTACACGTCGAGTCTTGCATTGGGGTTGAAAGGATCGGTCTCGCCGAGTCTTCGACACAGATAAGTCGATGAGAGAGACTGCACACGAGCGAAGAACAATCAACGATGACGATCGCCTCTCCTCTTATCGCGGCCCATAGAGAGATGCGCCCGGATGCGGATGCTGCGGATGCGTCGGATAATGAACCGAGTTGACGTGCGCCGACGGTTGGTGACCATGGTGGCTCGGATAAGTCCAGTGACCGGCTGCGCCCGTCGCACCGTAGAACTGGTGATGCTCCTGGCCGGGTATCGCCGTGATCTGCATGCCCGGTACCGCGTTATAAGGCGACGGCAGCACGCCGCCGCCGGCGCTTCCTGTGGCTGGCCTCTTCGCCGGATTCTGCATCCCGCTGATGGCCACGCTATCGCAATCGTCGGACTCGCAGTCCCGGAAGCCCTTGGCGAACGGATTGCTGGCGATCTTCAGCTGCGTTATCCGATGGTTCTGATAGGCGGTGACCGCGGTGAATCTAGTCTCCGCGAACGAGAAGGTCTTGAAGTTTTCCGTACGGGGATCCGGTGCCGCACCCGGCGGTGAAGGGGCGACCACCACGTGGCAGCGTGGCTGATAACGGTGCATCGAGTTCAGGATAATCTGCAACAGAAGAAGGATTACGGTCTCGATAGATACGGGGATTATCTCGTTCGCTCGATAAAATACATTCTGATGCAACGCGGGTCTCAAACGAAGTAACATCTCCGTTTGATCTCGCGGTGCGGATGATACAGGCGGCTGTGACGTGATAAAATAACACGGCGTGACAAATATTATGACAGGAGCAGGATGACGAACGGTCTCACGGAGTGCGATCCGATCGGCGAGAGCATAATCCGGTAAAGTCGTCATCGCACGAAAAATCGACGACAGGGAGGAAAAAGAGCAGCCAAGAGGGAGGAAGACGCGGGATGAAACCCGCGGCGGCGGGCGAGAGGGGAAGGAGGACACGTGAGGCTCGAATTCGGCAGAAGGAAGAAACGCCACAGGGGGCGGTCGCGATGTTTGACAGCCAGAAGAGAACCGGTGACTAATTAGTGTAAAAACTAACCCCCGACCCGCAACCCGACACTCACGTCCTTCCCTTCGCGCGATCGCGCACTCACGCGCATATGCTTCACGATGGCATGTGTGTCACTGGGCCCGAGGACGTGCGTGCACACACATCACACACGCACAAACGCATATATATCTTACGCGCGACAATGAGAAGAAAAACGCGTGTGGCCCCGAAAATCGGGAAGACGAAGCGTTCTACGAAGCGTGCTTTTTCACCGGGCAAAATTTTCTTCGACTCGGGCTCTTCCGAGGCTGGTTATCGGGGTTAGCCAGTCCCTTCTCGTCTTCGCAGTGATTTCTCGCGGTCGACACATTGTGTATTGTATTCCACACTCAAGCACACACGCACACACACACACACACACACACACACACACAGCGCAGGAGAACCCAAAGCGTAAACCACATTTGTTGCCATCTAGAAACTCCACGAAATGTCTCGGGGAAATATTTCCCCGAGAGATTAGGACGAATCGATCGCAACCTTCTTTTACGTTCGATTCTAAACACCATTGTCGCGCAGTTGAGTTGCATTCGAGCGATGTTTGTCTGCGAAATTGCGTGGAGGACGAAAGAAGAAAGTCTTGACTCTCGAAACGTGCATGTACTTCATATTCACTTATCGCTCTCTTCGCGTGCGTGAGATTAATTCAACGATCAAAGTATCGTTATCTTAAAACTAACGTCCTACTTTCTTATTGTCGCGCTACGTATACGCCTCTCGAGCGCACAAACACTTTGGGATGTCCTTCTGCTTCGAGATACTCGAGAGTTTTCCCCAGACTTTCGAGGATGCCTCGCGATAGCGAGCGCCTCAATTAAGAACGAGCATCAGCAGGCATTCCCGACCCGCCCACGGATTTTTTACACGGCCCGGTGCCACATTTTTCGGTGCGCAATTAAAGGAACAAACTGCTGTGTGTAAGAAGAGAAAAAGGACGACCTCTCGCCACGGGTCAGAGGTCCTCTCGCGAGAGAGAGAGAGGAGCGATACATTCTTCCGAGGAGAAACGCGAGCGTCGGAAGACTCCTCCTCCTCCTCCGTCTCGAAAGACGGTTCTGTCGCAAAATAAATCTCATCTCTCTCTCTCTCTCTCTCTCTCTCTCTCTCTCTCTCTCTCTCTCTCGCGACTACATAAAGTTCGACGTGCGATATTTCGTCGGGAGAGCGAGAGTTCGTCGGAAACATCTTCGAGAAATTTATATACGCAACGGACGCGCCACGAGTAATATCATAAACTTCCCATTTGCGCCTCCGCATGTACTTTGCCGATCGAGCCGACTGATTTTCGTTCAAGACGGGAAATATTTGCCTCGGATAGATGTATTAAATGAGTTTTACTAAACGTATACTACTAAGAACGAGCATTAGCGTACATCCCCGGCCCGCCCACGAATCTCTTACATCGGGGGGGGGTGGGGGGGAGGGGTCCGATGTACCGTGATATCCTGAAGATTTCCTTCGTCTATCAGACTGTCAGACGGAAATCTCGTTCAACGGCCGATTAATTCGTCGCCAAGCACGATCGCGCGAGTGTCGTTGCTTCATCGATTCGAGGAAGTGTCGCATCGGGTCCGAGTTTTCAAAGAGGCGCAGGAGCGCGACAAGAGACAGCCAGACGATAATCAGTCGCAGAAATATGAAGCGTGACATGATACTCGCGCGGCCTGGTCACCTGGCCTTCTTCTAAATTGCGACTGACACGGCGTCGGCATGTCGCCGTTTCGTTCACTGGCATGCCGATACATCGCAACACTGAACCCATTTCGCGATCGCGTTTGCGCTCGCGGGCTTGATGGATTTGGCACGGGCGCGACCGCGAGGGATTATTTTCGGCGTCGCGGCGACCCGCAGGTGCGTCGCGCGCGCGCGCCATCGAGAGAATCGAAGTGCGCCGCGCGCGACGAACGTGCAAGCGTTTCGCGCCCACTTGACAATTAATCGAGTTAATTAGTCGACTGACAGTAACCACCACGTGTACGATATCGTTGCTCACTCAACTCAACTCGATGTGAGCGCAATACGACGCATGTTGCGACATAACGTTTTACATTGTTGCGTGAGAGCTTGCAAGAGTCGATGCAACGTTGCTGTTAGTTGGAATGTTTATTGGAAATGTATCCGACATGAAAGTCACTTTATCGTTTCTTCGTTTGAACTTTGTTATCGGATTTACTCGGAAATCTCGTGCGTCGCGATCTATATCGCGACATACAATTTTCACTCTCTCGAGCTTCCGTATCGCGTTGCCCAAGTTAGGGTTTCGTTGTTACCGTCGTTTTGACAAACGATAAGCCAGCTCTGCGGCAGATTTCGCAATCGATCTCGATTCGAGATCAACGTCACACGCCGCTCGCCGCATTTGCCAATGTGCTGACCGCTGCTAATTCTTTCGGAGTTAAACCGGCGCGTGTTACAAAAAGTGTGCGGCTTCTTTCCCAGGCCTCTGCGATGTATAGTTTACGCTATGTCCGTTTACTTTACACACGATACTCTCGCTCTCTCGCCACTCTCGTGGCGATAGGAGGGCGAGATTAATATACGCCGTAGACAGGATATCTCGCCCCGCCGTGAAACTCTATTGCAATCTACTCCCACGCGAGAATAATTTCCTCGTTTCCGAAAAGCTCGAAGGAAGGAAGCGCCATTACGAAAGAATGCAACAAAACTGTCGCGGTAAAGAAAAAACGCGTGGTAAGGTACATCATTGCAAGTTGAGAGAAATGGACAAGTTGTGAGAAAAGCACTTCGAACGCAGACTTGTGATTGTACGTGCGTGTACAGCTCTGAAATCACCGCAACGCATCGACGCGTCTAATAATATAGCGAATAAAAATATGAAAGAATACGAGATTCTTTTATATTCTTTAAAAATAGATAGCGAGAGAACAAGTTTGCTCTCGACAGAGCTCGCGCGGATCGGAGAGCGTTGAAGTTCCCTAGAAATCTCTCATGCCTCCTCGCGCCTGCAATAATCTACATTGTTGAGAAACTCGCGCGCACGAGCGCGAGTTAATTGCTTGGAGACGACAAAGAGAGTACGACGTGCCGCGTGCTCCTCGGTAGGGAAGAAAAGTGGCGAGATGCGCGACGGTTAATGTACGACCGACGTCTTTAAACCCGGGCTTGAGACCCGGTGGAAACGTCCGCGTAGGGCGACGCGACTGCTCTGTGCTCTTCGTAATTTCTCGCGGGCGAGCGAGCGAGCGACAGAGCTCGTATCTCAGGTCAATTAAAGCGAACTCGTCCGTAAACGACAAACACGTGGAAGCCGCTGTGCATCTCTCATTCTACTTTACTGCGTAGGTGTGCTTTATGAAACGAGCGAAGCGACGGCCGCGTTGTGAAAAACGAAAGGGACATCAGCAGTAAAGTCATCGAGCGGACGATTCCAATGCGAAGTTACGTGCTTCTATGCGACGTGTCTTACTGTAGCGATTAACTCGACAGGGATGCGAGATCGACTCACGTGTCCGTTATCGTCCAGCTGATTGTTCGTCAGCTTCAGTTTGTCGAAGGAGATCGGCTGTTTCATCCAATGCGCGCCGTTCGCAGGACTATCGGGATGCACGTGGATCCTAGGGGGTGACACCGGATCAGCGCGGCCCGCCACGACCCAGGCGCTGTTATGGAAGGCGTATCGGTATCTCTTGTCGTCGCACGGGACGAAGTCCATCACCATCAGATATTCCGTGTTGGGGTCCAAGCCGAACAATCGACACTGCCGAGTGACGCAAAGCGAGCAGTTAAAAGGAATCGTAAGGCCAGGACGATCGTAAAATCCCTCCTTTGGAAAATGCACAAAGCGACTCGTAGCCACGCGTCATGGTTCACTTTCTTATTATAAAATAAATCCGACATACAACCAGAAACCATGAAACATCTGTGAAATACTTGAAATTCTCTAGCGTCTTTCTTGCTCTTCCTCGAGGCTCCTGCGTAGCCCCGACATGACTTCCACATTGAATCCGTGTCTCATCGATGCCGTCTTGCTTTCCTGGACGAGTTTGAACGAACGATCCTCACCTGGAACGTGGGGAACATTCTCCGTCCGGCTTTCGTGACGATCATCTCGGTGCCCAACTGATGGAATTCCTCCCAGAGCGGCTTCGCCTCCAAGGCGGCGCCGGCGCCGACTAGCGCCGGATGAAGCGGTCGTTTAGCGTTCAATTCCTCCACGGAAGACGCACCGTCGTTGCTGGGATGATGATCACCGTGATGACGATTGTTGTTGTTGCTGTCGTTCCGCGGCTCCACCGTGGACGCCGACGAGGAGGTCGGATTCGCCAGCGGCTGGACCGGCACGGCGGTTTTCGTCGGGATCGTGGGACTGAGCGACCGCTTCACTCTTCCGGCGCTCTGCAAGCAAGCTGAGGGAATGACGATTCAGCGCGGAAGTACTTGGATCGAACGTGCGAAGCATGTTAGATCGCTTTAGATGGAACAATAGAAACAGCCAACGTCGATCACTCGCGATCGATGCGATCATTTCGCACCGACTTCTGTCGTTTATGCGGCCGCGCATCCGTAGAATGTAGAAATTGCCGACGAGACCGACGCGAAGCTTCTCGCGGAGCGAGCAGTCGACCGAGACCGCGTCTTCTTTGTCCCCGCGAGAGGAACTGGCAAACTCTGTGCGCGGAATGCAATGAAAAAGCTCGGAAAGCACGATGCGCGAGCTGAAAGGGCAAAAAGAAGCAGCCGCGAGAAACGCGCCGGCTTTAATGCGCCCGCCGCTTCGACACGACGGATAAAATCTAAACGACGCCCGCCGAAGCGTCAGCTCCTCGCAAATCACTCGCCTCGCGCGCCTCGTCGCAAAGAACACGATCTCCGGCAACTTTTACATTCTTACTCTATTCTCCCATCTAGATTGGCGTAGGTGTAAAGATGTGGGAATCGCCTGCGGATTTACGCAGGACACACCCAGAATGAGCGGTTCACCTTCCATCTGTTGCATCGGTGACGGTATAGCGGACAGCTGCTGATGCTGGTGATGGTGCTGATGATGATGGTGGTGATGATGCGCCGGCCATTGCTGATAACAGCAATCGGCGGCGAGCTCACGTCGTTGCTCGTGTTGCGGTTGCATCCTCGTCGAGCCGAAAGCGCTATCGGTATCAATAATCACCGTACATCGCGGCGGAAAACATGCGTTATCCATGCGAGCTTGCGTGAGCAATCCATGCCGTGAAGTTTACTTCAACTCGGTACGCACTGTGAATCGCGCGATCCGTCGACACATTTCCCGTGTAAATTAAACGAAGAGGAGAAACACCATTTGCACTCGTGGATCATTTTCATCGTCGTGGTATCGCCTCGTCCGTCGATCGAACCCTCAAACTCGAGGACACAAATGTGACACCTCGTCAACTGCGAAAAAACAAACTTGATCGAAAATCATCATCATCGCCTGGACATTTATGTACACACATGCGTATGTATCACTCTTTGTCGGTAGTTATTTAGTCATTTTCACTATTAATTGTATCTATTTAGTTTAGAGACCGTTTCAAGGGAACAGGTGTGCTTTCATCGAGGAACCCTCCAGTCCCTCTAGCTTCTTTTTCCTATTTGTTTCTCTCTCTCTCTCTCTCTCCCTCTCTCTCTCTCTCTCTCTCTCTATCTATCTATCTATCTATCCATCTATCCATCTATCCATCTATCTCTCTCGTTATTAATGTCGCTGATGGTGTAATGTAAAACGACCGATTTTGTTCAACATCTCACGTGGCTCCTCATTGAGAGAAAGAATGCTCCAGCTTTCGTCCGTCACGTTTCTTATCGCGCCGCGCGGCCGCTCATCGTAGTTTTTAGCACCCGCGCGACGATCCTGACCGACGAGTGTCCGACGAGTCTCGACATCATCGTCGCAAGGCGAGCAACCGCTCTACCGTCAACAGGACTTGTCCTCACCTCCGCGGTCCCGATGCTGACAAGGACGCTCAAAGCCGCGCGCCTCGAATCCCGGATGAATCAGAAAGAACTCGCCCGAGTGACTACCCCGCTGGCTTATCATCAAGACATCATTCTCTGTCTTTCTCCCTTTCTCTCTCTCAATAGCAGAGAGCGTACCCTCTCTCCCGCGTTTCTCTCTCTCTCTCTCTCTCTCTCTTTCTCTGGGCTCCTCTCTCGTGGAGGACAGTCTCGCGGAAGAAGGACGGAACGAGGGGCGACGTAGAGAGAGATGCGGAAGAAAGGAGGGCTTCTCCGAAGATCCTCCTACACGAGCACCCACGCTGGTCAGGGGTGGACCGCCGTGGGATGCTGCCCATGAATCCTCTTCTCTCTGCTTCGCACACCAGAAGGCGGAGTCTCGGTGAGCCAGAAATTAGTAGGTGCAATGGACTCAGGAACGGGTCTTTACGTTGTGGCGCCTGGGAACACCTGCTTCAGTCCTGACGAGAGGTGATATGGCTATGAGAGGTGGATATGTTGAAATGAACTTTCTGAAAGTTTTCCGAGCAGCTAAATCGCACGAGAGAGTCTGTACTGTCTCGATTATTATTTTAAAGCATATCCTCGAGAGAGATCTTGGCTTTGAGAAACCTCGAGAGTCTCCAAGGTATCTTGGGGTTTGCCTGTGAAAAAAAGGTATCACATAGAATCGCGGAATCCAGAGATGAAGGACGAAAGTTCCAAGTGCTCCCCGATTCAATATCACAGACTTTTTTCTCATATACTTATTTAATAATACTTGTACTACATACAGTATATATAGTGCCGAATGGAGCATGATTACACCATAACGTCCTTTTGACTCCATATCACGTTTTATCGCGTTATTCACAAAATTCTGCATTATTAATTCTAACAGTATTAATATATGTATAATATCCGAAAATAACGTGTGATGTTATGTTAGCATGCTTGAAATCACTTTTACGTTCTCTCTCTCTCTCTCTCTCTCTCTCTCTCTATCATGAAACTTCTTCTCGGACTAACAAATCCTTGATGACGTAAAACGCAAGAAACGCGTTCGACTTTTTCCTCGTCTCTCGCGACAGTGCTGTGAGAAATCTCAATTTTGGCATTTTCAGCATCACAAGTTACAGCCGCAACAACACTGGAACAACAAATAAACGAATTACGACGAACTAATTAGAATTTTACATAAAAAGTCGCACTTCTCATTTTCGAGATCAGAGACTAGTGTAAATATCCCTCAATGTCTCATACATCAATGACTATAATTAGATTTGTCCGTTTGAATTGTTTTTCTTGTGCTTCTCTCGCCTCTTTCTCTTTTGCTCGCCCCTTGCCTAAATATGTGCTCCTTTCACGTTGGATGAAAAAGATGTAATTACAAATTATATTGGCACTTCTCATGAGGATCACGGGCGGTGATCGAAGTGCTAACAAGATAACAATTGGTGTTATCGATTTAGCCCTGTATACATATACGTCTTCCTGATTGACGTAGATACAACTATCGTGTTTTTCTAAATACAATAGAGTTAATAGCAAAGTTCGTAACACTATGTGTTATATGCAGAGTTTTCTAACGAATGAATACTTATATGAAGACGCAGAAGATATGAACGTTATGGACGTATTCGTTACATTGAATAGTACCTGTAGTATACAGAATACACTTACATATATATGAGATAATTGTAATGGACAAAACAGCTCTAAGAGCTTTTCGCGCTGACAGATAGATATCAGATAGAGTTCCTGTCTCCAGGGTCACACGTTCGAGGATCACTCGCTGGGATGCTGGATATATATCCAAGTGTACATACATCTATTGAAGAGAGATGACAGGTGTTTTCGTGTGAATTTTATTTATAAAAAAGAAATTTTTTTAATGTACAAGTATGAAGAGGAAACTAAGCGTGATTGGTCTGAATCCGATAAGATACTCACGTTGTGGTTTTCGCATAGATAAGTGCCTCTTTTGTTCTCATATCATCGATAATAGACATGTGCTTTGTATGATGTGCACCGCGAGATTGTAGAAATGTGTTGACCATGAAGGGAGATTAGGAAAAACTAATGAAAAGTGTGATCGTGGTAAATGATAGATGTGAATCATAATGAGGATGAGAATGGTGGTGGTGGTGGTGGTGGTGGTGGTGGTGGTGGTGGTGGTGGTGGTGGTGGTGATGATGATGATGATGATGATAATGATGATTCGTGTCCATAATAGGAGACCGTCTCGATAACGAGAATAAACCCATGTTGCAAAAGGAAAACATTTCCCCTTTCCTTATTATCTCTCGGAATTAGACGCCTATATTACGGTGACATCGATCGCTGTGCGATACGCTCGCGCGTATCTGTCTGTGTGTCCGTTAGTCGCACGATTAATACCCTCCTACATCTACAGATTATATAATGTTATCAAGATGTTTTTTTCAGAGAAGCCTTGCCCACCGTAATAATCGTAAATCGTGAAAGCTGTTTATCTCGAGAGGCACAAATAATAGTACGGTACATAAGCGGTAATTATAACTTGTCAAATCTTCTGACATTTGCTTTTAAAATTAAATCCTATCTTTCGCTCTCTCGATCCCTCCTTCTCGTTCTTTCACCTCTTACATTTCACGATGCATACAAATGTATCTTTATAAAAGTACGTATAACGTAATAGATGTCGTTTACAAATTTGTGCAACTTATAGAGAAGTATCAAGCACTATAAATATCTATCATACTTTAAAGAATTGTGTATAGGCGATCGCTAGTTACTTGTGTATCGATATCTTCGTTAACGACGTACTTACATAATGAAAAGAAGCGAAATCGGTATACGTGTGTATATAAATGTGCGCGTGTACGTGATTCATATGTGTGTGTTTGTATGTGAGAGACATTGCCCTAATTATCGTGTTAATTTTCGCCACAGTGCGAAGTAGTCGAAAGAGATCTTGGCAAATGATACTAACAACACCAATGAACGAATCCAAATGACAAATGAATTAAAAGACACATGATTATATGATTTACGAATGTGAATGGCGAATTAAACATGGCTGTCAGTTTTTTCCCTTACTTTTTGCTATTGCTGTTAAGAATGTCGTGGCAGCCAAATCAGTTTTCACCTTATTGTCGATAAAACGACTTTATCACTACCGTAGTTTTTTATATAGTAACACATTTAGCTACAGACATACGCTTACTACTTTCGATAACGATCTCTATGGAAAGCAACGCCCCTTCAGATTTTTCCGATTCATGTATTCACGATACCCCGTGACTTATCTCTGCAAGGCTTCGTAGTCAATTGAAAATAGTAGTAATAATAATATTGATAATAATAATCATTACAACTTTTTTTTCTCGCTGTCTCTCTCTCTCTCTCTCCCTCTCTCTCTCTCTTTCTTTCTCTTACAAGAACTTAACGTCATAACAGATGGTGAATCGGGGGTAGCGGTCGTAAGATTCTAAATATCGCATTCGAAAAAGTAAGTCTAAGAGTTTTACTTCTTCTTGTTCTTATTATTTGCGCCCCGTGGTGGCGTTACGGGCCGTCCCGCATTCAAACCGCCATATGAAAATTTCCTCTTGTCGGCTGGTTTCAAGATTTGGAAACTGCACATGAGTGTCTCATCCACCGACATCATGGCACCAGCATTGTCGAATTCACCACAGTAGTTTGGAGCGGAAAACAGTGTCACCAACTGTCGTTTGGCAAAGAATTCATAGCCATCTTCTACTACCTAAACAACCACAATATGCAATGTAATATTCTAACAAGAACTTGAATGAGTGTAACATAAGTGTGATATATATGTAATGTACAGGATAAGTATGTGTATAAAACTACCTGGTGAGCACGGCATATAAGGTCAAAATCATGTTTATGTAAAAACTTGGCCACAACTTCTGCACCAAACGTAAATGATACACCACGGTCATTTTCACCCCAGCCCATAGTATCCTTATCGGGATCTGACCACAATAAATCACAAAGTAATCCCTGATCAGGTACATCCGTCGGTCGCATAATACGCCTGATCTGCTCCATACTCTGCAGATCCGGACTCAAACCTCCGTGGCAGCAGAATATTTTTTCGTCCACTATCGCAGCGACAGGCAGGCAATTAAAGCAATCGGTAAACGTTTTCCATAGTTTAATGTTGTAACGACGTTTACCTAAAATATTTTATTCATAAAAATAAGCATATAACAAATGAAAAAATAGGTCAACGAGAATATCATAAAAAGTATCATTTCCCTACAGTGATACTTACATTCATCATAAAAACCATATATCCTATTAATGGATGCGCATTCATGATTTCCTCTTAATAAGAAAAAGTTTTCAGGATATTTGATTTTATAGGCAAGAAGGAGACAAATAGTTTCTAACGATTGTTTTCCTCTGTCAACATAATCTCCTAGGAAGAGATAGTTGCTCTCAGGTGGAAAACCACCATATTCAAATAATCGCAACAAGTCATAGTACTGACCATGGATGTCACCTAAACACACGTGTCATTTAAATTATTATTAACTATAACATTTATATTCTGAATATTTTTCTAATATAATGCATTCATTTACTTACCACATATTTTTAATGGTGCTTCGAGTTCCAACAGGATAGGCTGTGATAGAAAAATTTCACGTGACTTGAGACACAGTCCTCTGATTTCTACTTCTGTCAATTGAACATTTTTGCCTGGCCTAGCTCCTCGTACTAAAAGAAAAAAAAAAAAAACATGAAAAAACATTTTTATGACAGTGATACCAGTACAAGTGTTAACTTTGTATAAAAAAAAATCCCAACTTTTCTATTATATTTCTTTCCTATACTTTTTTTTTAATGACTATGAACTTGGATAAAAAAGAAACAGAAAAAAGAATAAAGTATTATATATTGGTAGTAATGACACATATTGCCATAATAATACAAGTTGCATCATCAACAAATATTTTTGCATCATCCTAAATATGTCTCATTCTTAATATTCTTAATATTACATAATATTCTTAAAGTTTCAAAAATATTTGTACATGAATAAAACCATCTTTTAAAAAATATAGTGTTTGTTAGTTTTAAAAAATATATAGTGAATAATTATAAGTCACTTTGCTCATATTTTATTCATTTTGCTGTAAAACAAAACTGTACAACTAAATATATAATTCATCGACAGAATTGTCTTACTAATTCAATAGCTCTGCAAAGAGCGGAAAAAATTCATTGGCAGTGTTCTTGTACTTATCAAAGAATCACCAGTGTTTGAATGAATCAGCCCCTGAATGTCTAATATAGCCTGGTAACTCATAAATATAATAAACAAACCAGACTAAAACTGTTCTATGATGTATCACAGCAGCAGAAAGATGAATTATATCGCGAGAATGACGAAACAGACAGCCCTAGGCCGAAAATCTCGGTCAGATATATATGCAGGTTGTCAACCTCGTGTCGCGTAAACAAACTAATGCACGCAACGTTCGCCGCTCGTAGGTTGGGGAAAGTTCATGCAAACTAGGTGCGTTTATCGATTTTGTTGGCATTGCGTAATGACAGAGACGAGACAGGAGTATCAGGGCGTTGTTTTGTCGTGCCCTTGAGAAAGCAGGAACCAGGTCGGTTGGTCGGTCAGACGTCAACGTCGTCATCACTCTTGCCGTCGTCGTGGCACAAGTGAGCGAGCGAAATGAGGAGGACTGTGTGAGAAACGATAGGAAAAAAATGCACGCACAAGAGACGTTCGCGGGAACGGGCGATCAAGCTCCGACGTTCGCCGCGTTGCGTCGCCATCCCCCCCTTTTTATTTCTGCAGCGCAAGACAGCCACACGGCGATCGACCAGTTTTACCTTCCAAGAGCCGAGCTATGATATTGTCGATGTTTAACTTGTCGGTCTCAGCCATTGGGCCGAAGTCTCAGTATGTATCCCGAGCTTCACACGGAGCACCTTATTACGGGGATGACCGTTAATCCTACTGGATTTCTCTATTGTGTGTTGTACGACACACGAGATCGCGCGCTCACGTTCAGTCTCACACAAGATACCCGCAATGGCCGCCCGGACAACCGCGCACTCCACTCCCTTTTGCCTCTTTTCCTCTTCTTCACCGCCTGCCCGTTCGGTATTAGTCGCGCGGCGCGCGAGGGACGCTGGTTACGTTTATCGATCTCTCGAGCGTGCCTGTAGTCGCGTTACTAGGCCGCCGGCGACATGGAACGGACATCTTGTCGGCATTGCCAAACGTCGCACTGAAATTCTATAATATACGTGACACAGACTATATATTTTCAGTACTAGCAGTGAATTTCGGAACGCAGCTTAAAGCCCGGTCCAGAATAGGTTGCAAAGAGAAGCACCCAATTCGACACAGTACGCGTTGCGCACAACCAACCGATGTAAAGTATTATCTGGTGAATTACTAGGTCCAACCAATCATTTACTTTGTGCCCAATCGTGCTGTGCCGAATAGATACGCACCCGTTACGATTGCCGATTGCCGTCGTCAAGAAGTTAAAAGTTGGGCAACTCTCTTTTAGCAACCGCAACTGTCTTACGACCGAAAATAAAGCCAGCGGCACACGGTGCTTGTTTTCGTGCTGGATTGCTTGCTGGATGAAAATACTGCGTTCTGATTGGTGCATTTCCGAAGATGGATGGAAATGCATCAATCAGAACGCAGTATTTTCATCCAGCAAGCAATCCAGCACGAAAACAAGCACCGTGTGCCGTTGGCTTTACTAGTAGTTGCGATTCTTCGAAACTCGCAACTGGGTGTTTGCAACCTATTCTGGACCGGCCTTAAATGTTCCTTCATGTAGCGACTCTAGTTTAAACTCACAATTAAAAACGGCTGATATTGCAAAAAATAATTTGCTCATAAGAAACGGACTAAAAGATGTATTTCTTATAAGCGATAAAATTTTGAAATTATTGATAATAATTGATTGCTCTGAACTCTCTTGCTAGTAAAGCTAATAAAGCTTTGCTAGTAAAGTTTGCTCACTTATCGAAGGTAAATGCCTTTTCAAAAAGTATACAAAGTCGACGATCACGGTTTGTTGTGTTTATTTCGTGTTGAATCCTGTAATAATTTATCAACAAACGTGCTGTAACGTTTCCAGTAACATCGAACAAACAACTATCATCTAGGGAATAATCAAGGTAAAAAAAAACATCATACGATAATCGATTTTGTAAGATAAAGGTAATCGAATGTCAAAATAATCGATATCGCCCATTCCTATAGTCTGTTCTTTTTATCTACGCTGCTGAAGAAATATAGTTATCTCATTCTAAAGCCAGCGGCACACGGTGCTTGTTTTCGTGCTGGATTGCTTGCTGGATGAAAATACTGCGTTCTGATTGGTATATTTTCGAAGATGTATGGAAATGCACCAATCAGAATGCAATATTTTCATCCAGCAAGCAATCTAGCACGAAAACAAGACCGTGTGCCGCTGGCTTTACTTATCGCGCCAGTTTAGCAGTGCAACTAAAAAGAACAGACCGCTACTCACAATTGCGAGCGCCCGTCAGTTGCGGCCAATTACGACACAATACTCTATAATACAAGTTATAAAACTGACCGTTGAACGTTTTGTGATCATCGGCAACCGTTTCATTTTATATAATATTCCAACCAACGCTGATAGAAGATGCCAGAGAATGTGGTATATATATTTTGTCGAATCTTCTTATTCTGTGCTTAATCTGAATTAGAGAATCATCCGATTAATAACGGATTGAGACAGCATCATTAACAATAGGTTATATACATATATTTTTTTTATGAAACAAAATATGGAGATTGGTGGTCTTCCTTAATACTATAATCTTATTTTAACCTCCATTATAGAATTTCTGTGTCTGGGGAAATATGAATTTTAATTTTCTTTACGTTGAACTTTAACTCTAAATATTCTGCTTTTCAATTTGACGTTAGAATGCTTCAAGGCAATCTCTTTTTGTAAGATGATATTTTCTTTTTCGTTTTATTTTTTTTAAGCTGAATGGTGATCATGTTGAAGTGAAGGGTGCCAACTGTGAACCTCAAGATAATGATGAAGAGAATACTGAAAATGATGTACATTTTGAACCCATAATATCTTTACCCTTGATAGAAGTATCCAACAACGAAGAGGATGAAATAGAGATGCTAAAGTTGTAAGTTATCGTATATACTGTATTTAAAGTAAAAGGATAATGTTCAAAAAAGATTATATATTATATGTATTTTATAATCTAAATAAATATAATATAACGTAATACTTTCAGGAGAGCAAAGTTATATCGTTATGACACATCCAGCAATCCTGCTGAATGGAAAGAACGTGGTACAGGAGAAGTTAAATTATTAAGGCACAAAGTGAAAAATACTGTCAGAGTAGTTATGCGCAGAGATAAAACTCTCAAGATCTGTGCTAATCATTTTGTAACTCCGTGGATGGAGTTGAAGCCAAATTGTGGCAGTGATAGGGCTTGGGTCTGGAGTGTACTTGCTGATTATGCAGATGAACAACTCAAGCCAGAGTTACTTGCGATACGTTTTGCAAATGCTGAGAGTAGGTTTTGAAAGAATACATTAAGTATCTCTTGTGCATCCGAAATATAAATTAGTAAGATAAGATGTAATATTGAAGAATATTTTTATATTATTTTGTGGATTTATCACACAGATGCATTGGTATGGAAGGAAGCATTTGAGAAGGCTAAGAAGATTGTAGGATCTGAATGTGAGATTTATGCTGGCAAAAACAATCCAGAGCAAAAACGTGTGGAGAGTGACAGCGAGTCAAGTAGTGACGTAAGTTACAGCGAAAGTACTGATAATGAGGAGCCAACAAAATCACTTGTTAAACAAACCGATGAAAGTGATGTGACCTCTCAGCAAAAAGAAACTGAAAAGGAGATGACAAAGTCAATAGAAGATAAATGCGCAGTAACAAAGAGTGAGGAAAAACTAATTGAAGAAATTAAGAAATTAGAGATGAAAAATGAAGATGAAAAAAAGTAATGAACCTCAATGTATCCATAGACAATGGAGTTTGTTATCAGACAGCACATTCCGATATTATGTGCGCCATCGTGCATATATTAAATGCCACCAACGCTTCATTATTCAAACATTGAATATACATAGATAGTTTTTTTTAGAGACGAAGTTGTGGACAAGTTGAATAAATTTCCAGGTTATTCGATAAAGGCCGTATTTGTACAAGCGATACATGTTATCTGTGATTCTTTTAAACCGTGGAAAGAAATTATTGTGGTGCGAGATAGTAATTATTGAAATGAATGCATGCAAGAGGGGAAAGTGTGTTAAGAATTGAGGAATGCTGAACGATTAAGTACAACGATAATTACGCGAACAAAGAACCCGTGCTTTATTTTTTATTGTTCTAGATATTGGTCTTTTGAGAACCCAAGCAGATTCGCGGATTATATCACATGTCCATTCATAGTTAATGATTGCATCATGTATACTTTGAAAAATAGCAAACAGCATGCTGAAAAGGTCACGAATGTTTGTGCGTGCGTAAATGTGAGCGTGTGCCGCGATAATTTGTATAAAATTGTCAAATTTTTACCTACTTTGTTTACAGTGTAACATTTTAAACTGCAACCTGTTAATTTTTTCTTTTTTTTTTTGAAAATTTTTTAGGGAACTTTCAATTTTAATTTTTTGATTTTATATAATCTGTATATGCAATAGATTAAACTGTATTATAACTATACTTGATCGATTGATTTGACAGACAGATATCTTTAAATATAGAATCCTATATCTTTAATGCTTATTGCCTAATTGTTTTGCATTTATGTAATTGATATAACAGGATAAAGCGTTTAATACAAAGGAACAATCGCACACAAAAGTGTACGACAAATAATATTGCATTTTGTCCTTTATATGTATATACACATAACGCGACAAAACGTGTAAAGAAATACTGTGGTGTTTAAAATATCAGGCGATAATAATTCTTATTTCTATTATATCGCGCTCATATAAAATTTTATCCAGCATATAAGATAATTCAGGATAACAATTAAACAGTTGATATTTGTACTAGAACTGAATTATCAGGTGGTGCTTGGATAATCGTTGATAATAATCGAGTTTTCAAGATTTCTATAGCTCATCCCTAGCTGAGAAAGATTGCAGAATATTTCGTCTCTCTTCCATTGTACGTTTCTTTTGATCAGACAGTTTTCCTCTGTAAAGAAGTCCCTGCACTCGTGTCTCTTCAGTTTGCACGAATATATCTCCCCGCTCCAAAATCTTCTCCATGGTTTTCACATAAACTTTCGCAGCTTCCCGTTGTTCTTCTGGTAAAGTCTCCTCGAAGATTCTCGCTTTTTTCAATATTTCCTATGTATAAAGAGGGAAGATAATAAATATATTTTAACAAATGGTTTTTTTGCAAATTTTTGCAAAAGGATTTCTTTAATTCCCAGTAATAAAAGCTTCAGAATTTACTTTATTGAACTTGGTACTCGCTATCCTAGTGTGGATTATATTACCTGTCTTTGCTGTTCTCCCGCAACTTTGAATTCTTCCGCTAGTCTATCCAGCCGTTCTACACATCCTGGCAGGCCTAAGTATACTCTTGACTTGGATCTGATAAACCGTTTCAGATATTCGCCAGTAAAGTCATAATCTCTTTCAGGAACAAACTTGATCGGCTCTGATTTACCCTGCACGAACAATAATACTACTGGGAAATCCTCCTTCTTGATGTTATAGCGCTGTGCCAAGTCAGAGTTGTCTTTATTGCCAAAGTCCTTTACACCTACTGTAGCTACTAAAAGATCATGTGAGTCTTTTGTATCTGCTGCTACAGTAGCATACTGCTCGTGTTTGCCACCATACGGAAATGCAACATCAAATTTAATAAGCACTGCTCTGAACTTGGGAATCATCTGTGAAATGACATTTTTGATGGTTATTATGATTTAAATATTTTGTCTTAGAAATATTTTTTTACGATTCTATACTTTCTTTGAATACTTTTTCTTCATTAGTATCAACCTTTAATAGCATCTGAGTAAAATATTTAAGGAAGTCATTTTATTTATTAAAATTTATTTATTAAAAAGTTAAACGCATATTACTTAATATTTCTCTAATTTGTTTGCATTCAATTAAATCTGCACGCTGTAATGAACGAACGATTATGTTCGTTCCGATGTAATGAAATTACGATTAAGAAATCAAGGCGCGATGGGAACAGATACCTATTATTCGCTAACGTGGCCGATGATTTTGGTAGTTATGGCAACGACAGTTGATTGCATTAAAAACAAAATTCACAAAATGAATTGTGCAAAAAATGAATTTTATTTATTGATATCGATTATAAAATGCTGATACCGGAAGAATATTTGTTAATCGTTAATCTCTAAAGTGTAGAAAAAATACATAAAATTATGCGATACAAGAAGCATTAAATTATACATATCAAAAGTCCTATGAACAACACTTTGACCGTACTTGTTTATATTTACATACATCTAGAGTAAATCTCTATCTGTCTCTCTCTCTCTCTCTCTCTCTCTCTCTCTGTCTCTCTCTCTCTCCCTCTCTCTTTCAGCATCAAATTGACTAGACCGTTAATTTTATATAGATTTTATTACATTGTTACATTAAAGAATCTCGCAAGTTTTATTTATTATATACGGCTCCGAGAATCCAGAATTTTTCACGAACTCTCGTTACCTTGTCAAACGAATAGGAATCCAAGGGAACACATCCCTTGCAGTCTTCGCCGGTGGAAACATGCGAGCCGGCGACAATGAGAACGAGCGCAAGACTCAGTCGCATCATGATCTATCAGAATTTTGGCAATCGAACAGTTTGATAACAATCACTTACACTTGTCACACAAAATCAATATCTTTTTGTCAATATCTTTTCCCTGCGAGATCGTACAAACAAGTGTGAGACTGTCTCTTTCACGAAACCTGTGAAAGTGTGAACGACACTCACGGAATGCGCGCGCGTAACATGCGAATCAACGTGGCAAGGAATTCAGTCGACAAATGAATCCTCGGTCTCGTTAACGCTTGCTAAGCCAAATGTGAATGTAACTAATAAGTGCATTAACCTCCTGCGTCAACGGTGTCGTGTATATCTGTTAAATGGTAACAAGTTATTTAGTCAAAATTCGAACCCTGAGAATACTAAGATAAGATTCAAACCCTACGATATTCGAGTGTTTTATGACATCAATAGATGGTGCCAGGCAGGATACATGTCATAACCTAAAACTAAATACAACATTCTATAGTTTAACCACAAAAGATATAAATCAGTGCTATAAAAAATGAATTTAGAACTATTAGGTAATTATGTTTTCAATACATTAGAAATATATTCTCTAGTTTTAGCATAAGTTGCATATAAATTATATGTAAGTTTTCTAAATATAAAGCAACAAATCTTCACTTTTGTTTTAATTAATCATATTTTCCAAATTATCTTTTAATGTACACACGTTTTATAATATATATTTCTATAATTTTGACACTTGTGTTTTAACAGAATCATTTGGACAGAATTATCCAGAGGTATGTGTTTGATGTTGTGTTTAATGTTAATCCGTCTCACAATGAAATAATGAGATCGTATTATTTTTAATTGTTACCTCATTTTTATTAGGAATTTGATGGTACATTGGATTGTATATCTCTTGCTGTCACTTGTACATTTAATAAAAGAGGAACACTATTGGCTGTTGGTTGCAACGATGGAAGACTTGTGATTTGGGATTTTTTGACTCGTGGTATAGCTAAGATTATTAGTGCTCATGTACATCCTGTGTGCTCATTAAGGTAAGATATGCGAGTTTATTAAAAAATGCATCTACTTTGTAATAAAATTGAATAGCTTGTAGAAGAAAAACAAATATAATGTTAAGACATATTAGATCTATTGCATTTTTCAGTTGGTCGAGAAATGGTCATAAATTATTAAGTGCTTCTACAGACAATAATGTATGTATTTGGGATGTCTTGTCTGGAGAATGTGATCAAAAATATAGATTTCCTTCTCCAATATTAAAAGTACAATTTCACCCAAGAAATCTCAACAAGTTTTTGGTATGTCCAATGCGTCATGCTGCTGTTATGGTTGATGTTGAAGGTACACATAGAGTTATACCACTTGATGAAGATGTATGTATATTATACATGATATATATTGTATTTTATACTTAAAAAGATAGATATTGTGAAGTATTGTGTGTATATTCCACAAGTTACATACACACACACATGTATATATGTATGTATATGTATAAGTAAAAGTAAGATGCAGAAATATATCTTAAATGTTAATAATTTTTAGGACGATGGAAACGATATTTCTAAAAATAATATTCTAATTTTAGAGTGACTTAAACATAGTAGCATCATTTGACCGACGTGGAGATTATGTATATACAGGGAATGCTCGTGGTAGAGTTTTAGTTCTTGATGCTGAGACATTAACTGTAAAAGCCTCTTACAAAATTTCACAAGGTACCGCCAGTAACACAGCGGTAAAAAGTATAGAATTTGCACGACGAGGCTCCTGTTTCTTGGTTAATACATCTGACAGAGTAATTCGTGTATATGATAGTACTGAAATATTAGCATGTGGCAAAGATGGTGAACCTGAACCAATTCAGAAACTGCAAGATCTTGTAAATAAAACAATGTGGAAAAAATGTTGCTTTTCCGGTGATGGAGAATATGTTTGTGCTGGATCAGCGAGGCAGCATGCATTGTATGTGTGGGAGAAGAGTATCGGAAACTTGGTGAAAATCCTTCATGGGACCAAAGGTGAACTTTTACTTGATGTTGTGGTAAGAAAATTTCATTTTGCTTTATTGTAGTGTTGTTTTTGAAGTTTTCCAATAAAAATGTATAAAACAAAGTTATTTATAACACAATTTCTCCCATTTTCTTATATAGTGGCATCCGGTAAGACCAATAATTGCATCCATATCATCAGGGGTAGTTTCTATTTGGGCGCAAAATCAAGTAGAAAATTGGTCCGCATTCGCACCAGATTTCAAAGAACTGGATGAAAATGTGGAGTATGAGGAAAGAGAGAGCGAATTTGATTTGAGTGATGAAGATAAGTCTGTTGTACAAGGAGAGGAGGCTCAGGATGAAGAAATAGAGGTTGATGTCGCATCAATTGATAGAGTTGCCGCGTTTTGCAGCTCGGACGAAGAAACCGAGGATATCGGTTCTCTTCAATTTCTGCCTATATCTCCGGATGTGGAAGATTCTGAAGATAATCAAGTGACACCGCATGAGCCACCGCTGAAGAAACATCGTTCACATGATATAAATTTACAGGGTGCACCAACCGATGGTAAAATCTGAATGTCATAATATAATTTTAACAGATTGTTTATTTAGGAATAAGATATGATACATATATATATATATATATATAATTTATGTTACAGAAACTCATCCCTTATTAAATAAAGGAAAAGATAAGCCAACAACAAAGAAAGGAAGACCAAGATTGGAACATAGAAAAGGAAAATGATTTAGTATATAATTCATAAGATAATAATGACATATTTATTATTTATAAAATGACGAAAAGTTACAAGACTGTAATTTTATATGATTATATAATTGTATAAATGTAAAATCGATTGACATTAAGAATTAATTATATGAGATAGTATCTTCCATCAGATATACAATACAAAACTTTAAATATTTTTATTTAAGGAAAAGTATTACACCATTGCATTGAAGGCAATGGCCACTATCGTCAGATACACACGAACAATTTATCTGTTTTTCTTTTTTTCAATAAAAAGTTTTAAAAGACATTACTGTATTAGTAAAAGTGACATAATTACTTCACATTACATAATTATTTTACTTTCGTCATCAACGAGTTCTTTTCGAAGACGCGTGCATTTGTTTCCGCGTGCGCTGTCGCTCGATATAAACAATCTCCCTTCCACTCCACTATTCACGTCGACGAAATAACTGGTAAGGAACTTTAGGTAGTGCATCTTGAACTGCCCGACAGGAAAGGTAACTCTGAAGTGTAATGTTAATTTAGCAATGGATCGTGTGGGTGTTTTACTAATATTAATTATTAGGATTTTAATATTCTCGCAAAAGAAAGGTACGGACATTATGGTATTTATTAACATTTTGCAACACGAAAATCATAAATTCCACAAAAAACTCGTTCACCCTTGAAAAAAAGAATGGGGAACGTGTAAACCCAAAAATATGTTCCTTCCTGTTTCGTATGTATGTTGCTTCGAATCAAACCCTTTCCTCGATTCCCTGATTGTTGGTTTGGTAAATTAAATAATTGTAGAAACATTTTTCGTAACTAGAAAACTGCTCTATGCGCAGAATGTCGAAATGCTTTTGTCTCAAAAGAAAGACAAAGAGCAAAAAATAAGAAATTTACTTATGTCTACATAATGTGCGAAAGATTACGACATCTTTTAGCTCATTGAATTGTCTGGAAAACGTCTCAAAATGAGGACGTTAAATATGAAGAAAGAGCGAGAGAGAGAGAGAGAGAGAGAGAGAGAGAGAGAGAGAGAGAGAGAGAGAGAGAGAGAGAGAGAGAGAGAGAGAGAGAGAGAGAGTGAGTTTGATTCGAGCGACAAAAATAAGTACAGGGAGAGGAAGCTCACACAGGATGGAGAGATAGAGATTGGCGTTGCAACAGTACGTAGAGCGCGGCTGTAGATCCCCAGCTCGGATGAAGAAATCAAAGATATCAGTATTTTTCGATGGTCATTAAAGCTAGCTTTAGAAATGTCATAGTTCGACGAGCGAAGGCCTTGGCTTCCGCGAAGCTCGCGCGAAGTTTGCAAGAAAATGGCTGCAGAAAGAGAGAAATAGAAGGGCGGAGACAGAACGAGCGAGCATGTCGTTCCTCTCTAAAATTAGAGTGATGAGGAAGAAGAGAAGGGGACGGCCCCTTATAGAGCTTGGGACGCCGAGTTTGCGACCAGGGTTAGCAAACTGGCATTTTCTCTCTCCCGTCTCGGTATATCGGATTACTTCGGGATCGTCGCGTCGGTGTGCGCCATCCGGCTCATTCAATTTCGGCTTTTCTTCTCGTTTCTTTTTTCATCCCTGATAAGGTGCGGCTTCGTCATATTTTTCTGCATTCGAGTGTCTTCCTTGCTTGCCTTCTCCCACCCCCTTTTTCCCTTCTCCCGTTAATTCTTCCAACATCTTCATTCTTGTAGCGAGTCGTGCGAATTAACTGGTGAACTTCTTCTGGCTTTCCGCTTCCTCTCGCTCTCTGGTGTCCTCTCGCTTCTTTTTTTAAATTTGTCGCGTCGTGGATAAGTTATGTAAGTGACGACAACGGGAGACCTCTGTTGTGACACGTCTTAGTTCGTTCCGGGTACTCCCACATTACACCTGTGATTAAGTTGTAAGTTGTAAAAGTGGCGATAACACGTAAATTCGTAAGTACTGTGGTAGAGCTACGTGTACAACCCCAAGCCTACCAGTGTTTCTTCCCATTAGATCCTGCGCCTCGTCTAGTGATACCGACGCGTTTGAAATTCCTCAGCTTTTACAATCGTTACTTTCAAACTCTGGAATCACACGAGAGTTTTGCTAATAAATGTTCAACAGTACACGTTCGTCGCGGGCTTTATTTTCTAGAAGATATTAAGTGGGATTATACGGAACTGACTACGCAAATTCAGTAATCAACATTTCGTTTCGTTTTCATGTTACAGCACTTTAAATAGCCACCAACATGTCTGACGACGAGGACCAATACTCGTAAGTATACTCGTTACTCGATTATTACTCTTTGATTACAACTAATCGCGTAAATTATCGACTTATTATTTACGTTCACAATTTTTTATCCCTTACTTTACCTCTCGCTATGAAATTATATCAATTGCAAATTCTGGAGGAGTGTAAAGTCAAAAGTTACATCTTAACACGTTGCAAACTTCAATGAGACACACTTTTAAAGTTAACATGAGTGTATTCTTTAAATTCTAGCAAGATACAAAATACATTTCTATAATTTGCAAAGTAAAATATTTATAAAGTATTGCAATACAGAGCACACTTGCGATGATATTGTTATTCTTTAAGATAGATTTAGTTAATCGAAATATAAGGGTCAAAAGACGACAAGAGTCAGTGGCGATTTTCAAATATGAGAGAATTTCTACCAAAGTACAACGACAGTCCAGAATCGCGGTTGATCCGGGTTCGTTGGTCATTGTCACATTATGTAGAACGTGTCCGAGCAAATATTGCCCACGTAAGATTAAATACTGCCCATTATTTCTATGTCTTCGTCATGTTTCAATGTGTTGTTCTACAGTCTCTTGTCTAACTGTGCCGTCTCAATGTCCGCCCCTTTTGTATACTACGACCCGGCCGTATCCGCGCTCGAAACGAAACCACATTTCCCCCCACAGTCCCAAAGTTTGTAACTTTGGAACAAGATTGTAAATCGCAACAGTAAGCACCTTGCGAAAATGTACTTACGCGAAAAACGCGAGCTTCGAGCAACCCCTTAAAAGCTTAAGCCCCCCAGCCAGCGTCTGTTATTCGTCCCAAACGATTGCCCTTACCGTGTCCACCCCAACTAACTGGTGCATTTTCCTTTTTCTCTTTTGCAGCGGCGAGGAGGAAGTCGAGGACGTGTAAGTGTTCACCTTCGATCACGTATAATCCTTCTAATATTGCTCCTGAAATGTCTCTCTAACGTCTGGCTTTTCTTCCGTTTTTTCATTTCAGGAAGTAAGTCCCGGAGAGTCTCGAAATGAGCAGTATAGAGCTATGCGCGTTGTGACGCCACGATTTCGCTTCGGTTGTCCCGGTGAAAATCCTGGATTTTTCGACGACTCCCGGTCGGAAAAATTCATTGCGCTCGTGTCTTCGTAGCTAGCTCGTGTATCCGTAGCTAGAAAACTTTTATTCAAATTTACTTAGCGAGAGATATGATGTTTTTCTTTATCAATCGCAATCGCGAAAGTATGTATTTCTCACCTGCACTTTGTTTCTCCACGCCTACCTTTGTCCTCGTCATATCTGTCACTATATCTGTCGCCTAAACAGCCTCTGTTACCTCGCACACATTATCAACTGGGCAATGAAATATTTTATAAAGTTACATTACATCCATGTTAGATCCACGTTATATCACTGATGACGATTTGTTTAATTGTGAAGGTAAATGATATACCTGTGCTTTGGAGAAAAGGTCCATCTCTTCAGTTTTCGACATTACAGATGTTTTAGGATTTATAAATATTTTAGTAATCAAAAGTTGTCCAAGTTTAACCGTAGATTCCTTTCATCACTGAAATATTAAAATATTAATTTCATATATATATATATAAGTACTCAAATGATTAAACGATTCTAAAAATTCTTACAATTAAAAGCTAGAGAAATAGGTGTTGGACCTTGTTTTCCAAGGTACGGATCCAATCGCGCAATAAACGCGCTGAAACGACCCAATTTCGCGTAAACCAACTATCGCGGAATTAATATGTACAGAAAGTAAAAGCGAGAAAAAAAGGTATAAAAGAAAGAAACGAACGGTACCGATTATAGTTTACACGCAGCTTTGTGCAGTCCTACGTAAACAACTCATTACACGATTTTATTAATGAATCTGTACTTTCTTTTTTGTAGGGGTAGGGCGTCCCAAAAGTAAGTTCATTATACATCGAGGTGTTCATACGTCAATAATATTTCCTTCCCTGTTCTTCGACCGCTCTCTCACACTCCCAGAGTCGGTTCTTCACTGGCGTCGATCAAATTTAATCTTTGCTCGATTTACTTCTCGGGCACAGCTGTTTACATTGTAGAGGAAGATGCAAAGATTGATCAATCTCCTCTCATTTGCTCACCAGGTTTAAGAAGAACGATCAGTTTACAAGCTGACGGCGCATGTACGTTTGCAACCGTCTCTGAGAAGGTCTCTGAATTGTTGGCTCGTATCTTCGGCCAACTGAAAATTAATACCGAACTGTCTAATCCTGAGCTTTGTTTAGACGGAACTTTGTTAAGACGAAGATGAAAATTAAGAGAGTGCAATTAAATATAAAATAAATTAAATATAAATTAAATATAAATGTGTGCGATAACGCACACATCTATCTTATAAAATCTATCTTATAAAAAGTTTTTCTGCAATGAGAAGAAAAACGGGCACTGGCTGGATTATAGATCAAAGTTAATCGACGTCAACGAGACCGCCCACCAGACCAGACCTTTAAATTTGCATCACGACAGGAATGAGATCGTAGGAAGCGCTTCGACGTTTCATATTGCGGTCGGTTAGTGCGTCTCGCACAAGTTGGCCAATTTCTATCTATGCCGAAGGATCGTATTTGCAGATACGTGGCGCGATCATTGGCCTGTACTTTTGGCAAAATAATAGTATGATAGTGCATTTTCTGAAAAGCACATTACGGGCCTTTCATAAAGATTCCATAGCGATTGCATAATGCGCGACGATACTTGAGCCGTTTGGTAGTCTGCCAGGCGTTTCGTAAATACATGCACAATAACGTAACGCGGTTTATTCTGAGACCGACGTCTGCTCAAAACGTATCATACGCCCCGACGCCGACGTGATCTAATTAATAGCCGACCGTTTAATACGTAGTAACCGCAGTTTCTGTAATATCGTAATACTTTGGTTTAATCTTTTAATGCGTGATCTTTTTATATCAGCCAAATTAGATTATGTAACATGCTGACGCGATCGCAGGAGAATTTGGAAAAGAAACAAGATTGTACCATCGGAGAAAATTTGTCAAAGCAAATTTAGAATATTACAGGAATAAACTCGATGGAGGGTTATTTCTTGTCGGAGCGGTCGCGACCGCGACCGCGTTTATCTGCATTTTATATAGCGTGTTGCGAGCCAAAATAGGTGTTACACCCTATGAACTTCATTAGTTTCGCTCGACGACGAGTCTCAATCCTGTCGGTGATATCTAATCATTCGTTGCCAGTCCATGAAACCACCCCCTCTCTCCTACTACCATGTCCCCCTATACGCGTATTCTCGCGTCTTTTACGTTTTGCCTCTTTGATTAATAAAGGAGTTTGATTAATAAACGAATTAACGTGTAACGGCGTTGTACGTAATCACATCTTGTTCGAGTTCAAAGTGATGTCAAAGTCATGTCATGTCCTTATACTTGAAGACTCGTTATTGTGCCCGATCTTCCTCAACCCCGCCCGTCCTTATTAATTATGTTGATCCTGTGCCATAATTGATTGAGTTGCAAGCAATAATCGTAATACCTATGTCCGTAATTCCTGTCAGCCGGTGATTTTACTTCATGCCGCGTATCGCCTAAAAATATCGAGAGTTCCGAGCAAAAAACGCTTTCAGCCCGAAAGGAACAATCAAGCCTTCCGTAACGCCTTATCCTACCTGTCTCTCACATCTGGCTTCTTTGTGGAGCGTTTTGTCCTACGAAACGGAGAATCGTATCTCTGGGTGTGTTTTCTCGAGTCAATTCCCAGCTCAGTCTACGAAATCGACTGAAACTCTTAAAAGACAAAAATGTTTGCAAATCTCAGAGTCAATTTGTCTTTTTGTGGCTACTGACAACCGAATAATTTATCTATAAGATAGCCATGAAATTTCTTACTATTTTCATTAATGCCACCACCTTCCATGATTAGCTGCGATACGCAATTTGTTTCTTTTTCCCACATGCTTGCACATATTACTTGCCTGATTCTCTCTCTCTCTCTCTCTCTCTCTCTCTCTCTCTCTCTCTCTCTCTCTCTCTCTCTTTCGTATCGCCTCTGTCTCTCTTCCACTCTGTCCCGTTACACTTTTCCTCTTTGATCTTTCGTTTGTCCGTCCGTGTATTTATCTGTCTGATTTTGTCCGCTCACGTGTTGTCTGTGTGTGAATACATGCGATGAGCGGCATTAAATAATATGCACTATGGGAGAGAATGCGTGGATGAGTTGTAATAAACTTAGCGGGCACGCGGGGACGTGAGAGCCGCGTACGGAGTTCTGGAAGGTCTCTCGAGATCTTCCAGAGAACAAGCTCAATCGTTGTGATTTAAAGCGAGTGACTTCTGTTTTCGCTCCGGCCGGCTTCAGGGAATCTGGCGAGAGTATCGAGTTTATGAAGGTGAGTGTGTCGATACTCGCGCGAATACGTCGAGCAGTGCCCAACCGGCTAAATTCTTCGTTGATCTTTCCGTCTCGAGATTTGCTTTTGCGCCGGTGAAAAAATAGAATAGTTCATAAGGGAGATAGCAACAATTTGTTTGTTTCTTCGCCTGAAAATTCTCAGAACAGGAAGGGGGAATCATTTTAAATGTTTTGCTTTGGGTCGCGGGACGGGTGGGGTACGCTGCTCTATTTTTTCTTGCACACTGGGATAGGTTGGGCCCTAGCACGATCGTTAGAAAAAGATATAATTGCGCACACACGCGACTAATTCCTTGTTAAAAAACAAATGCAGAAACAAGAACAGAAAAGAAGTGAACTCGACGAACAGCTCAAAGAATACATAGCGGAATGGCGAAAGCAGAGAGCCAAGGAAGAGGAGGAGTTGAAAAGATTAAAGGTACGATTTTCTTCGTGTATGTCATGTGTTCTTCTTCCCTGCGATTAGTTTCTACTTGATATTTTCTTGATAAAAAGTATATATTCTGTTGTTTTTCTTAGGAGAAACAAGCCAAGCGCAAGGTCACCCGCGCGGAGGAGGAGAAGAGATTGGCTCAAAAGAAGAAGGAAGAGGAGGAGCGCCGTCAACGTGAAATCGGTAAATACGTTTATCCCGATTTTTCTCCCGCGTTTTTATAAACCTCGAAACTGGGAATTCAATCGAGACGTCTGAATTCTTCTTTCAGAGGAGAAGAAACAACGTGACATCGAGGAGAAGAGAAGGTAATAAGCGTCAAACATTCAGTCAGAGGAAGTTAAAGTCGGATGTTCCGATAGAAAAATCCTAGGAGTAGGTTGCGACAGGTCTCAAATGACAAGATACGTGCATTGTTTCATATTTATCACTTTCTAGGCGCCTGGAGGAGTCGGAAAAGAAACGTCAGGCTATGATGCAAGCAGTGAAAGAACAGAGCAAAAAGGGTCCCAACTTTACTATCACCAAGAAAGATCTTTCGGTGCGTTCCGAGTGTTTAACTTGAACGAGCTGTTTTTTCTTTTTTCCTTTTTCATTCTTACCAATCGGAGTAATATGTCAAATTGATTTGATCGAAACGCAGGGTAATCTTACATCGGCGCAACTCGAACGCAACAAGACAAAGGAGCAGCTCGAGGAAGAGAAGAAAATTTCCCTCAGCATTCGCATCAAACCCTTGGACATCGAGGGTATGTCGATCGACAAACTTCGCGTCAAGGCGACCGAATTGTGGGAAAGCATAGTGAAACTTGAAACCGAGAAGTATGATCTAGAAGAGAGACAAAAGCGTCAGGAGTACGACGTGAGTTTTTTTTACGATCAGTCTGTAGCTCGCGAAAGCAATCGATGATCTCTATTATCAATTGAAGGAAAGAAAATTCGTTGATCGTTTTCGTTGGTGAAGTAAAAATTAACGCAGCTTAATACTCTCTCTCTCTCTCTCTCTCTACATATCGTAGCTTAAAGAGCTGAAGGAACGTCAAAAGCAACAGCTGAGGCACAAAGCTCTGAAGAAGGGTCTTGATCCTGAAGCTTTAACCGGCAAATATCCCGTATGTATTCCGTGTATTCTATCTGATCGCGTGCAAAAGCAAGACAGAGAAGAGAAGGGTAAAATTGGATGGGATTGATCGAATCGTTTTTCCACAGCCGAAAATCCAAGTCGCCTCGAAGTACGAACGTCGCGTCGATACCCGATCCTACGACGACAAGAAGAAACTCTTTGAGGGCGTAAGTATGCACGTGCATTTCGACCCCTCAAAATCCATTTGATGGCAATGTTGACTCGAAACGAAGGAATTAAACCCAAAACTCTCATTCCATGACACTCTTTACGCAAGCCGAATTTTACACACAGTATCGAACACGTCTAGAGATGCAGTCAGGTACGAACATACTTAAACGTAGGAACCTCTCTCTCTCTCTCTCTCTCTCTCTCTCTCTCTCTCTCTGCCTCGTACAATGTATAATAGAACGGAAACAAAATACAATAGGAATGACCCCGTACAAAGATAGCGATTAGTGAGCCATATGTCGATTGAATCGCAGGGCTATGACACGCTCTTAGCGGAGAACATCGAGAAATTGTGGAAACAGAGAGCAGAACTGTTTACGAAGCGCAGCAAAAGTGAGTCCAACCGTGAACCCTCTGTCACTGTGGCTTTACCGCCCTTTGCTTGCCTTGCTGGTTGCATCCCCGAGATCTCATCGGCGATCGTGTTTCTAATTCTTTCACTCACTCCTCGTCGATTGAACGGTCGAAGCAGCTGCCCGAATCGTTGCTGTGTTCGTTGTTTGAACGGGTGTAACGTGTGACGTGAAAAGCACGGTACACTGCGTACTTATGCTCACGCACGCAGCGATTTCTTTTCTTTTTTTTCTCTCACGTGTATATTGCCCAGCACAGCGAATGGAAAGCATGAAAAATCACGAAAACGATCACCACGAGAATAATTTCACTCTAATAAAGTATCGTGTCAACGTCGTCTGTGAGTTTGCTATTTTTTATGTCTTTTCCGAAAATGTATAATATGTTCTCTCAGTGTGTTTGTCTTCAATCGTCATAAGAATGATTGTTCAATTCGTCTTCGTTTTTATATGAAATTCGAAGAGAGTCCGTTCTCGAGTATCGAGATGGTTAAGCACCGAAAATCGTAATTCCTTTTAAAGACGATTTCATACAAGTCAGTTATTGTGTAATTAATTCTTTCGGCCGTAACCCCCAGCCCCGACCCTCGCCATGAAGAAATCTTTGCAACCCGGGGAAAGCGACAGTACGGAGAGAAGGGTTTCCAGACAAAAGTCCATTTCCGATGTGTGAAAATAACTCCTAGCATGCCGTTCTGTCCGTTGGTGTTGCAGGGCCTGACCGAACAACAAAAGGAAATTTTAGAGAAACAGTGGGCCGAACAGAAGGAACAGTTCATGGGTCGCCAAAAGAGTATGTATGACTTCGACTCTTGAGAGACTTCGAGTCGGCACCTATCGTCCTATCGAAAGAAACAAAATGGCACAATTAACGCTTTATATCTTATTATGCAATTGAACCTGAAGATTAACGAGAAGTTAGAAGAATTTTTGTTTTAGTTAATGTTCCAAAGAATCGTTAAGAGTTTCCTCTTCTACGGTAACGAAAGTGTCTCGTACACAAAGTGCGCGTATGTAGATAATTATCTTATCTGTCACCTATTCCTCTTCGTGGAGTTTTGTTCACGAATTAATACACGTCTCCGCGCCTTCACGCCAATCACGACGTTAAAGTTAATCTTTTTCTCTCTCTCTCTCTCTCTCTGCGAATAACAGCGAAATTGCCGAAGTGGTTCGGCGAAAGACCGGGCAAGAAGGCTGGCGATCCAGAGACACCAGAGGGCGAGGAAGACGTGAAGGCTACGGTTGACGACGATCTCGAGGAGCCGCAATTCGATGAGGAAGAGGAGGAGGAAGCCGGCAAGGAGGAAGGCGAAGAGGAGGAAGAGGAGGAAGAGGAGGAAGAGGAGGAGGAGGAGGAGGAAGAGGAGGAGGAGGAGGAAGAGGAGGAGGAAGAAGAAGAGTAAAACTCTTGATCGCTTCGGCGTGTGCACACAGGATATCTAACAAAAAAGAACAGAGAAAAATGGAAAAAAAAAACAGAAAAAGAAGAAAAAAGAAAAAGAAAAAGAGGGAAAGAAATACATACGCGAAATTCGGTACACGATCATTCCACAATCTCGTTTAACGTCTTTCGAATCGTCAAACGTAATTGGTGGAGCGGCAGTAAAGTCGCGACGTTTTCCATCCACTTTCGGCAATATTATCCGAAAGCTCTCTATTATCAGTCGCCGGCTTACGTTATCAACGACTTGTCTTTAAAAATTCAAACGAACAAACGGAGCTCGGGCAATGAGATGAGATGAACACGATATTTCATGCTGTTTCGGCAGCATGTTGCACTACTATGATCATTAGCCGTTTCTAATTACCACGGCTAGTGCTATTACGATTGTACCATCACTATTATTACTCCTATTGTAATTATTATTATTACTACTCCTACTTCTACGATTATTACGATTATTATTATTATTATTATTATAACATTGTACAAATCACGAGTACGCAAATTGTTAAAATACAATGGTTCTATCGTATAAAACCATCGAGGCAGCAGATCTCGTCTGCAGGTAAAGCGTGTACCAGCACCAATACTACAATTACGTGTCTTGAAATAAATAGTAGAAGCTACAGTAAAGTGTCAGCATCTATATCTAAAAAAAAAAAAAAAACCGATTCAATTGTCCGTTGATATATTTTGAATAATCATTGTTTATTTATGTATCGTGCAAATTCCAAACTGTCGCGAGCGACGAAAAGACGCGATGTTTCGTTCAACGCTATCCATTTTCAACGATATTACCGAACAAAGTATCTTCAAGATAAATGCATAAGACTCACTTTGGACATTCCTAATGACGATAATTCGGATACGAGATCCATCATTGACGAACAGAAATCGCAGAAAACACCAAACGCCTCTTCAAATTCGTCCTGTCGCGACATGTTTGACTTGTTAACCAACGCCATGACAGATCGCGGCGTGATGTTTCAACTTTTTGCACATATTACTTTTGTATGTCGTCGGTAATTTATATTCTCATGGTAAAATCGAAATACAGTATGGTACAAATGTTAGTGCTATCTTCAGAGTAGTTAAAACAGTTGGTATTGTCATCGCTCTTGAATTACCTCCCGGCATCTCATGGCCCCTTTGTTATTACTTTAAAAATTTACTCAGAGCTAACAGTCTTCAGCATTACCTCGTCCCTGCCCGAATAATTCGTGTGTCACATACAATGATATTTTGCGTTTAAAACACACCGTCTTCAAGTGATCGATTCAGTCGCTGCAGATATTAAGAGCCACTATAGGTAAAGCAGTTGCCAATTCAACCATCCGATGTGAACACTTTTCCACACTCCACGATTGAACTCTTTGTGATATGCAATATTATTTTATGATTTATTACTCTCTAAAGCTATAGGATAATGATGTCATAATATTTCCATAAAGCTATAGAATTTGAATAATAGTCCAGTCGACGAGCGCAACGATGAAGCCTGTGAGTGACCAACAGCTGTCGCTGGTTGTCGCACGATCGCGTTCGCCAGTGTTCGTATTCTCGGCACGGTAAACAAGTCGACGAATTAATTCGCCCCGCCGCGATTTTTCAGACGGTTCGACGTAAACGTCGCGAAGGTTACGTGACGCTTCGCGGTAATAATGTGTGAAATGACTGCAACGCACAGTGCTTGAGCCGAGTGATGAGCCGAGCAATGACGTGCATCAGCGTACCGGCGGATCGAAATAATGCGAGGTACGTAACGTGTATGCGCGATCAATAAATTATTCGGCGCAGGAGAAATTTGCGCTTGGAAAGAGCGAACGTTCGCCGCAACAAGATCACTCGTACGAACTGATCGTTTAGCGTGATTTTTGCGCGTTCGGTGCTCGGTGACAATCGGTATTTTATCGAGGTGTCGTTAGAAAATGTGGCGGGATGCACGTCATAAGATATCTGAATTTTGACAAGCCGAAATCAGATTTGACATATTTACAATCTGCGCTACGGTTCACACCGTAGCAATTGATATCAGACGCGTCAGATATTGTATCAATCTTCAAGTTTCTTGCAGGTACGTTCGAACGAATCTATTGATAAATCGTGCTCGATTTTAATGAGATGATATCCAGGCTATCGAATTGATTAAGATTCATGAGTACACATCGAACTTGGTTTCCATCCCAAAATATGATCTTTGCATTTAGATTCTGATATAAGAAGAGAATATTTGAAAATCTTGACAATACATCTTGAAGATACATTCGAGTGGCATTGTTCTTTTAATTAGATAATTAGGTAACCAGGTTAATTAAGTATGCGTATTTGACATAATTATAATTTATATGTTGTATCATCACACATGATACCTGAAGGTAGACAAGTATGAAATAGTAAACATGCCTCATGGCTGGAGGCAGGAGCGACGGGAAGCAAAGTGGAAATTTAGACAAAACGCATCAGTGGCATTGCCACCGTCGTCCTGATTTTCCTGTAAAGCCTGGACCTCCTCTGAGTGATGGATTTAAGAAGCAAAAGAGTGCGGAGCACCGTCGCACTGCTGTCAAAAATATCAACTTATTGCAGGACAGCATATTGAGGTAAGACAAGATTATATAATATTATATTTTTTTTCTTAACAAGTATCAAGTATCATATTTCTGCGTCATTAAGCGTGTGATAAAGTGTATCTACTTAATATAATAAAAATTTTGAGGATATGTTATATAAGTTGAAGTATGTTAGTGTGACTGTGTAATATAGTATCATATAAGAATAAGTATGTAATGTAAATATTTAGTTGATATTATTCAAAAGATTTTCAAAAGTGTTCCATATGTATCTTCTAATTTAACTAATTGTTGCACAATTTTGTCTCGTATATTTTCCATCATCGTGTTGATGTAATCTCCATCTGTTTTACACACACATATATATATATATATATATATATATATATGTATAAAGCAATCTTGATTTGATGATCTAAAAAGAAAATGCAATTTTAAGAAGGCAATACAAGACTGAAGAAAAATCTTTTATTGTAGAATATTTACGGATTCCTTATATTGTGATCTTAACATAATATATGGTTATGAAGTAATACGAACAAACCAGTGTATTATTAAAGCAAGATCACCACACTTGTACGAAGTTCTCAAGCCTTATTTTGTTTACACTAACAAAACGATCCATTGTATTCTTGACAAAGTCGGACTTTTTCGTCAAATTGAAGGCTTCGTAAGGTATTGCCACATCGTTGTCATTTGTATAGAAGCAGTAATAATTGAGAATACACGTGTACTTCCATTATTAATGTTTGTCTGCATGCATTTTCACCCAACACGACTTAGTATTATATTTTTTCAAAGGTGGTGCAATTGAGATATATTTTTTGCATGTTTCTGGTGTTTATATAAATTACATTTGTAACTGTCAAAATGATCTATTGATTCGCATGAAATTGTATATTTCATGTCCTATTCTTTTGTAAAACACTTTTGTAAGCAAGAAATACTTGAAATTATCTCCTATTTTTGAAATAAAATAATATTTTCTTTTTTTCTGTTATATGTATATAAATCGTTTCTTTTTATGATTTTACATGCAAGAATATATTATTATCATTTCTGAAATTGCGAGTACAAAATAATCCAAATCATGGAAGCAACTTTATCTTCAGTTATTCAGAACAAAGTTGTACTGACCATGAAATATCTTTTTCTAGCCCAAACAATAACTGTGTGTCAAATACTTTTCTTTGCCTCTGAATGTAGGAAATATTTAAGTAACTTGTTTTAAATGATTTATTCTTTATATTTACAAATATATCGTCATTTAAGATCAGCCAGCTAGAATAAAATTATGCAATATGTATAATATAAAAACAATCTTTTCAATGAATTCTACACCATGTGAAATGTTTTGTTAATATATGTACATGATGGTGCATTGATGATTTAATATGGATATATAAATTTGATTGTGCACAAAAATTTCTGAGCTGTTATAGCATGCACTCTCCATTTTACCTATCAGAGTTTGATATCTGTTAAGACTTCTAATTTCTTATTGTAGCTGTATTAGATTATGTAGATTATGTATTTAATATAGTTACAGAGAATAGGAGTCTTAAATAAATCCAATTGCAATTATACCAAAGTGGGCACATTATTATAGATAGATATTTTACATTTATTCAATTTGATTATTTACTATTGATGTGTATATTTTATTACCAATTACAGGCTTCTATACAGTAATTTGGATTTCACTCAAGAGGAGCAATCGTTGGTGGAATTTATTCTCAATACAAGTTACGAGTGTCATTCTTTAAATGAATCCACTACTAGTATTGTATGTCACATCGATGAAAGGTTAGACAATTAATTGCAATTGATTGTTTAACCGTCGTATTATTGTTTTTCTTTCATTTTATAACATTATATTTTCTATTCTCTATTCACTATTTGTTTTGTATTTAAAGAAATTTGAAAACATGTTATTTCTATGATCCAGACTCTTAAGATACCCGAATGAGAGTTAAACTATTTTTTCATCTGTTATAGATATTGTTTTATATGTCTTATAAGTGTGTGCTATTTGCAGGATATATGAGAAATGCTTGACTTCGACCGATGACGTGCACCAGCACCTGCAAGAGGTAAAAGAATACGTAACGGATGCAATCACCACTTCGTCAGAAATGGCTGATTCCGGTCTGGAGACAGGTTCGATAAGTCCGCATGAGAATACGACGTCTGAAAATATTAGCTCAGACTTGGAAGTAACACAGGCGGCAGAATACACCTGCATTAATGATGACAATTCAGACCGGTTATGCGATGAGCGAGTGTGTAACGAGGAAAGCGATTGCAAGAAGCTTCTGGATAATGAACCTTGTGAATCGCTTAACAACGGCGATTACCGTGGGAACGGCGTAACTCAGTCCGAGTCAAGCGGCCGTAGCGTGACGTATTCATCCTTGGAAGCGGAACATCAGCCTGCGGACTCCTCGCAGAATGTTCAGAAGGTGAAATTGAACGCCGAAGAGATCTTCCAATACGAGAGCCGAGTGTTGAGTGAACCGTTTTACGAGTCGGACTGCGGCAGCGACGAGAACGAATCCTTTGAATTCGTCGAATCTGTTCCTTCAGCGAGTGGTGATTGCGAACAAGCTACCACCACCAAGTGTAAATCAGATCAGAAAGTACAAGCTGATGTTGCAGAATCGACGAGTAAATCGGTTGAAACAGAGCTCGATCGTCCTCGTCCTGCTGACGCGATTAGTCATAGTAATTCCTCTACGAGTGGTTATTACTTCATCGATGCGTCCACCCTAAACGACGAGGTGGTGGACATCGTACCCACGAGTGTAACAAAGAATCATCATCAATGCAACAATCAGGTTGCCAACAACAACAGGTTGCCGTCACACTTCACATTTTTCTCAGATTATATGACGAATAATAAATCGAATAGCACCACAGAAGAACAATCGTGCAAATTCACGCCGCTTAAGACGCCGACTTTGCAGAGTGGCCATGAACGAGTAGCGGAGTTCGAACGAGAGCTGAAACTTACCGAATGTCTGCATCCACTTCCAGAGTCGCGTAAAGTAAAGCGAGCGGATTCCGCGTCGGAGGAGAAAGTCGTGGATGCAAGCAAGCCAGCGGACAAGGAGTCGTTGGCCGTGGAGATTAAAGAGACAGATAGCGGGGAGAGCGCACATCCATCTCCTTGTCCTGATAACAACACGAAGATAAACAACGATCGAGATGAGAAAACGGAAGATACGTCGAGCAATGTCGAGGCAGCAGCGTCAGGAAACGGGAACGAGAAAGACGCGAATGCGAACGAGGACAGGCGACCGTCGCTCATCAGAAGAAACACATTCGAACTGGACTCCAACGACGAGAAATTGTCCGTTCTGAGACAAGAATACGAGCGCCGGCAGGGCAGTCTGGTCTTTCAAAGCTCCATTCCGCAATACTCGGGACACCGCGTGGACGGAGACTCTTTTTGTCCCGCACCTTCCGACACCGTAGTTCCTCCGGTCACCGAGCCGCCATCGATTACCTACACGTCCAATGTACAGATCACCGCTAATACTCAGTATCCAGTATCGTATTTATTATTAGACAATTGCAAGTACGAGGTTGATCAGACTCAAAAACGAGAGAGCTACCTGCAAGACAGTCTCAACAGATCGTGCATAGTGTATCCGGTGACCAAGAGTGCCAGCGATAAGTCCATTATGGACTACACCACGGACTCGGACGACGCGTCCAACCGTTGCAGCAGTAGCTTACCGGTTACCCTGGGCTCTATCTTGGAGAAGGATAATAATCGAGTGGAGTCCGTGAAAAGAAGCAAATGTGACGAGGCTACCCCGATCATCTCCGGCGGCGTCAGCACTTCGGATTACTCCAAACCTACGGACAGCCCTACCGTGCGCCGCAAGACGGAGTCCACGCCGATCGTATCGGGCGGCTCGGTGATCATGAGCAAGTCTGAAGTCAAGATGAAGCCCACTAAAATGTCTTCCTCCATGACCGCCTGGGTGGTCGACATGAGCGACTGCAACAAGAGCGACCCTAAATGTCGCGGCAACTCGCGGAACATGTCGCAGAGTTTCTCCACGTCCGAATGCGTAAAGAAGCCCGTGCGAAGATCCAATAATAATGAAAAACATCACTGTAGCTTAGGATTCTTCGTCAGTCTGAAGGATGTGCACGATCCGGTCGAGCCGGTCGAACGCGATCACTCGGTTGAAAGGAAGAAGGAACAGTGCAGTAGCGACAGTAGCAAGGCCGATGGTAACAGCGGCAAGCCTTACTGTGAATTTTACGTTGATATCTCCAACGGGAGCAACGGGGGCGTTAAGGTCAATCCGCCCGAGAAGCAAGATACGCGAACAAAAAATGGCACTTCCAGTGAAGGTGAGAAGAAGAATATCTTCTCGATGTTTATCGATCTGAAGGACACGAGCGAGACGAGCCGACGAGGAGACGTTGTGGCTCCCACGCACAAACGAAGCTTCTCGACGGCGGTTGCCAATAAAGCGGAGGCTAGCAGAACAGTAGACGACAGTAGTCCCAGGGATAATAGCAGCGCCACCGGAGACAATCAGTCGCCGCAGGAGCAAAAGAGAGAGAAAACAAAGCCCAGCCCAGTCTTTATGTTTATCGAGTCTGATTCCCCCGTGGTGAGAAGGCGGACGTTATCCACGTCACGTCCGACGTTCAAACGACACTCGTGGAATGTGGATAAGACGCAACCGGCGAGCAACAGCAACGGATGCGTGGCGAAGGAGCTCATGTTTAGAAGAGAGCATAAGCGCGCACATAGCATATCGATTGATAATCGCGGCGATTCGAGCCGATCCCAGGCGAAGACGAGCTCGTCCAGTCACTCGTTGAGCGATGCTGCCAAGGCGGAGTCTTACAATCATAAGAATTCCAAAACGCTGTTGCAGGAGCGTGAACATAACTCCAACAACATGGATACGTCATCCGAAGACGTATTCGAGTTTGATGTGAGAGACACTCCGCCTAACTCTCACGTAGAAATCGAGAGCGAGGAGCTTCGCGTTAGCGTGGCGAATCGGCGCGAGTACAAGGAGATAATCACCAGCCAAACGGAGAACCTGGAACCCAATGAGGCGAAAGCCTACGAAGATGAGTTCTCGGAGACGTCTGCTTGGGAGAAGACGTGCACCGAGAGCACGGAGGGACAGACGCGTAAGAGCGAGACGTTCGATATCAGCAGCGGTAGCGGACCTTCCCCTGACAGTGACAATCACGAGTACGAATTGACCGATGTACTGAATGGCGAGGTTCCAGCAGCCCCAATGGTCGTCAGCGACAGAACGCAAAGAGTGCCCACCACAGTGGGCAGCAATAAAATCTCGGAGACCCGCAAGTCGTTGAACGAAACCATTAAGAAAATCGAGTGCGAATTAAAAGAGCCAGAGTACAATAACGAAGGAGCGCAAACTTACGGCTATCGGCCGTCGAAGAAGGACGAGAAGATGTCTGGTCGTAATTCCAAGAGCTTGCACTTAGACACCGATAAAACGAGTTGCTCCAGCTTCGTGCGTTTGTCGGATTTAGATAAGACACCAATCGTCAATCATGCATCGGATGTATTGACGGTAAAGGATGACAGAAGTACATATCGTATGAGCAGCAGTATCCCGGAGACATCGTGGATTGAGAGCAAGCTGGCGATGACGAGAAATACCGGTCCAGTTAGACCGGTATCTAGGAAACTCGTCTCTGTTATGAGCACATCCCTACCGTCAAAACAGAAGTCACCGTTGGAGGATTTGACTGGTGACTGTGAGGGGGAAGGGATTATTTCAGAGTCCGACCTTAGCAGCATGCAAAGCAGTATGGGACGTTCCGGAGCGGGTATGTAATACCTGGTACTTTGTACGTGTACCGTTTTGTGTATGGCAATATGCCAATCTGTCATAAAATTCGTCAAATTATTAATGAAACAAGGAGAAATTTAAATAATTCTTCTCTTTTTAATTGGATCACTGGCATCTTGTGGATTTATATACATTTATAAGTTAAAAAATTTGAATGAAAAACTCTGTGAAAATGTGAAAGACATCAAAACAAACACTTTCTGTGATGTCTTGTTTCTTTGTTATATCATACGCCGATTTTCGATCTAGCGTTTATTAGCAGCTATCTTTATTGTAAAAATTCAATGTCATATTTCCACAGTTTGTCGCTCTAATGTCGCTCAACACCCTGTATATTTTTTGAACACTTGTGCATTTAGAAGGCAGTACGGAGGAGACTGAAACATCAAGTATCGCCGGTGCAAAGCCATATAATAGATTGGGTGAGGACTTGTTAAGAATGTTCTTGGAAGAAATTAATCCTGATGTTACCATAGATGTGGCTGGCCGGCACATAAGAGCACACAAATGTATATTGAGTTCTCGTTGCCAGTACTTTGCTGCGATTTTGAGTGGCGGATGGATCGAGAGTGCAGGCAATGTTATTTCTCTACAAGGGTACGTGTGTCGACAATATTTATAACATGTCCCAGTAAATTGTATACTCTTGGTAAATCTGTTTTTTTTCTTTTATATATATATAAAAGGAACAAGACATTTTAATTTATCAAGTACATTGCATTGTACTGTACTTTTTATACGAGTAACTTACAAGTCTGCTTACAATTCTATTCCAGATATTCTTATAATGCAGTTCATTTTGCATTATGTCATATCTACAGTGGAGAAAGTAATATACCAGATTCCATAAGTATCGTTGAATTAGCGACGTTGGCTGATATGTTGTGTTTAGAAGGTCTCAAGGAAGTTATAGAATACACGCTTAAGCTTAAATATTGTCATTTATTTCACAAGGTAATATTACATTACATCCGCATATTTCTATAAATTCGATAAACAAATAATGTTTTTTTCATACTCAACATTAAATTCATATTACCTATTTTTACACAGAGAAGTTCAAAATTGTAACTTGTTACTTCCTATCTTTCAGCCTTGCCAAATATGTGCTGTTGGAGTGTTGGAGTGTATGCCGTTAGCGGCAGCGTATGGTTTAGACGAAGTATATCGAAAGTCACTAAAATGGGTTACGAAGCATTTTGTACGAATATGGCCGTGCAAAGCGTTCGCGACTCTTCCGAGAGAGCTTATGGAAAAGTGTTATCGACAACATATAGTACATATGGTATGCACATAAAGAAAAAACTGCACTGACTATAATGTAGATAAGTATGTGTGCGAATCGTGTTGAATATTTTGCTTGATAAAAAGTTGTTACAAACTGCCGTCATCCGCCTTAAAAAAATATTTCGACGAAAATCGAAAAATTCGCAAAGCAGTTTAATATTTGTTGAGAGTTAGATTTACACGTAATATTAAATTCAATTCTATTGCAGATAGATAAGTTTTCAGAATTTTGCTAATTGCAATTCTTTTGTCCGTTTTTAGTCCACCGATAACGTACTTCAAACTATGATGGACTGCGATAAATTATTGGCGACTTTGCCTAATGTACGATGGGCAGAGCCAGTGTTTCGGCTGGTATCGAGACTGCTGGAGAAGTCGGTGAAATTTCTGTCAGAAAATTTTGTGGGGGTCTTAGGAAATGAAAATTTCCAGTCACTCGGTCGTGAACTGACGTGGAACATTAGTCGCTTAGAGGATAATTTTCTAGCAGCCGTCGAGCAATTGCCGCCCGAACAAGCGTGCAAGAGTTACTCGAAGCTGAACAAGATGTTACTCGCATCGCAGACGGATGATCTTCAAGATAGGATCAAGTGGGGACCGTTGTTTGTCGATTTTCTACACAAACTTCAAGGTCGCGTGGAGAAGTGTCTGGTGCGTGACGCGGCACATGCCGCAAGGACTACCACGTGGCTGAAAATGGACTTGGAGCTTCGCAGGAGGATACAAGAATTGGCTTGTATCGTGATCCTGCCTAATGAGACCTCGAAGCGTCAATCTAAACCTTTGAATTTCTCGAAAGCAAGTATTATTTCCTTTAAAATTTATTTCTCCTTTAAAAGGAGAAATTTATTATTATCCCTTTTCCCAATGTAGAATCGAAAAATTGAAGTAACTGACGTTACCCGCTTGATTTTTTAATATTATTACCGTTGGCTTGTACGTAAAACTTTTTTTCTAATAAGATCATATTGTTCTTCTATCTATCAAAGGAACCTCAAGCACCACCACCTAATCGCTCGACTATAAGTCGTAGTTTAGATTTAAAACGCTTCAAAATGGCGATCTCGGAGCACAATGACAAAACTTTGAAGCAAGCTCCATCGTCCAAACAATCGAAAAAAATCCTGTGTAAACCGAAAACAGATCCACTTGAACGTAAAATGCAAGAGGATAAGCAAGTTACTAATGAAACCACTCGACCAAAGTCGTGGCCCAATAAGATGGAGGTAAGTTTTGCAATATCTTTAAAGTACATATTTAAGATATATCAGATCAGGGTGTCGTTTCAATAGATAATTTTTAATACGATAAAACTGTTGAAATTAGTGCCAACAATTACAGGTGAAATCAAGATATTTAGAACCAAGGAACAAATCAGTTCCGAAGGAGAGTGCACCTACGGCGCATCATGATAAAATCAATGTACATCCACGACGCAAAATTATGATCTCATCGTCAGACTCGTCGCGCACTTCCAGTCCAGCGATGAAACGAGCATCCGATAAAAAGCCACTGGCTAAAATAAAGTTACCAGTGAAGAAGGACGTAAAGGCCCTCTCGTCGGATAGTCTAACGGAGGCAAATGCGAGTCGAACCGCGACTGGTAACAAAAAAGACTTGATTAGTAAGAGCTGCGGCATCACGAGACCCGAGTCCCCTTCTTTCAAACAGAAAAACACCGAAATAGGTTTATCGGTTGACTCCTTGGAAACCAAGACCAAGCCGATTGTTACTAAGAAGAAGGTTAACAAGATGGACACATCTATGTCAACCGATAGTCTTATGACGGAGATAACGGCGACTCCGAAATCTAACGTGTCCAATAAACTGTCACCTACGTTGGCAAAAGTTACGGGCAAGACACAAACTTACGATAGGTGAGCTATGAAATATATGTATCAACCATTGCGGGATAATGAGGATTAAGTACAGATTCGTGTTAGTCATGTTAATCTCATTTATCCATCTGCAAATGACAGGACGAAGAAAAACTCGCCACCGACGCAGCAGAGAAGCCCGTTAACAATCACCAAGAGGCAACCGAGATCACTGGAAAGCTCTACCGCCGCCAGTCGCAGTAGAGCCGCCGCTATTAGCGCATATCACGGTTCACCGAGTTTACGAAGAAGCTTGCTAGATGCTGCCAGGACACCGGATGTTCCTAGCAAGCCAGTTAACACGGTGACTCCCCTTAGGGCACGACAGATCGCGCAATCGAACGTTCTTCCCAATACAAGGAGAGAGAGGAAGGAGACGCAGAATTCACAAAGCTCCGATAGTCCCAGTAAGAAGTCCTCTCCGAAATCCAGCGTTGCTATCAGCAAGACGAATAAATCGACAGTCGCCGGTAAGAGAACCGTTAACGGTAAAGCCGACGATAAGGTGAAAAGGTGCCATAATGGGGAGACGCAGAAGCAACCCACAGTGGGTTCGAGATCCGGCACGTTTCTCAAGGATGAACCCACGATACTTAAGAAGGTAGACATTAAGTCGTCGCAAATTAATACTTAATGCTATTAAAAGCTGGATAATCGAACTGGTAGAATGCGCATTGTCGACGAGATATTTCTATCTGTGTACTCATACTGGAAAGTATCGCACATTATAAGAAATCTGTTATTTAAGAATATTAGATTAAATATATTGTCACTTGAATGATTTCACTAACATGAAATCATTGTAACTAAATTTGTAAGGTATTCGGAAAAATCATCTTGCATCGTGTGTACCATGTTTACATATAATTTACATATAATTCCAACGTATCAGTTGTTTTTTACAAAGATATACATTACCTCTGTGTTAACAATCATAGATTATTTGTCATCAATATTTTATAACTTGTACATTCTTGCAATTCTATGCTTTAATACAACCTCATTTATCACACGTTTAAGATATTTAATATACGTCGACAATATGCATTAAATTTTTTTTTTTTTACATATACTTAATGAATGCTGATTGTGTGATGATGGACTGTCGCTAGTAACTGCGAACGTGATAATTCCAATTGGGGAATCGTATTATATGTAAGATAGAAATATAATTCTAATTTAAAGATGCTTGGGATTATCGTTAAAGAAATATGATCGAGCTGCATTTACTGGTTAATTAGGAAATGTGCTATGATTATCTTTCGTGACATTAAGAACGGTAATTCATACGATAGACAATTTTAATAATTTTTCAGTAAACACTTTAATACTTCCTGCTTATTTAACAGTATAATAATTCAAATCATGAAATTTCATTGGCGAATAATCGAATATATAGATGAATATATTCAAAAAGAAAATATATCAGCTATTTGTTCTTCGTGTAATCCGCACTCGATCTTTACGCAGAAAAAATTCATTATTGGTTTTCAAGAAATCTAAATTCTTTTATTTTATTTTTTAGTTTGGTCTTAGTCTGGTGTTTTTAAATGTTTTTCTTTCCTTTAAAAATATAATTTTAATAATTTTTGTGTTATACTACTCTCAAATCATGATTGCATATTCAATTCTTGTATTTTTACGTACGTAGACAACTGAATCACAGAATTTTCAAAAGCTATATTAGTTAAATAGTTGTGCGTTCCAAATATACACACAATAAAAACAACAGCGCAGTGAAGGATAAACCAACTGAAATGAAAATATGAAATTATGCAAGAAATCTACATGGTAAATTTATAAAAAATTTGCAATGGGCAGTTTAGACAAAAGAACGGAGATTTACATACATATGAGGAAAATCAAGTTGTACTTTTCTTGGATTAGTCTGTATATTGCACAATTAGAATGTATGTGAAAAAGTATGACCTTTGATTATGGATGAATATATGCTTAAACAAAGAAATCTTTGACTACATATATGCATTAATGTCTTGTAGTACTGCATATGCAGCATCTCGTAGTTCATAGATAAAACAAAAAACGTGACCAATTATGCGATTTGTTTAGACAATTCTTCCTTTGTACCACATATATATACGCTGTATCAATCACTCCGAATTACTTTATAATAATCCGATATCGGTTTCATTGGATGCTGTTTAGTTATTGTTAATTGATGTTGCCATTTTATGAACCAATTCTGATCGTAAGTAGAAAAACTGCAATTATCGCTTGCAGTCGTTTATCAATGAATTGTGCATATACATAACCGATGTATTTATTTATTAAATTTCTATCTCTATTTTGCAATGTACATTTCTATGCAATATTTGTATCTAGTCATTTATATATTTTAAATATTTACTTTTGTGTAATGTTAATAAATATATCAATATAATGTTAAATGTCTTTGTATGATTTCAAATTTACCATGACCTTCCTGAAAAATTTCCTTCCAAAATTTTTAATTCCAAAATTTTTAATTATTTACAAGATGCATTCACATTATGAATATGTAAGAAAATTACTTTACATGCACATAAAAGAAGTAATTTATTTACATCAAGTGAATATATAATAAGTTAATGTATACAACTGCATAACATAATATCTATCGTTATACAAAATATCGTTGATAAAAAATCAGACATCCAACAGTGTCCCCCTTGGCCGTGCACGTTTTGAATCTGTTTCAGAGGATGGCATAGTTTTCCGCTTGTTCATACCTTTCCTCTCTAATTGTTTCTCTATGATGCGTGCATTATTTGCATACGAGTCGGCAACTTCTCTCTAAGATTGTAAATATTGTAAAGATTAGAATAGATTAGAATAGCAGATAATAGATATAAGCATGCAAGTTGAAATATAAAAGTATAATCTGATAATAGATAGAAGATCTAATCTGCTCTCAAAAATATATTACTAATTCAAAAAATATTTTATTATAAATTTTGTTATTCGCTACATATAATATATGAAGCAGCCAACTTACAGCTTCAATTTCATCTTCCTCCTCATCAATTGTAGATACAGTAACTGAACTGAACTTTCCCATGTTTTTAGTATGTTTTGTCACCATTATCTTTTTAGGTTTCTCAATGGCCACTTGATTATAAATATCTGTCATAGGACCTTCTCCAGAACTTTTTATCACAGAATCTTTAACTATAAATACTACATTTGCTGTTGGATCATGCTTGTAATACAACAACAAGCCACACCTGCCAAAATATATAATTATTAGATATTTATTCTACAGATTTTTGGCAAAATTCTTGCTAGTATTTATGCAGTTATCTATATAAAGTTATTTTGAAATAACCGATAATAAAGACTGTATATTATTTGAAATACAATATGATAGAAGTTGATTCATACTTTTTACACTTCTGTCTATATTGCTTCTCGATTCCTTCTGGACGCTTAAGAAACACAAGTTCATCTCGCTCTGAGGTCATTTTATGGGCATGTTTACTGCCATCGATAACCCTTGCTCCATCCTTCTTTCTTAGTGGTAACTTTTCAATGGCACAATCTATAAGTTGAAATCCGAAAAATTTATAAAAATGTTAATGTTTTGTTATTTCCAAACAACAAAAGCAGTTAAGCATACGATATATAATTGTATCTTGTGCACATCATATTTTCTTGAGGTACGAACAGTACTAACCTAAAATGAGTGTCATTTGTCCACATAGGCAATAATATATGTGCAATGGTTTTTCTTCACTGTATTCTTCCTGATCTTTTGTGTCAGAGCATATAATGCTCCTTGACACAACTTTCGGCATAATTTATTCAATAGCTTATTTGATAGATTTTAAAAACAGATCACATACGTTGTTGGCTGACCCACTCTTCTGTTATTGATTCCCCGTCATCTGTTTTATCTGGATAGCGCCAGAAAGTTCGTTAGACTCAGTAGTTCTATCAGGACAACATTAGATGGCGCCAGGTAGCCCATTATCCAGTTTTATCAGCTCTGGAGCCGGCCATTTCATCTCAAGACGTAATTCCTGCTACAACCTTACTGCTTTGTGTTAACAAATCAAGGACGTATAAGAATTTCTAAATTAATATATATAATTCCATTTAAATAATTGTAGCTATTTTTTTTTTCTTATCTCTGTATTAGTCGCAAAAGACTGTTGATTTGTTCACAGAGCATAACGCTATTTTTCTGCAGAGACTCTCAGGTAAATAGGCAAACATAAAACACTATCATAATGAGACATTCACAAAAATGCTTGCATAATATGTTTGCATTTTATTAATCAGCGAAGAGACAAACATTGTTTACGTACAGGAATATAATTTATATGGTGCGCTTTTAATAAATAATAATTTACGAGGTATACATATATGTATATATTTCTATATAAGGTATGACGAAAGTCTATAAAACACTGCGGGTGAAGAGAAAGGAGGAAGAGAAGATTCATTCTGATTATTGATTTCAAGGAAACGTAATAATGCAATCTTATCGTTTATATGCATCGCTAATCTTACGAGAGCATATACGCAAGCTACTTATAAAGTACACTTCGTCGATCATGTTCGCGAACATGATGAGAAAATGATGAAAACATGATGATGTTCTCGAACATTCGCAAGATGTTAAAATTAGCGCCAATTGATCATGGCGGTCATATTGATATACGAGGCGTCGGAGTCTAAATGCAAATAAGTATAAGAGTAGACGGCAAAAAATAACGGTAATTATTGAACTCTATACAGATTACATCTACATTCGGCGTCTAGAAAGAATTTGTTTAAGCGTCTAATACGGTTCGCTTTCGTCTTAGGCTCGAGTGGATCGCTAAACACACATCTCATCGGATAAGGTTAGAAAGCGTTTTTGATCATGTATAGCTGCGCCCCTTGACGACAGCTAGGGATCGGTATTGAACAAGAATCGGAAGTTAAACGTCCATTATGCGGATATCTCTATTCTAAATAAGATGTCTCGTGTATCGTATTCTTCAACGTGTTGTTTTGCTCTTACATCGGCGAGAAATGTAAACAGTAGTCTAGTCGCGTGAGGTTTGTTTATCTGTTTTGCCGGTCATGACATAGTGTGCCCGAATCGAGATTAGTTGTTTACACGTGTATGTACGTATATATCTCGCGTGTTGTTGATGCAGGCTATTTGCAGGTGTATTCTTCAGTTCGTTCAGTACAGGTCTCGCAATGGACACGGCAGCACCAGTGGAACTTGCATCTACATTGCCACGTCCTCGTGAATTGGTGTGTGTTATAGCCGCGGCCGCAGCACATCAAATCGCATCCGTCAGTTCCTGAAGACAGAGGTGAGTTCTTTCTCGCTTCAACAGAGGAATGTATTATTGTATGTTATCAAAATATTTCTTAATCCGGGATCGCTCGCACCGTGTATAAAGCGCGTATAAAATCTGACGATTTTGCATTTTCTCACGTAATTAACACCATGGTCTTCACATCCCACAGACATATCTTTACTTGCACAATTTAACAAGCTGATGGAAATACAAAATTGGCTAGAAGAGCTCCAATGCGCGAGTCATGGCGTGATAGAAATAGATGCGAGCGATGCTGGCTGAAGGAGATTGCCTAGTCACTCAAGAACCTGACCGAACATCATAACAGATGAGATAGAGGTATGAGATAAAGCATAATAAATTAATTCAGGATATTAAATGTATAAGACAGAATAAGAGTCTCAACTATAACGAGAGAGTTATAATACAGATCTTTTTTTTTTTCGTTCGAGAGAGACGTCAAAATGTAACACGATATCGATAAGGTGTATCGGTTTTTCTTTTTATCGCGTCTCGCACTCTCTTACCTTTGCTAGTACGATTGCAATATCTGCCCTGTGTGCCGAGGCTACCCTGAGTCAAATCCGGCTCGCAATAATTGGGGGAGGCTTGTAAAAAAACCAGCTCGCTTCTCTTTGGAATCCTCTTGAGACTCATACCAGGGCCGCCGCTCACTTTCGTCTTCTTGAGGACCAAGTGCGGCCTCTTTGGCTTGGTGGTCTTTTTCGGGGGCTGCCGATCGTGCCGCGACTTTGCGAAATCGTTTGGCTTGCCCTGAGTTTTGGCGTCGTTACCCAGTATGGGCACCATTTGTGGCGACATGGAATGCGACAGCGTGTCCATAGTCTGCGAATTAGCCATGTTGGATCTTTTTTTTTTTTATTATTGACAACGCGATATGAAGCGATTTTTAACAAATTATTCCAAGAACAAAACGTAATATTGAGTTGATTACATTTGCAATCGGCCAGTCAATTTATTCGATAAACGTTTGAGAAGCGAGGCTTACCGTGGGAGGGGTGGGCGGTGTAATGGCTATAACGGGTCGTGCCCTGTAATATTTTTTCATCAGCGCGTCGCCAATCTGGCGGAAACTAGGTAACGTTCTCCAACATGTTCTCACGGTGCACGAACCGGACACACCGTGACACTTACATTCTGTTTGCAGAAGAGCTTTAACTATCTGGAAAGAGGAACACATTTACGTTAATAATAACATAATTTCCGCAAATAATCGCCGTGCGATTTTCACTTCGTGCACTTCCAGATCTTGCGATTTTGAGAATCTTTTCTGACATTCTTGAATGAGTTATTTAAGAAAAAAGAGGCAAAATTAAAAAAAAGGTTTAGATTATATCATTATTATAGCAATTTCCTTTCTTATTGCTTTCAGTTGGAAAAAAGATTTCTCTTTGTTGATTTAAAGGGGGAAAATGCGGCACAAAGATCGGGCAAAGTCGAAACGAGTCTCATATCATATTGAAACAGATTACAACTTGTACGCGATGATATACGGTTGCAATATCCTCGGCACGGTGTATCGCGATTTGTTCCTTGCATCATACACGCGTGTCGTATGCAAATTTCAAATCTGCGCACACGACCACAGCCTCTGGTCAGGGAACGAGAACTTATAATGCGCCCGATGAAAACGAATGCATCGTCCGATACCTGAATCATTATCAAAGGACAAGGAGATACGCATCGGGCCATTACAAAGGGATTCAATGGCGTAGAATTCCGATTGTCACAATGTTACGGATAATTCACTCCCGCGGATGTTCAATATCCCGTGCAATTACGGAAGCATCATTCTCTCTCTCTCTCTCTCTCTCTCTCTCTCTCTCTCTCTCTCTCTCTCTCTCTCTCTCTCTCTCTCTCTCTCTCTCTCTCTCTCTCTCTCTCTCTCTCTCTCTCTCTCTCCTCTCTCTTTCTGACATCTCATATAAAAAAAAAGTCGGATTGAAAATGTACACGTATAATCAAAAGTTGTAACTCTGTTATGATTGCAGATAATATCGTGTTTTTCAAGCACTTTGAAATATCAGAATATCCAATAGTGCAATAAAATTATTATTTTCCAAGTACTTGTAAAAGATGGTTTTTATATCACTTGGAAGTCACAACAATCCCATATCAGTATGGCGGTTCAAGTATCGAAATACAATGTATTCCTCGCAAATAATCGCGTAACCACACCACTGGAGCGTGTGCCTCGCGAAAAAGAGAGAGAGAGAGAGAAAGAGAGAGATGCATCTTGGTGAACTCGAACAGCCGACCGAATGATCTTAAACGATCGTAATCGCATCGAGTGCTCATCTGTAAATTCCTGTGTGCCCGCTCGATTTCCGAGCGGCGGGGCTCTCATTGTGCCTCGTTCGGGCGGGTGAGCGAGCGCGATGCGTACGAGCATGCAGAAAACTGGTTTACATTTCGAATTATCCCGGTGCGTCGTGCCGCATGCGGGAGAGAAGTTAAAAAATCATCGGAGCATAAAGTATGCGGCGCGCCGAGGCGATCAACCTTAAGAATAAATCGTTAGCACCGTGTGAGTCCGCGGGCACAGGTGTGTACGTACGTACGCGCACACCGATGTGCAACGAGTTTTTATAGCCGACTCGCAATAAAGTCCATCGAAGAAGACGAAAGCTCGACGGAACTTTCCCCAATTAAAACGCCGCCCTCGCCTCGCTCCACCTCGCGCATAACGCGATCGTTTCTCACAAACGTCGTGTCTCCGATCGACGACTCTCTCGCGCGCGTCATGTGCATGTCGTTTGTCAGGAGAAATGCGAAATTTCCATCAACCCGGAGAAATACGACCCGACTATTCGTGTGTTTGGGAAAATTTTCGTCCTTGATCTCGATAACGGATAAAATTATTTTAATTGTGCCGGATTTGGAAAGCAGGATGCGACAGTGGTGCGTTTGATCTCGGCGTCGCATCGTATACGCGGCTATTCGCATAGTAATTTCGCGCTAGGGAACGATTGAAACGTTGACGAAGACGAAGCGCGTGAACGAGGTGAACGATGCACGTCTGCATGAATCGCGGCGTGACGACATTGTCTTCTCCAGGATGATTGGCTCCCCGTGTGGGTTATAGAGCGATAAATCAAATTTGATAGCGTCTGGCTGCTCGAACGAAGTGCTCGCCTCATTATCGGCATTACCACCTCGTTATCCGACCACATATTTTCCGTCGCGAGGCATCATCGATGTCCATTTTCGCGTATATCTCCGTGTAGAATCAGCTCTCGTAACCGTAACGACACCGGACGAAACCCATCGTCGGTCCGCGAACATAGACATGGTTCGCGCACGAAGCGAAGAGTTAGCTAACAGTTGCAGGGACGTGGAGCCGCGCTTTTCGTTGTTCGCTTTTCGCCTTTCGTATTTCGCACAATGTATCATAACATTGGAATCGCGCTGGTAATTATACGACACGGTGGCGATTGAAAAGTAGTCGGTATACGCGCGCCGTACCTAATCATCGCGCTAAACTATTCCCCCCGTGAGTTACGGTTTATTAGCGTTGCTTCACGGCGATTATGACGCTCATTATATAATTGTTGCCTTAACGTCGACACGTCGTCTCTCGTGTATCTCTCGTGCAACTCATTCGTGAGAGAAAACTGTTGATCTCGCGCTTCCACTTACCTTCCTTCCGGCCTTGTTATTGTGAAGATTCATCAAGCTCCGAGCGTCTCCTTCGATCTCCCTCGCGTCCAGAAACCTGCGCGCGAACCTAGCATTAAATTATATAATATTAAAATTTACGCGTGTGTGTCTAAGCGCCTCGCCACGTAGTCGAAGCTGGCGTAAGAAGCTGCGCGTCGGGAATGGATTAATTAGCGATCGCCGCGTATCCGACGTACCTCATCCCGTACGTGACGTCCGCGCTGCAACCGCCCCACTCCCAGCCGTTTGGCGGTAATTCCTTCCTCGTCCTGCAAAAGCGACGCGATTATCGTTTGATAGCAGTTTTACGCGCGTTGCGCACCGCGCGCACGATTTATTTACAGTTACCTGACTGCAGGTTCGCAACCGCAGGCCGTGATGTTGCCGCGGCTGCAAGCCGCGGTCACCGCGTATGTGACACCAGCCGAGCTTATCGCGTACGTGAAAGCTGCCTCTCTGCTACCTGCAGGTGAATGCAAGTTGTCGTATTAGTTTGATCGTACACATACATCGGGATACCTGCGTCGAGTTCTCTCTCACGCGCGGAGCGCTTGAAAAGATGAAGAAGCGAGAGAAGAGGTTCCGTAGAATGTATGAAATAGAAAGAAAAATATGAAATTTTTATTTATCGTGGATACATGTGTCGAGAAAGTGAAGAATGCGCTAAGCGCCAGGTACATCGGCAATCCGTGTAGAATCCGTGAGCGTTTCGAACTCTCTTTCCGGGTCGATTAATAATTTAACGCCCGCGGCAACGTGTACGATCGTGGCTCATTCGAAACTTGCGTCTCAACCGTGGCCGGCCGGTGAGGCCACGAGACACAGGCGATAGAAAGCACGTCGAAAACTCGCCCCGTCGAGCGTTTCCATCACGTGAATTTACAACTAGTCGCCATCGGTACGCGCTAAGCGCGAGCGCAATTAATTACCTCCGCGCGCCGTGCTTTCAGCTCGTTTACCACGTCGAATGAATTACCGTATGTCCGTTTCCTCGCGATGTCCATTTTTCACTCCATCATCGTCGCCGACACCTACGCGGTTCTGTCTCGTGTCCGACCCGGTTGGCGTTTTACTCCATCGCCGTCAAACTCGTCTGGCTTTAATTCGCGCGTCAGCGTCGCGTCAGTGCTCGACGCGCGATAATCTCTCATGCAGATTTGGTTAACACCGAATTCATAATGCAAACCAGTTTAACGGGGCCTCGCCGTGCAGAGAAAGCTCTTATTCTTTCTTTCTTTCTTTCCTCCCTCTCCCTCTCTCTCTTTTCTCTCTCTCTCTCTCTCTTTCCCCCTCTCTCTCCCCCCCCTATCCTTCTTTCTTTCTTTCTTTCTTTTTTTCTCTCATCTCTCACAATTACTAGATATTCAAAATGACCGAGTAACAAGGTGTGAGTAAACTCGTCCTCACATATACACACACACACACATACATATTTTGAATCGTACGCGACGTGCTTCTTAATTCGGCGCGTAGTCGCGCGATGGCGCCCCGATTAGCGCGTAGCGAAATCAAAATTGAGAGGACATCCGATCGAGCGTAATTGCGGGGTTCGTCCTACACACGTACGGTTGCCACTTGTGAGCCGATGTTTGTTGTACGCGCAGCCATAACTTACAGTCACTGACACGCGCCTGCCAGCACCGCGCTCAAGTTGTGTGAAGTAAAGTAAACAAGCCCGACGAGCTCTCGCGTATCCGCGGCTCGTCCGGCCGCGTTTTGATGCGTTTTGATGCGCAACCTTCGTGATTACCGCAGTCGCGACAATCGCGGATCTTCGTATCACCACGCACGTCACGTTGCCTCAAGTCGCAACGTCAGGTTCAAGTCGTCCAGCGAGCTCGTTCGTGGTGAGATGACTCTCGTGACGATCGGACTCTGAGCTTTTAAGGTATCAGAAAATGCAATCGCGTTATTGAATCAGCCCCCCTTTGCTCCGTCGCGTCGAAAGTCAAGTCCAAGTTTTGTATCTGTAGTGTATATTGTAAAACATTTATCGCACGTAGCTGCCTACGCGAAGCTGCTGCGTAAAAGTCGCGTTCACCCTCGGTGCTCTTTATGTCAGTCGAGGTTCTTGCTCGCTGCACGATGATGCACGACTACGTCTCCTCAACCGATACCACCGTACGTGACACGAGAACAAACGCGTTCACACCTCGCTCCCGTGAGATCAGCCGCCATGATGCCGGAGAGAGCTTCGTTTTTCCCGCCATATTCAGTTATTGCCGTAGTCGCAAAATGTCCGCCACGAGCGTCGCGTTCCCGCTTTGACCGGCTAGAGTCGGGCTCGTTTGGTACTCGTATTTCTCAATTGCCGAGTCGAATTCTATCGGTAAAAGTTCACGCGAGCTCGTTTTCGCAAGTGACGCACAAAAACCTTCGTGTCCTTCGTTATCGTCGCCTCGACTCGATGTCGATGAGGAAACCGCGATCGTACACGGGGTGACGCAAACGACGACGTTGCAACGGGCGCATCGGTCAAACGGTTGATGAATTTATGCCGAGTGTTTATGTCAAAGGACGGCAGCATGGTCATCTATTTAGCGTCGGAAGAACCGGTAAGGGGTAAATTTATCGTTTCGTCGGCGTTTGCCGCGGCGGCCGCTTCTCTCTCTCTCTCTCTCTCTCTCTCTCTCTCTATCTCTCTCCTTTCTCGCTTCGCCGATGGGCGGAGGAAAGAGAGGTGGCCTTTCCATAAATTCATTTCAGCTGTAAAACGCGAACGCGCCAAATGAGCGCCGCTTCCATATTAGGGCACGGCACATGGCGATACCGAAGAGTCGTTGTTCATGCCGAACGGCAATGCGAACGGCGAGAGTAGGCCTCAATCTATTTGCGCCGTATATTATATATATATATATATATATATGTATACACATGTGGTTCTTGTAGAAGTATGCGTGTGCGCGTATGTCGCGTCGTTCATGCACATATTAATGTCTGAAAATATTGCGGAGCAGCGAGTAAAACGAGAACGGATTATCTTCGCGCGACGTGAAATAGTGTCGTTGTTGAAATTTATTCCCCTCTCGATGGTTCCGTGATCTCTGTGCGAAAGACGGACGCTCGATACTTGATATTTCTTTTCGCGACAATGTGCCTCTTTTAGATTTGGATACTTAAAAATACGTCTCGCGATCGAGAATTATCGTATAAGCAGTGGGTACTTGAAAGCGGTTATAAAAAATTGAAAAAAGTGGGAGGAACGACATGGAGCCAAAAAAGGAGCGACTCGCAATCAATCGTTATATGGCAGTTTTTTAATTTATATCATCGCGTTTTAAGTGACTCGCGTAATAGCCGTACGAAATTTATAAGTCATCGCATCGCCGAACGTGGGCGATTATTTACGATGATTGCGCGATACAGACTCAAATTTAATAATGAGTTTGATCTCATCGCAGTCCTTCGACAGTATTATTAATATGACAATAACATTAAATAAGCATCTCTCTCTCTCTCTCTCTCTTTCTCTATCTCTCAGATTAGGAATTAAATATTTATTCCTTCCCAATAAGTATAGCCCTTTCGCTTGAAGATATCATCGAATGTCTACTGTCGAACCAAAGTTTTAGTAACCTAAAGTATTTCGTGTTTGTTTTCAGAATTTTAGAGGAAACATTCGTCACCATTCTACACCATCACCATCGTCGTCGATTATTCGCCCTGTCATCACCATCATCATCGCTGGTCATTCATAGTGCACTTTATCATCGTGAATGTAAGTATTATATACAAAATGATCAAGACATCTTTCAAGTCGTGTTCCATTGTCATTGTTGCGATTAGCGCATAAGCGAATTAATTCCGCACGACTCTGAGCGAGAATCTGAGCGTTATAGTTAGTCGCGCAAGTTAATTAATGCAGGAGAATTCATGAGCGGCTTTGGACGCCGCCGGCGCTAAAACTAGAACAGAACGATCCTGACGAGCGCTAAATCTCGCATCTTACTTCTCGCACACGTCGTGCACGCGTGCAACATTGATAGCGGAGTATTTCAAGTGATGATGCATCGCGCGCACATCCACCTACAATCGCCATATTGTATAGCTATGGCAGACCCGCTTTCGCCCGACGCCGTTATTATGCCCTCGCGATTTTATGCTCCGCAAGTCGACCTTATTAAAGGTAACGAGCTCGATCGTATCATGCCGGGTAATAAAGTATTTCGCGTATATCTGTGCGATGTTACCGCCACCGAGACGGCGGTATCCCGACTCGTTACTCGTCCTGAATAACAAAAGGGGAGACGGTGGATGATTTAATTCGACTAGAAGGGTGCATCTCTTTCTTTCTCGCTCACTCGCTTGTTTCCACATGTGAAACAAGGGCTCCGCGATACATGTTATAATGTACCTTTCGTTCGTCGTAGAGCGGTCTAGTAATTCGATCTGTTTATCGAAGTCCTCCCTCGTAGCGGTGTATCAGATAAACTCGGCGTAATTTAATATATCCCACGGGTACGAAGTACTATGCAACCGCACATATAGACTCGCACGATCGTATCTAAGCGTATCCTCTCCCTTTCTCTCTCTCTCTCTCTCTCTCTCTCTCTCTCTCTCCTTTTCTCTCTCTTTAATCTCCTAATATCATTAATTAATTGGCTGTAACGCGACCAAGAGCATTTATCTTCGTTTCTAACCCTTTTCGCGAGCGAGATCTTCGGGACATGCCGTAAACTTGGTGGGTGTACGATGTGTGTGTATGTGTGTGTGTGTGTGTGTGTGTGTGTGTGTGAGAGAGAGCCAAGGTTATCGTCGGCAAACGAGCGGGTCTCGGCCACCACGCGGCCGATGTGTTTCCGTCTTGTACCACCTCGTGTCCAACAAGATCTTTATTTCGTCGTGAGAAAAATTTGTCCACGCATGCCCGTATGCAGAGTCCGCGCTCACGCTTTGTCTCCTCACCCACTTCTCCGGGCTGTCCCTTTTCTCTCACTCACTCGCTCACTCGCTCGCGAGCTCGGGGTTAAAGGTTCGCGTCCGCGTCTCGTATGCGCGCACGCCATTGTACTACGGGGAATCCTTATTGGCCTGGGGCGTTTGTCACGGGAGGACAGATCATTTGCTCGACACCCACGCAACCTATATCGATGGTAAAACCATTGAGCCGCGCCACGACGACGAATGAAACGTGTCCGTGCCTTTCTTTCTTTTTTTCTCGCGTTTCTCGCTCGTCGATCCCCGCGTGCGCTCGTTCGCTCGTATAAAACTAGGCGTACGTGCACCGCACGCGCATCTCGTCCCGCTCGCGAAGATGCGTAACGCGCCTGTGTGTGTGTGTGTGTGTGTGCGTGTGCGTGTACGATTTAATAATAAAACTATCGACTGCGAAACGCGCGCGCATCGCTCTTAGGTATCATATTCCTCCGAGTGTTCGCATTAATCAGGGTCCTCGCGATAACATCAAATTGCGGATTACGAGGGGAGAGATGTATTCGCGTTTGCGAACGCATCATTTATGAA